GTAGTAGTATTNTTTNTTTTCTTTTTTTTCTTTTTTGCGGTATGGACAAAAACAGTTTCTTTCTTGCGCTCTCTCTTTTTCTTGACTGTCAGCATGCGTACAATATCAAGCTGACTGTAGTGTCATACCTTGGGCCAAAGTGATTTCGCTTCGTGGCACTTATATGCGGCAAGGCTCAGCTGAGCTTCAGCTACCCACGTCTCCCTTTTCTAAATCGGTAGCAGGCTGCCACGGGATACCGCTACGGTATGTGAGCCTGCTCAAAAGGTCAAAGTACCAACCCGACAATTTTTTATTTTTATTTTTTTCCCTGTTATCTTGGCTCGGTCGCAGCAGCTTTGAAGCAACGCCCGAAGAGGGCGGTGATGAGATTGAGATGGGGAGATGAGGGGAGGGGGGGCCGAACAAGATGTCGGTGTCGGCGGTCAAACGAAGAAAGATTCCAGAGGTAATAAGCCTGTCCACTGTAATGAAATGGTAAAAGACGCTGTGTGTATGTTACCGTCCGTCCGACTTGAGAATGCCGAGTCCCATTCACCCTTTAGGCGGGCAAAGGCGGTGCGAGACTGGCGGGACTTGGCCAAGAAAAACACCAAAAAAAAAAGGTATATATCTCTCAGGCTATTTGGGGGAAAGTTGTAAGAGCCAGAAAGAAACGAGGAACAGATGCTGCAAAATTGCAGTTTCTTTTTTTTTTCCTGGTGCCTTAATTTCTTCAGCGTTTCTTCGTGTCACCACCACTAACGAAATTTTTGGTGTATCCCACCCGTCTCTCTTCTTTTTTTCTCTCTCCCTCGACTATTTTCCTCTTGCTCTCGGCGCTTTTGTCGTGGATTCTCCTATCCACGGGCTGCACCTGGCCGTGACGAGGTCTGTGTGTGTGTGTGTGCGTGTGTGTGTGTATAAGTGCCGAAAGAGAGGTAGAAGCAGGAGCGGATGGCTGCGTCAAAGAAGGATAAAGTCGTCAAGTCCAACCTTTCGTAGTACCGGTCAAGAATATATAAGAATTTCAAGTGTTTATATAAAAAGAAAAAGAAAAAAAAGAGGTTAAATTGGAAAAGTCCAGATTGCCGAATCTTCAAAAATCGACCGACGGCAGACCCGCAACTTACAAGAAGTTATGGACAGATGGCCCGTGTTCGTGATCAACTTCTCCTACTTACAAGTTACTTCCTCCCACTGCACCAGTTTAACCCCTCCAAGGGAACGAAGAACGGAGTGCGGGCGCTGAATTGTGCGCGGTGCCGCAGCGCAAGAGCCAACTGTTGTTGCCTTGGGTGGCGTCCGCATGATTCCCCATGTATGCGATCACATCACAAAAAACTTAGCCTTGTTCGTCCTTCTGTTTCCATTTTTTTGTCTTTTTCTTTCACTTCCCCATGTCTCTCGTTGTTTAGTCTTTTCTCGCGAGGGTGGTGTGTGTGTGTGTGTGGCGCGCCAGCCCTTCTTGGCTGTCAAACATTAACAAGGACACAAAAAAAGTTGTTGGTGACACCAACGACGGACACAGCGAATAAAACACTTTGTGAGATGAGCAGATGGTTACGCTGCATACAGTATTCACTACTCGTAGCCTGATGTGCAGCCAGACTATCGAATCTTGTGCCTTTTCAGTTGATCCTATAGCCCTTTCCACGGGATCCTATAAGCTGGGCAAGGCTCTCTCTAATCTCTCCGACGACCAATTATAGGCACCTCATGCTTGCTGTCTGCTCAGAGCGTACCGACGCAGCCTCAAATTCGCCACGTCTCGTGAATTGGCCCAAACACTCTTGGCGATATTCCTTCTCGTTCTCTTGGCGCAGTTGGCGCATCCGATGCGTCTCTCTTGGTTATCTCGTTTATCGCTTCAACCACAAATGAGTTTAATGAGCACAACGGAACAGGGTCATCACCATCACACACATCAATGAGCTCTTCGTCCCGTTAGCGCACTTGGCTTCATCCGGTGCGTCTTGTCTTCTTCACTCGTTTTGGGTCGGCTTTGCCTCAGCAGCATGTTGGGCAAAAAGGGGGGCGTCACCATCCATCACACACTCACAAACACGGTACCCTGTCCCTTTTTCCACACCATCTATGATCCTTTTTGACAAGGGGATCAAATTATCTGCGCCTCGTTTTCGAGACAGGGGACAAGGGTATCTTGGGCTTGCGGCCGCGCGGCGCGGCAGCGGTGTGTTCCCGCAGGCGAGTCCACCAACAAGAAACTAGTGAAGGCCGCCGTGACCAACGGCTAATGTTGATAGCTTAAATTGAAATCGCGCTCGATGAGATTAACGAGAGCAATGACCAGGCGGCAAGTCCCATGTTACATGGCCTTCGGGAGGTGGGAACCGAAATATCACAGCAGCCATCTCAAGTACTGTGTGTTGTATAAGTAACGCTCTTGTGCAAGAGATGAGTTCAGATGACAGTAGATTGCCAGCCTGTGTATCGCAGAAAACGGTGTGGTACCAGAAAACAGGACTCGCGTAGTCTTGGCACGAATGACGAAGCAAAGTGATTGTCTTGGTGTAATGCAAAGACTTGAGAAAAAGTAGATCGAGAACAAGTATAGCATTGATCTTTCATACCATAAAAGCAGTTTCTTTTTTAAAGGAGCAGTCGCACGCAATAGCCATGAGCAAAAAATGAATTGCGTGACAATCATCCTCCCGCATAGCTGTTGTCCTCCATATTCTACCCAAAAGACCATTGAAACCCCCAAAAAGCCACAATGCATGAATAAAACCACCGCTCTGAATTAGGGAGCATGGAAAGAGCCTAGTCTGTTATCACCAGAGAACAATGCAGCAAGTATACCACCGGCGACACGCTCTGAAAGAGTGTAGGTAAAGTTCGGTCCGTCATCACCAAAGCACAATGCAGCAAGTATACCACCAGCGACTCCCGCTTAGAGGGTGTAGATAAAGTCGGGTCTGTTATCGCCAAGAGCTTCAATCTCCGCCTCCGACTTTCCTTCAATGAGGGAATCACGCTCACCCGCCAGACGCTTCTTGTTCTCCCGGCTAAGCAGAATTTGAAAGAGCAGACTGCCGCCAAACATGGCAATCACAAGATAGCCGATAATGGTGGCGTGACCGGCAAAGAAACGCGGGGCGTCAAGGAATACGTTGCTGCTGACGACGCCATTGAGATTGCCCCAGCCAATGACAATACCAAGAACGACGCCGCGCTTGTACACGCCCTCGACGTTGTTGGCGACCCATGCAATGGTAAGCGATACCGAAGGATAGATACCAAGAGCGCCGAGAAACGTGCCAATATACTGGACAACAGGTCTGGTCGTAGAAATCATCATGATGAAGCCAACCGTTCCCACAACAGCACATGCCATGTTGAAAATGCCGCGCCTGTTGATCCTGTCAGACCAGAAGCCAATGACAATAGTCATGATGGCGGCCAGAACATATGGCGGGACACTGAGAAGTTGGTTCTTGATAATGTCATTCTTGGGAACCAGATGCATGCTCTGGATAATAGTAGGGAGGAACAGGCTGAAAGCATAAAGTGGCATCAGAGGTCCCATGTAAATGAGCATACCGCAGTAGGTCTTCCAATCCCTGAGTGCTTCCATGAGATAGCTCGTCTTGAAATGTTCATCATGCGCGGATGCTTGCTTGTCATCCTCCAGACGGCGCACCACACGAGCGCGATCCTCTGGTGTCAAAAACTTGGCCTCGGAGGGAAAGTCGTCAACCATGAAGAAGGATGCGAGTGCAATCAGAACTGTGATGGCGCCTTCAATGATGAAGATCCATGACCAGCCAGGGCGACCTCCGATTCCATTCATATTTTGAATGGCAGCAGCCAGCAGGCCGCCAAACGAGCCAGAAATGGCAGCGGCGGAGAAGAAGACGGCCGCGCGGACACCAAACTCGCTGCGCTTGTACCAGCAAGACAGGTAGTAGTTGATGCCCGGAAACAGGCCAGACTCCGTCATGCCGAGGAACCATCGCGCGGCCATGAGCTCCGACCAGTTGCGCACAAAGCCCATGCCAATCATGGTCGCGCCCCAGAGTACCCTGCGCACAGCATGTCGGTGGTTAGCCAATATTCTCGGACACGGGCAGCGTGCCATGTTGTGCGCATGCGGGCGGGCATACACGTGGTCTGGCGTGGCACTTACATGATGACAGGAAGAAAAATGGACGGCCGCAGGCGCTTGAGCAGGACATTACAGACGGGTTCGAAGAGGGCGTACGACACGAAGAAGATGGTGAGCGTCGCATTGTACTTTGACGTCGAGTGTACACCAATGTCTTGCTCGAGGTGCGCGATTTTGGCATTGCCAATGTTGGTACGGTCCAGGAATGCAATGAGATACAGCAGAGAGAGCTAAAATGTACCATGTAAGTAATGTGCGGGCGTGGAACGGAGGATTGGCCCAGTGTGTGTGAGTGGTGACTTACCCATGGCATCAATTTCAAATCGAGCTTCCAGAGTAATTTGCGCTCCTGTCAAAGGGTTACGTACGTCAGCATTGGCGAGATTTATTTCTTTGAGCCGCTCACGAAGCAAAAAGTGTTGTTGCGTGCAATCAGAGAAAAGCACAAAGCACCAGGGCAAACATACAATCTTGGCGCGCTCTTCGGCGGAGAGCCCAGCATCAGGATCCCCGACACTCCGGCTGACCTCTGTTTGGGAATCCTGCTCGAAATTGGGGGATTTCTCCAGATTATCTTCGTCATTCATTGTGTCCGTTGTTCTGTCTTCTTCTTCCTTTTTTTTTCTTCGGTGGCTGGCTGCGCGGATGTCCGGAGATTTTGGGGTGCGAGAACACAGGTTCGGTTCGGTGATGCGCAGCTGGCAGCTTGGGGCTGTCCGACGGGACGAGTCACCGCTTCACACCTTTAAACAGCAACAACTTTGGACGTTGACGACGGGAGTTGATAAGAAACGGCAAGCAGGCGGATGAGCAGCTCCCAAGATAGAAAAGAGAAGAAACTCAAAAAATGATACAAGGAGAGGAAGAGGAGGCGATGCCAAGAACGCCCTGGGCGCAATCGGGAGAGGGGAAAGGGTGTGATTTACATAGAAACGGTCAGCATGGCTTGGGAATTGGTTATTCTTTATGCTCCACCGGCAAAAGAAATCGGGAACAACAAAGTTAGGTGTGGCGCGAGAAGGCCACGGCCAGTGTGCAGACACAAGTGCAGCAAAGGGTTTGGCTCTCTCTCTCCTAATAAAGGCTGCAAGGGGCCATTGTAACCCAGTGCCCAGCTGCTGGAAGCTAGCAGGCAGCAGGGTACGAATAGTTAATATGGGACGGGACAGCGCCATCCATCCTCCAGCCAAGGGGGGTGTGGACGATCACCCGAGATAGGCTTCTCCGTCTCTACATACCTGCTACCTGGCTGCGGGCACCGACTGGCATGAGCCCGCGTATGACAGAAGATGCCAATGGCGGCGCACCCCGGAGGTGGAGGTGTGTGCGGCCCTATTTTGCGCCACTTGAACCAGTGATAATGCCCATATGGCTAGCCTTGTTGGGGGGATTGCGATTATTAGTTCTTGCACCTTTGGAGTTGGGACCACCGGCCCTCTCCGTCAATCTCTCGGCGATGGTTTTTTGGGCTCTTTTACCCCAGGCCAAGTCTTTTTTCGCTGTGGAGGCAAACTAGTCCCAACCTAGCAGGCAAAAATCGTGGAGCGATGCGACGCGTACTGCGGTATCGAAGAGGGAAAAAAAAAAAAAAGGGACACTGAACCAACCTCCCAATGGCGTCACGGACCTTTGTCATATTTTCAACGTAGGACGGCCGGCCGGAAGGAAGTGATGCCAAGCAAAAGCAAGGCTTCCCGACTCTCGGCCGATTCTGCTCCCGCGGAAATACCGATTCTTTTTTTGGTTTTTTTGCTGGGCATTTGACAAGTTTGCAGTAATACCAGAGCAATTGCGGTCAGAATGCGTTTTTGCGCTAATCTCAACCCGTCGGGCGTATCGTATCCTATCCATCACCGTTGAATCTCTTCAGCCTGATCCTGGGACTTTGGGCCAAGGTGAACGGCAGCCTGCGTGAAGCCAGGCCCTATGGCACACAAAATAGTGGCCGACAAGTCCGGATTTTTTTGATTGATTACAGTCTCAGTTTCGGGTTCATGCGCCATCGACAGTTTGCGGGCGTGTGGTAACAGGCTGCAGGGTGCGCCGCATCGAAATGCAACTCCAAGGGACCGGTGGGCAGGGATCTTCGTGTCATCTTGCATCGAGCATCGTTGTTTAATGCTCCTTCACCACTAATAGTGCCAACATTATTACCTTTTGCCAAGGAAAGGTATTATTCAGATGCTCCGTCGCGGGATCCACGAGAGTACCACTAATCCGTACATTGCACAACATCGATCAGCAAAAGAAGAAAAACTGTCCGAAAAAAAATTTCTCCAGCTCACCAAAAGAAGAAATACTCCCTCTTTCTCTCTTCAATCTCACCCACCGTCTTTTTTCCGTAACTACCACGTTTCCTGCTTCCTTTCAGTTGGGGGCCGGCAACTCTGACCAAACGGTGAGGTGAGGTGCACGAGGGCGCGGCCGTATGCATCTGCATTCTGCCTCGTCAGCCGTCCCGTGCGAGAGCCGAGTAGAAGGGACCTGGGCAACGGGCGTCCACTTCGAATCAAAGGAATTCTCCCGTCTAAAACAATGTGTCATCGTTAGCCCGAGCCCGACGGTAGGTGTCTTGACGGCGTATAATGCAAGGGATGGGCAAGGCTGCCGCCCCCCTCCCGTTTGGCTTTGTACTTTATCGGGCGGCGGACTTGTCAGCCACAACCAGCCAACAAGGTAACTAACCACTAACCAAAGGCGTTTGCTCTGCAAACAATACGAATTATATATGCGGTTTGCTATGCAATACAGTGGTCTATACGTTGCCTCGTTTCGTTCTTCTCGTCTTTAGTTTTGTTCCCTTCTCTTCATCCTACTCTCGTTCCCATGTCCTTACCCAGACGTTCGGTCATCGTACAACGCCAAGTCTAATTACCACTACCACATCCGAGCCTAATCATGAGCCCAACGTGGCACACGGAAGGCTTTCCGCATCATCTATGCACACAGCCTTGCGTTTATATCAAGACTTGACAACATTAGCCGGATCCCCCTCTTCTTCTTGTGTTCGACAATGAGCCGCTGTCCACCTCGTCTTCCCGTTTGACGGAAGTCCCTATCCACGGTGTAACGTCAAGTATGGCAAACTTTTCCTATTCCAGTTATACTATTGTTTCGAGAAGGCTATTCGTTTAGATAGTTCCATTTTTGAATATTTCACGCCAAACCAAGATCTTTGTAAAAGTTTTCCGGGTTGGGCTCCCTGCCAAGAAACTCGTACAGCATCACGTTCTCATCCATGCTACCGCCACGCTCAAGCACCAGCTTGCGATATCGGCGACCGGCTTCGCCATCCATCGGGTTCTCCTTGAATGCAGTATAGAACATGTCGGTTGAAAAGACCTTGGAGTACATGTAGCCATAGTATCCTGCATCATACCCTCCAACAAAGTGCCCGATGGTGGCATGCTTCTGGCCCCACTCCCTGTGCATCAAATATTGTTAGCATATCTGCATCTCTTGTCTCGGGTTTGATCTTCTTTCTTGGCGCTCAGCTTACATTCCGTAGCCTACGGCTTCCGGTCCCTTCACGCCGGTGATCTCGCCGCGCAGCTGGTTCCACAAGCGGCCGCAATTGAGCTTCTTCACCGCTTCGTGTGAGTCAGGGCTGTGAACGGTCAAGTCAAATGTTCCGATGGCGATTTGTCCCAAAGTTCCCATGGCTTCATTGAGGTGTTTTGTCTTCATTAATTTGTCAATGAGATCTGTTGAGATCTTTTCTCCCGACTTCCAGTGGGATGAGAGCCCCCGCAAAACGTCAGGTGTCCAGCACCAGTTTTCCAGCATTTGAGAAGGCGCCTCAACAAAGTCCCACATCACAGCTGTGCCGTGGCAGTAGGAAGATTGAGTCTTGGCGACGAGGTCATGAATACCGTGACCCAGCTCGTGGAAAAGGGTGACGGCCTCGTTGTGCTTTAGCAGAGCTGGACGACCTTGCGACGGCCGGCTAAAGTTACAAACGAGAGCAGTAGAAGGATAGTTTCTAGTGCCATCCGCCTTGACATATCCTGGGCCAATACTGAAATTAGCATTATGACCGTACTTGTTGGCTCGCGGGTGGAGATCAAGAAACAAGTAGCCGACAAATTCACCACCAGAGGCTTCATCATTCCAAACGCTCATGACCACCACTTCATCGTGCCAGACAATGTCTTTAGCGTTGCCGGTAGGGCTAAGTCGAGCCTTGGCAGCCTCATCCAGCTCAACAAAATGAAGGCCAAGTAACTTTTCGAATATTCCAAGCATGCCGGTAAACGTCTTCCACATGGGAAAATACTCAGCCACTTCGTTCTCGTCGAGGCTGTATTCCTTTGCCTTGAGAATTCGTGAGTAATAGCCAACATCCCAGGCGTAGATTTCCCCATCAAAATCAAGACCACGTTCAGCGTAGTCTTGCTTCTTCAACTCGCGAAGAACCGCGATTTCCTTCTTTCCGCCGTCACCTACGCGAGTTCTGATATCGGCCAGAAAAGATTTCACTTTCTCTGAATCCTTGGCCATTTTGGCAGAGATGGTAAGATCAGCATGGTCTTTGAAGCCGGCTTGTCTAGCTGTTTCATCTCGCAGCTCGATAATGGTCTGGAAGATGGGAGCATTTTGGTTGACCTGGGCACATGTTAGTCACTTCTACAGTATGCACATCTTCATACTGCGATTCAATATTCTTACCTTGTTAGTTTCGGCGATATAATAATCGCGACGCGTAGTCTCGTTCTTCGCATATTTGAGGAGAGGAGTTGACGTCGTGTACTTAAAGTCGGCCTTGACCTTGCCCTCGTTGTCTCCAGTACCCTTTTCGAGGTCGCCCACGTCAATGTCCGTTTTAGGGATCCCCTCGAGCTGTTCTGGAGTGAACCAAACACCACCTGTCTCATTATTGAGATTGTTCTGTGCCTCTAAGCACAGACGGCTGAGCTCGAGCTGCTGCTTCTTGAAATGGTCGCGCTCGGGACCATGTGGAAGACGAAGACCGCTAAGAACATACTGGGTGTACTCCTTGTCCAAGATAGTAGCAGACTCAGTGTCGAGATTGGCCGATGCCTTGTTGTCGTAAATGGCTTGGACGCGCTGGAATATGTCGTCGCGCATTCGCAGCTCAATGCCTAGCTCTCTCATCTTGCCGTCCGCTTTGAGGGAAGCCTCACGGACAGCGGCGTCGGGGTGAACATTCTGCAGAAAGCAGATTCTGAAATTTTCACCAACAGTCTCGTCGTCAGTTCTGAGTAGGGGCTGCACGGTATTTTGAAAAGTGGCCGTCTCGGGGGTGGTCGAGGCGATCACATTGTCAGCGACACCTCTTTTCGTCTCAATGATCTTGTCAATCCCGGCGCTCAACTCTTCGGGGGTGTAATTGAAGACGGGGGGCCGCTGAGGCGGGTTGGCAAATTTCTCGGAAGCCATGGTGCTGACGAAGCGCTGAGCCAGTGGAATTTGGGATAGCAGTGGTGTCTTGCGCAGCTGCTGGGCCAGGGAACCGAGGCGGAAGACGGAGCGTGAGGGAGCCAGTATGACGGCGAAAAGGACAACGAGGCACGAGATGAGGAGCAGACGAACCGCCTTTAATGCAGAGAAGGCTACCGGTGCTGCACTACGGAGAGTGCCCGGTCGGGGAGGGTCTCGCGTGATGATGGCGGCTCGCAAGTCGGCACCCAATGGGGATGAGTGAGCGCGCGGGGGGGGGTTGCTTGTTACGCCAATTGTGAAGAACGGGTTGGGTTACGTCGATAAAAAAGGTCCAATTGAGCGGAGAAGATGGCACATGGACTTTGGTAATGAAAACTAGAAATTGACGATTGGTGCGAACGCGGTATCTGGAGGCGATGGATACGGTGGGCAGCCAGTGACCAATGCTTGCGCGACGATGCTACGAGACAGGCAGGTCGTTAGAGGATGGAGATGTGGTGTTGCGGGGCAGTATGCAGACATGGTTCGGTGGCATGTCACCGTGTAGATACCGGCGTAGAGTGGCCACGTAGACACAAATTACACGGGCCAGCAGGGGTATTTGTGCCTAATAAGCACGCAAAGTGCAATGCATCTTCAGATTCAATATTGTTCAAACTATCAAGTATCGTATCCTTCTGTTCTTATCTAAGAATTTCTGGCAGCGGACACGGGTACTGCAGGCGGGCAAGTAAGTATAGCGGTTAAGGACGGCACTTGCGCTGCACGGCGGTTTGCATCGCTTCTCAGCTCATTCAAATGCAGAGCTTCATTTGATGGAGCTAGCGTTATCGATCAGCAAAGACAATTCTCGCAGAAACCTGCATGCTGTCGGGCACATGCTTCAGACTCTGGTTCACCCCGTTCCACTTGTTGGGGGCTTTGTAACCATACGGAAGGAATATCACCTTTTGAAAGGGCAAGCAATGGCGAAAAACTAGGAATCGTCTATTCTGGCGCTGAACCGCGCACTTAGCACAAATATACATGACAAGACACTAAAATAAACCCTCCCCGTCTTGTGTCATCGTTGCTTCATTAACCCAATCAAGTTGCTTCCTGTGCCATGTCCCATAGTCAAACAAGTAAGAAAAAGTATCAACGCCAGTCCGTCTGTGTGATGCATTCTGGCCAATTTAGTTGGCAAGGATCGTGCGAACGAGATCTGCATGGTGGTGCGGGGTTAGCAAATGCCATAAAATAGGGGCACTGCGCAAAGAACGTACCAGTATAATTGACCTGGCCAGAGCTGGTATCAACAGCCTTGAGCAGCTCATCGACCTCATCCTCCGTCATCTTCTCTCCCAAATTTGTCAGAATATATTTGAGCTGGCCGACGCCGATGAAGCCCGTCATGTCCTTGTCAAAGACCTGGAAGCCGCGGCAGTATTCTTCGGGTTCGCCGTGGTCGCGGAAGCCGCCGGGGCGGTTGAGAACGCGCTGGAAAGACTCAAAGTCGACTGTGATTCATGTCAGCGCTGTGCTCGTCGCCCGGCATTGATGCGCTGGGATGCAGCTGGCAAATTCGCCGCGAAAATAATGGCAGCGCCCATTGCGACCCAAGCCCGCATCAGCACTCGGCGGCAGAGCATCTACTCACACTCGGGGCCGAGGCCCTTTTGCAGGTCATCAATTTCCGAAAGAGTCGGGTTCTGGCCGCAGGCACGCAGCAGGTCGCCGAGAGAATCGACGGTGCAGCGACCGTTGCCGCGCTTGTCAAACAGGGCAAAAGCCTCCTTGTAGTTGGTCGAGGCCTGCGAGTCAAATTGATTAGAAGACATGGTCATGTATGTGTGCTGAGCGCCCGATATTTGATGCGGCAGAGTAGCAGAGAGAAGATGCTGTTATGTAGGTGATAAAAGGAAGCACAGGAAAGCCAAAATGTATTTGGTGCAATGATGCGACGACTGTCCAGCAAACGCGCAAAGTCACTCCGTCAGCCACAAAGATTGGGCGTGCGTTCTGGGCTGGGCTGGCGAATCAAAGACGCCAGAGGTCCGCGGGGTTCGGCCACTTGTTTACATTGGTGCTGGTGCCTGGGCAACTCACCATTGTTGACTTTTGGACAGGTGTGGTGGGTGGGTATTGTCTGTGTGTCTTGATCGTACGGTCGCTTGTGGTTGGTATCGACGGAGCAAACGAAAGCTTGTTACGACACAGAAACAGAGTTTGTTTCTTCAAGTCGAGATTTATCAAGTCGATGAGTTTCTTGCCAAAACGATGTTGTCAAGAACAGAATGCACAAGACCACACCGGTTATGAGAAAAAGGGACTGGTCCCCCCTTGCTGCCCTCCTGAGACCTCACTAGCCCCACGCTTTAAGCCCGCGACCTGCTCTTCCGTATTTTCTCCCTGTCAGCTCCTCCCTGTCAGTGCCACTTTGTCAGGGCAACGACCACTGAACAAGGTATAAGACAGGGTTCAACGTCTCAGGATCCTCCTCCCGATCCATGCACACGCATTCTTCGTTGCTTCGCCCGTCAGTCACTGACTCACTGGTTGACGGCGAAGGCGGTGTATGGTCTCTCCCACGCTCGAGTCTATCGTTGAGCTAATCTCACAGTAGTGATATAATCGATTCAAAATACACTCATAATACTCCATCTTACTGCTCCCCAATGTCTGGACTGGTATCCGTAGATGTTGGCTGCCAGCGGGAGCACCCCTTTTAGTCCCGGATCATGCGATTTCTTTCGAAACGCCTCTTTAACGCGACCGAGTGCCCTCAATTATTTTCGCTTCGCCATTAGAATAAACGAGCCCCAGACCGTCTTGACCTTCGCATCGCGCCAGTTGTCTCCCATCTCCTTCCACTTTGGTTCCGACGCAACGATCTCGTCCATGAGCATGTCTACAATGTCCCCTTCTCCCCCGTCTGCGCGGCTCTTCCGCTCCGGATGCGCCCCTTTCCAGCCGAGATAGCTACTCGCCGTCCTCACGTAGCTTTCAAAGCCGCCCAGCGTCGTCTCCTGGACCATCCACGCATCGCCAATGTCTGCCTCAGTCGCCTCGTCATCGACCTCGTATTCGATACGCTGCACCGCTTCCCACTGGCTCGCCGGCGGCACAACGTCCGCGAGCAGCTTGCGCAGGATGTTTCGGCCTGGCTGCTCCCAGTGGCGGCCCATGGTCTCGATACCCGGCGCGATATCCTCCTCGCCGTAGCTAAACTTGTCGAAAATCACATTGGCCTTGGGATGGCCGAGTAGCACGTTATCCTTGTAACCCCAGAACGCCAGCGACCCTCCTGGCTTGACCACGCGAGCAATCTCGGGCCACGCCTTGCTGTAGTCGAACCAATGCGCCGCTTGGCCCGACACTACCAGATCTACTGACTGGTCCGGCAGAAAGGACAGGTCTTCGGCCTTGGCCTGTCGAATTTCAATCTTGCCATCCTGTGTCATGCTCTTGGCCTGCGTGACCATGTTTAGGCTGGGGTCTGTCGCAATAACTTTGGCAAATTTAGGGCTCAGCTCGCGGGAAATAAGTCCGTGGCCGCACCCCAAATCCAGTAATGTGCCGTCGGACTTCTGCGCATTGTGATAATTGAGTACTGTCTGGAACAAAGCAGCAGGATACGAGGGTCTGCTCGCAGCGTAGCCAGCCGCCGAAAAGGCTTTTTTCCTGTTGCTAGTCAGCGCATTTCGTCCATCCGTCTGCAAGCGTCGCCCAGTAACTCACGCAAACAATGACATGATGATTAACAGCAGCTACTATCGAGCAACCGTCAACGTACTTTCGCTTCTAAGCGGTCCAAATGATGACTTATATACGTAACTCCATTGGCGGCCACTCCGAGCTAATTGCCGACTCGGCCGATGCTAGCGTCTGTGAATGTTAGGCTCAGCTGATGTTGCAGGGTATGCGTTAGGCGCTTGCGCGCGAAAGCTTTCAAGCATTTGATGGCGACTATATATGTCATAAAAATCCAAGATGAATTGTTCATCAAACCTGGACAATTTGAAAGCATTATTTGAGGAGAATAAAAAAAAAGACATCGTGATTCGCACTGCTGGTTGTTGCAATGTACACGACACCATGAAGTCCATTAGCTTAATTACAACTTAGCTGTGCCACTCAAGCAAGCCATGGTATTCCCGAACACCTACGGATAGAGCGCCATATCATCAATTACAGCGATTAGCCGTAAAGCCTTGCGGTACCTCTGTAATCTATGTAAATTCGAGCGCCATAATAACTAGCTGGCAGACCCTCGATACTCAACGACAAGACTATGGAGGAATTGTCTGTCAAAGACCGTTGAACTAAAGAGTATACTACGGTCTCGGAGAGCAACAATCCCGTACGTATTACAACTTGGACAACAGAACTCATCAATGATAGTTTGTCAGCATGCAAGATGGTATGGGGCAAATTTCTTGCCCGAGTTGCGCCATCACGTCAATCCTCCGGCGGAGGCGGGGCAGGCTGGTTTACCTCCACGTCGGAGCACCCCGCTAAGAATAGCCGTGGCTCGGAGCACTTCATCGCCGTCAAGACGACCGTCTATTCTTCTCCAAACATAATCACACGCTCTGGAATAATCTCAGGCCTCGCTTGAGAGATCAACGTCAAAATTTTAGCAATCAAGATGGCCACTGAAGCTACCGCGCGCAAGTTCTTCACTGCGCCGTCATTCGCCGTTGTCGGCGCAAGCTCCAACCCGGCCAAGTTTGGCCATAAAGGTGAGCCGTCACTATTTACGAGGCAGCATCCCGCTCCGGATTCAAACTTACTTCTTGCCTGGCAGTGCATGCATGGTATCTGGACCGCGACCTCAAGGTCACCCCCGTCAATCCTGCCTCACCGACCGTGACGGTCAATGGCAGCGAGCACGCCACTGTGCCCAATGTCTCAGCCTTGCCCAATCCCAAGGAGACGGGCGTGTCCATAATTACACATCCTGGCATCACGATCGGGGTTTTGAAAGAAGCCAAGGCGGCTGGCATTCCGTCCATCTGGCTGCAGCCGGGTACATGGGATGATGAGGTGCTCAAATTTGCGTTGGCTGAGGGTACGTTTGAGGCTGTCGTCTACGGAGAGGGCGACCGTGGCCATGACGGCTGGTGCGTCCTGGTCGATGGTGACAAGGCCTTGAAGGCCGCCGGAAAGCTTTGATTGGATCATAGCTAAATTGCAATCGACCCCTTTGTAAAAATTCCATGCGGCTTCTGCGGTAGAGTGAAGTCGACATTTGCAACGTGCAATGCGAAGTCGAGCCGAATTAGGACCCGATTCGCATCTGTACGCGTGTTGGCAGCAGCGTGTTGCAGAGCAACAATTGCATCTCAATCAGCTCGCAACTCTTCAAGTTTGTAGGTCCGAAATGGGAAACAGTCAATGTTCTCTCTGATTGAATAATGCAAGTTCATGTATGCAGCTAGAATGTTTCAGCACTGGCTTCGCTACAAAGGCCGCTGTTGTGGCTCGCCGCCCCACTCCAGCACAAAGTAAACAAACGCGGTTCTAAAATGGCCAAGAAATACCACCAGCAACACCACAAGCTTGAAGGGCGACCAATCTTTTTGCGATTCGTGCGTTGAAAAGGTTTATATCTGCATCTTGCATCTTATTCATACAGGAACGATTCTAGATTTGAGATATGGCACTCCGGTCTCTCTAGCAACACCATATCTACCTTCCAACCACTTTGTGACGCACCTCGTCGCGCAGTTGTCGCGCGACCCATCTCTCACGACCTCCTTTGCACGCATTGTCTCTGTCACCAATCTTGCGGCAGCCGAAAACCGACATAATGGCCGACATCGAAAAATACTTTACATACGATGGCCGCCTCGCGTCCTTTCGGAAAACTACCAAGAAGCGCGGATCTACCGCTGGACGCAGCGCAAAACCATTAAACTGGCCACACAAACAGATTACACCCGCAAGTGTACGTAGCCAGCAGTCCAATTGCTGCTAGACTCCATACAGCTAACCGAGATGATTACAGCTCGCAAACGCTGGGTTTTATTTCAACCCGAGCCCCAGTAACCCCGACAATTGCACATGCTTCCTCTGCCAAAAGGGTCTCGACGGCTGGGAAGCTGGTGATGATCCTTTGGTAGAACATCTGACCCACGCCTCGCACTGTGGATGGGCCGTAGTCAAAGCCATCGAGGCCGAAATTGAGGAATACTGCAAGCAGGACCCAACGCTTCCTCACATGGCAGAGGCCCGAGAAGCCACTTTTGGTACTAGATGGCCGCACGAGGGCAAGAAGGGATGGGAGTGTCAAACGAAGCAGGTAAGAATGCCTCTCCCAGTAGAAGGAGCAGTTCCCGATGTTGACTTGCCTCTTTCTTCAGCTTGTTGATTCGGGATGGGTTTACACCCCAACCGACGAATCCGATGACATGGCCACATGCATGTATTGCCAGCTGGCACTAGATGGATGGGAACCTGAAGACAAACCTTTGTAAGATGAACAGACGCATATTTATCCTGATCGTCTCAATTGACATCTTTTAATAGCGAAGAGCATTATAAGCGCTCCCCGAGTTGCGCCTTCTTTTCACTCTCGAGCGAACCCGAGCCTGCACCGAAGAAGACTGCACGTGGCAAAGCGGCCAGAGGATCAAAAGTGTCCCGAGCATCAACACAATCAGTGCAATCTGTTTCTACAAGTGCATCCGAGGCCATTGCTTTTGACGAGACAGCCGAGCCAGAAGACAGTGTTCTCACCACGACGTCAATGGCCCAAGGCAAGAAATCTCGGCCAAAGAAGGCCACGGCCAAGGCCACAAAAGGTGGTCGAAAGAAGATCAAGAAGGAGACGACCCCTGTTGAAGATGCCAGCGATGCTGGTGATGAGAGCGAAACCATCAGCAAGCCGCCTCCCGCTAAATCAACACGCGGCCGAAAGCGAATGAGCGAGGCAGCCGAAGATTCCTTGATGAGCACAGCCAGTGCGCCAGCGACAAAAAAACGAGCCACAAAAACACGGGCCAGTGTGATGGAATCATCTACTGCGTCCGAGGACACTGCTGTGCCTGATGCCCCGGCCCCTGCCAAGGCCAAAGGTCGTCCGCCCAAAACTCGCAAGCCCTCTGCAGCGGCATCGGCAGCAAACACTTCCATTGTTTCACTACGTGTCACACCAGAAGTATTTCCAGATGATGACGAAATCGAGAGACAATTGGAGGCGGACCTTGAGCGCCAGCTTACCGAAGACGAGTTTGTGTATGAATATCAGCGGCCATCAGCTCAGCCAGAAACAGAGCCAGCGGTTGAGGCGATACAGAAGTCGGCGGCGTATAGAATGCTTGACCCTGAACCATCAGAAGCTGATGAGGTTGAGGTTGATGGCGAACTCCAAGCACTTCAAAACGAAATGGAGGTTGAGGAGCCAGTCAAGGAGCTGAAGGTTGGCAAAAAAGGTCGAAAGGCAGCTGGTACACGAAAAGCCGCGAAACAGACGAAAGCGAAGAAGGCAAAAGAGCCTTCTCCTCCGCCACCCCCTTCCCCATCACCCCCTCCTTCTCCGCCTGTCCAATCCATCGAAGGCGAGATTGACGAGTCAGACATTCAAAGTGTTGTTAGCACCGATACTGTGGTAAAGAATGCCGATTCTGTGAACTCAATGACTGAGAAGCGGGGCAGGGCGCAGCCCAGAAAATCATCCGTTGCTTCTGAAGACTCTGTTGACGTGGTCACGTATGTGGAACAGGATGAGACTCCGATCAAACATGGACGTGAAGAAGCAGATGAGGCTGAGCAGTCGCCGGAGCCCTCCCCAAGTCCGTCACCTGGGCCCGACGCTCAATTGACAAGCGAAGCACATGTCGCAGCAGACATGAATGACGACAATCTCCTTGCAGCGGATGAGGATGTGCAGATTGCAGAAGACCCCATTGAAGCTGCTACGTCGCCAATGGCAACCTCGGTGGCAGAGCCACCATCTACGCCTGGTTATGCGACATCACCCGCTCCCTCTGCGAAGCAAGCAGCACTTTCGCCGTCACAGTCGCCTCAGTCGTCTGATGCTGAGAATCAGCCACCATCGTCCAGGCCCAGCGCATCTGCGAAACGCACCGTGTTGGCACAAGTGGCCGCTACTCCGTCTCGAATGTCGCCTTCAAAGCGCAACGTCATTGCGGGGTTGCAAAGTACGACACCATGGTCGCCCACGAATCTGGATGCCATCTTTGGCTCTCCAAAGGCAGGGACCGACAAGGAGAACGGTGTGGAACGCCTGCTCAAACAAGGCAAGGAGTTGAGTAGTCCTGAAAAGCAGATGACTGTGGAAGAATGGATACACTTCAACGCGGGGGAAGCGGAGAAGAAGCTCAAATATGAATGTGAACGGATGGTCAGTCTGTTTGAGAGCGAGGGCACGAGAGCCATGAACGTGCTCGAAGGCTTGACCGTCGAATAGGAGGCATATGGTACATGATGACGACCGGCACTACGAACATGGTATAGAGATTGTTTCTGGGCATTGTTTAAGCGGGCTAGGGTTTTGCACACTTGGGAAGCTGTGCGATTTTGGATTGACGGGATACGTGCTGCATTTACAATGTTGGAGCAGAGGATATGTTGATAATTGAAAGTATATGATTGATTCTGGGCCCGTGATAACATGCTTGATGGCTCTGAACATGTATTGTGCGAAATTATGCCACAGAAGCTGTGATGTAATTGTGCAGAGAAAGTGGTGGGCAATAGCGTAATGCTGACCTCGCCGTGTGCATGGACTTGGGCTTGCCAACTTGGATCGCGTGGCCGATGTGATGGGAAGCGGCACAGATATTGAGGCGAAGCAGCCACTGGGCGTTTCGCATATTGATTGATAGTCCGTGTGAGCCGATCAAGGCCAAAGGACCTCGCGCTCGCAAAGGAAAACCCTTTGATCTACAACGCCCCCCTTCTACATGTTGAAGTCATGCGCAGTGAGGGACAGAGGTCGTTTGCCGCCTTGCCCCACGTGCATCAAACCAATATCGCTGGCGATCCCTCGACCAATGCTGCCAAGGCTTCAGTGACTTTTTTCCTCAGAGCTCTTTTGGAGACGGAGCTAGCTTAACGTTGGTTAGCGCAAAAAGCAAAAAGCTTGTGTCTCAGACTTTGGCCAAAGTGACGATGAACGATAATTTGGGGAAGAAGGGGAGGGTTGCAATTGTGGGGGAGGAAGACGGGAGAAGACAAGGGAAGAAAGGGCGAAAGCGAGGGGTAGATGTGAATAGAAGAAGAAAGAAGAAGCTTTCCAGCCCCGGATATTGGGCAGCTGACCACCGGTTTGGTATGAAGAAGACGGGGGGGGGGGGGGGGGGCGGGTCACTGGGGGAAGCAACGGGATAAGAAGTTGTGGTGTGTGGTGGTGGCGGGGATTTGGACCCGGGGCCAGTGCCGGGCCCAGTGACTTGTGTCTTTTTTTTGCGCCGAGTGTTGGAGGCAAAAGAAACCGAGTTGTCAGAAAAAGGTATGGTGGTGGTAGATGTTGGTGGACGGCGACTTGATCCCATTCGCTCATCGCGTGAGGGGAAGAAATGCCCATGACGATTTCCCCCGCCCAACGTTGGTGTGAACTGTTTGGCCTATCTTTTATCAGCAGTCCATTTCCAAACAAGTTCGGCAGTTGTTGCAAGTTTCGCTCGTTAGGGCCCCGCGCGCGCGCATCGTTCTCTGCCGATAGATATGAGAGGCTGATGCTAGTGCTGGTTCATTAGTTGATTGTGGGTGCGTGGTGGTCTGACGACGTCGGTTTTTTTTTGTTAGAGGCTGCATCGCCGCACAAATGACGAATGGACTGGTACTCGGTTAGGTTTGGGACGCGTTCTGTATGGTGACCCCCGAGTCCTGATTGGGGGGGTTGAAGAAGGGGGTTGTAGGGTTGTAAATTATTAGTTGCAGTGTAGGTATGCGTTGGCGCCCGGTGCGGGACCTTGATGAGGCTTGGCCTGATCATCATCGTGGGGTGTAATCGCAAAAGAGTGTGACCAAAAAAAAAGTATATATTCCGGGTGGCCACTTCACATTTCAAACTTCGTTCTGATTCTTCTTTTTTTCTTCCCAACGAGGAGAAGCGCTCCCCAGCCTCTTTGCTCTCTCATCGCTGGATGAGAGACAAGAGCTGGGGTTGTCGTGGACCTCACTTTGTCATTTTCAGCCTCATGTTGTTTATGCTACTCAAAAGAGCATCTTATTTTTATTTGCTTTCAAAGCACGATTCTTGCCTTTGGAGGCGAATTCATAACATTGCGAAAAGGAGAGGAAAAAAAAAACAGACAAAAGAGGCGAACAGTTTGGTTCAGCTTCTCGTTGAACGTTGCTTCATTTCTAATCTTCTTGTCCTTGTCATAACCAACCGCATTCTACACAAAAAAGAAAAAAAAATCACTACCCCCCCGATACAAAAAAGTCTTGCTCGTCACTCTTCCTTTATTTACACCAGCTGCATCTTTCCTTAGATTGCAATGCTTGGCGTTTCTGTCTACCTCGAAGAACCCTCTTTGCTGTTGTCCGGCGTATCCTCCTCCTCCTCCTCCTCCTCCCCAGCCCAACAACCAAAGTCTTGAGACGTTGTTCCTTCAAAGGTGCTGGGGGCGCCGACACACGCCAATTTTCCGAGTATTTCCGATTCCAAGTACTCGAGGGGGTCTGCTCTACTCGACGCAATTCTACACCACAGAAAAAAGCAAACCAATTGCTTATACTGTCCTTTCTCCCCCCTTTCACGGCGTTGATGGGCCACCTATTCTTTACACTCTTACTTGGGCGACTACCCCTGCGACTCTTTTTCATCACACACAGAAAAATGCCTTTGAAAAAAATAATGGAAATGTCATTTGGTGGATTTTATTCTAATGGGGCTTCTTCTTCTACATAATGTACTATTATTGTCAAACCTTTTTTTCTTTTGGATTCCGAGGTTTTTGCTTGTGTTGTCTTGGTTTCCTGTAATGCAGTATTCTCAGATCGACGGCCTCAATAAGATTGGATACTCTTTTTCGCTACATTTTTTAATTCAAGTGAATGTCCCAGCAACGATTGTCGTTTCAATTAGATCAAGTGTCTTCGTAAAGAAATTACTTTTCATTGTAAATCATTAGCTCTGATGGTCATTAGGTACATGTAATCATGTCTTGGCGAGGCCGCTGACAATGCTAAAAATCAAAGCACACGACAGGTCCTTTTTCTCGTCCTCCTCATGAATCGTTTTTCCTTTCATTCCCTTCTCATGAAAACACATCATGCCTTTGAAATGGCACTAGATTATCAGAACAATCATGGCCACAATCAATGCTGGCGCCGCACCGGCAAGGCCACAGCGACCAGTGACCCCATTCACAAGCACCAGTGGCATACCAGTACTTTTGGGCGTCAAGGTAGCGCTGGCGGTGACAGGGGGATTCTGGCTCGTAGAGTCAGACTTGACAACAACAGGGGTCGTGGACATTGCATGATGCGTCGACGACTCATCTTCTCCCGCCGCACCGCTGTGGTGGGCAATTGAGGAAACGGTTCCAGCTTCCGGCCGACTACTACTAGTAATACTACTCTGGCTTGTCTTGGCGGCAGAAACGGCGCCGGTATTGGAAGCAGTAGTTTGAAGATCCTCGGCGCCCGAATCAACACTGCTAGACACCCTTGGTCTCTCAGTAGTTGTGGCCGAGCGGGTGGCTTGCGCGGTGGTGGTGGTGGTGGTGGTGCTTGGCGAGGGCTCAAAGCCGCCCGAGCTCGCACCCACCTGCGTCGTCGTGTGCAGTGGCTGGGAAAACAGTGCCTGGTCTGGGCCAGCTGGGCTGCTGCTGCTGCTGCTGCTGTTTGGCTGTGCAGAGACCATCGTGCTTCTCGTCGGTTCTGAGCGGCGGCCGTTGCAAAAGTTGAGAAACTGCGCAAACACCGACCCAATGTAGTCGTCAATCGTGCTGCTGCTCGACGACGACACGCTGGCATGCGTCTTGATGCACGCGGTGCACAGCTCGAACCCAACCTGGAACGAGGAGCGGGGCCGACAAAGCTCGTCAGTCTTGCCTCCGGCTTCGGCGATGAGATAGGCATTGTTGCATTCGTCAAAGCATCGAGAGGGAGGAGCCGGTGCTCGCTTCACCAAGGACCGGCCACGCTGCCCCCGTGTCTGACCGGCGTGGTTCACAAACACATCATAGGTGAGGCCAAAGTCTGTTGGATCGAGATTAAAGTAGCCGTTTGACGGGGGATAGTAGTAGCTTGTCGCATTGTCCGACCAGTGAGTCTGGGTAAAGGGCGGCGAGGGGATGCACTCGTTTGCGCGGCACACAAAGTCGTCAGAGGGCAGCCCCGGCCACATGTCGCAGCCCTGCGGCTTGGGCGGCGAGCAGACGCTGCCGGGCGAGCAGCCAAACGTGAGGTTGGAGCTTGGCGCAAGCGGTGCGTAGAGCCCGGTCGGTGCAGGACAGACGGTAATTTTGCTTGTCGATGCCGGCTGGGTCAGGGTAGAAGCTGGCTGGGTCAGGGTAGAAGCTGGCTGGGTCAGGGTAGAGGCTGGCTGGGTCACCGTCGAGGCTGGTTGAGTCACGGTAAAGGCCGGCTGGGTTATCGTAAAAGCTGGCTGGGTCACGGTCTCGTACGAGACGACGGGGTAGCTCGTCGTCAGCGTCGTGACAATTGTCTCCGTCGTAGTCTCTGTTGTAGTCACAGTCACATCATGTGCCGACGTGACAGTAACAGGATACTGTGACGTGCGCGTGATAGTTGCCGTATAAGTCGTCGGCACCCACACCGTGACGGACTGGTTGCGAGTCTGCGTCACCGTCGCCCTGTCGGTAATTGTAGTTGGCACAATGGACACGGTAGGGACCAGGATTGTAGTCGGGACCAAAACTGTAGTCGTTGACGTGTCGGTTATCCATTGCGTTGAAGTCACAGTGTCGCATTCGAGCGGCGCTTCTTGTCCATGGCCAACGGGGGTGCGTCTTGTTCGTGATGCAGACGGCGCAGGCGGCTTCTTGGTGCAGCTTGATCAAATGGTTAGCCGCTGTTTTGTGCGGGGGGGACGTAACAAGGACACACTTGATGAGACTGGTGATGGTGACGGGGTAGCTCTGCGAGAGAGAAATGTCAGCAAAGCTTCCGGCTACTGTACTGTATTTGAGCGGGTTACTGACAGTCGTCAAAGTAGACACGGATGTCTTGGTCACAAACTCTGTTGTGTACTGGATCTGGGTAGATACATCGCGCTGAGTGGCGGTAACAGTAGTCTACGGAAATCGTCAGTCAAGCACCCCCCAAAACAATCAAGAGAAATGCCTCTGTACAGTCTCTGTCTGGGTATAACTATTCTGCAAGTCAGCAACGGCATGTGGTGGGCTGATATATGGTCTGTCCTTACTAGTACGTTTCCCTGATGGTCGTATGAAGAATTGTCTCTGTGCAACACGTTGGACATTGTGCCCTGAATATCGCCGCGGCTTCTACAGTCAATATATTCCTTGGGATGAGAAGCTGAAGATTGGCAGACGCAAGCCCTGCGACAGAGGCCACCGCAAGTGCGAGGAGCATCTTCATGCTGATCAGACTGTCCGCCGCCAGCCGACAACTTGGCCACCCGAAATGTGACTGCAGCTTGAAAGGAATACAAAAATAGGTGGCAATAGGATTTGAATGGTAATTGCACGACTTTGTATTTTTGCTGAAATCACAATGCTGCTGTTTGAGTAGGAGCCTCAGCTTGGGAACGCATTGGCCTGTCAAGCACCTCTGTTGAGATCACAGACGCTAGAGCGTAACCTGATTTGACATATCAGTGATGGCAAAAGTGAGTTGAAAGGAATTCTTCCAATAGATCATAAATCTCTGCACACCTGTTGTAGAAGGGTGTGTTCTGCATGCAGGTCCTAGACTCGTTGCTTGCGTTGCGACGCGACCTGCGCCCGCAAACACGTTACGCAAGTAGTGTCTAGAGACAATTAATTACACAATACCCCGGTCAACCACGTTCTCGAATTGAAATTAGCCTTCGAATCTGAATGAAGGCGCAAACATGCAGAGCCTCAGGCTGCGCACCTCGCGCGAATAATTAGCACCGGAGGGCACCAAAACTAGGGATCAAGCTTTTTTTCCCTTTAGCGTTCGATTTGAACCTTCGAGAGATCCATTGATTCTCGATTGCAACGGTGAACCCCTATGCACACCAGAGAGGAACCCCCTGTTGCCATTCCTGCATCCTTGTTTACACACCTGACCCATTGGCAACTGCAGCAAGTGCAGTCATCACACACAACTCCATTATTATTCTTGACAAACAAAAGACAAAGTCTCAGTTTCCTCGAGAGGCGCCGGGCGCACGGATAGCAAACAACAACGGCCCTCTCGCGGGCCGCGGGCGGCCTTGCTGATTGGTCCCTGTGGCTTTGTCTAAGCCTGTTTGGACAATCACTCGAGAGGTGGCATTTTCAGCACGCCAAGCCACTGACGCCTCTTGAAAATTGAAAAATATATTTGGCCTGAATAGTGCGCTATATCAGTACGAATACGGAACGTTTCAATGCCCGAGTACCGTGTTGAATCAGGCAACTTGGCAATCAATTCGTGTTGAATCATTGATTTTTGTAGAAATGGTGTTGAAGCTCAGTTGAGAGGGGGTTGAGTTCCCTGCTGCGTTGAGAGCGTTTTAAAGCCTCAACGTCTTCGGTGTGCGAGGGCTGGGCATGCTAATAATCGTCTCCACGACTAATTACTTCCTTGTGCCGTTCTCGGAGTAAAATGGTCTGACTTTAGTTAGGATTTATCTTCAGCGGTAAGCGCTCTGACTTACATGCTCGAATTGTGCCGAGTACGACCCGGCAACGTCAACCAATGGAGCATATGCTTCCAAGATGCCATTTGCTACAAGGCAATTAAGCTGCAAAAGTATCAGCATGCAACAAAACTTTATCAAGGTCAAGTCCTACCCCAGCGACGTAGCGATCAACTCCGAGGCGGTCAAGATATCGGCGCGCAAACACAAGGGTACCAAAATTTTCCTTGACTGTCTTAAACACCCGATTGGCCGAGGAAAGAGGAAGATGTACATGCGATGGAGCGTCGTCGTTTAGTCCGTACCCGTAAATGCCATTCTGTAAACGTTAGCGACAGGAAGCGCAAATCAGTCTGGGTCTAGTTATGGCGCAGACCTCTTCGCGGGTGTAGCCGCGGCCAGTCGACCCAAACGTCTCAATTGCGAAGACTTCGCCCTCTTCCATTTTGGTCACATCCGAGTTCTTTATGAATGGAATCATCTTTTTACCGTGAATGTGGTACTGCTTGATGTCGTGGCCACACAGATTTCGCACCGGCTTCACCGGGTAGACTTTGCCATGAATCTCGACCTCGTAGCTCTCCATAGTCTCTTGAATAGCAGCACTGACATCGCAGATGCGCACATCTATACCTGCAGTCTGAAGCCAAATTTTCAGCAATGGCGCACATCTGGTTTCAATGGCAGCCCTTCTTACCTTGATGCCAGTATTCGTGGCGTCCTTGACAGCAGCCAGCAGGTCATCATACATCGGATTAAACGCCATAGTAAAGGCGCTGTCGACGATCCAACCGTTGATCTGGACGCCAAAGTCCACCTTCATAACATCGTCATACTGAAGAACTACATTTTTCTGGCCCGGATTGGGCGTGTAGTGGGCAACGCAATGGTTCAGCGAGAGACCGGTAGGAAAGCCCAGGCCAGACCGAAGAGAAGCGCCAGGCTCGAGACACTGGTTACCGAGGAGTGCCCGGACACCGTCCTCGATGCCAACCGCAATCTCGGACAGAGTGTGGCCAGGTTTGACCGTTTCTTGAACCCAGTGTCTGACCTGACGATGAATCTCTGCAGACTTTCGGTAGTTGTTGAGAAATTCAGCATCGTCCAAGTTGGGACGTCCTTGCAGGCGCAATTCTTTGGCCTTGAAACGCACACTCGTATCCAGAGGCGCATTGTACTCCATGAGCTGGCCTGGCCGGAACTCTCCCAACGGGAACAGTTCATCCAATGGAATCCGAGGAGGCGAAGACTGCTGCAGGGAAGCTGCAGCTTTCTTCTTCTTCTTCTTGGACCGCTTACGTTTCTTCTTCTTGTCCACTGTCGAGACAGCAGCACCTGCTAGCGCGGCGGCGGCGGCGGCTTCTGCCTCGTCATCATCGTCATCGTCCTCATCGCATCCGTCACTTCCCACGCACCCGTCGCCATCGCGAGAAATGTGCTTGCCACGTGGTTCACCGCCCGTGCCGTTGGATCCGTTGGCAGGCGGGGCGTCTTGACGCCATCAGCAACTGCTACAAAAGAAATTGCACTGGCACGCAAGCAGTTTTACGATAAACTTTGACGTACCTTGCCTTCCAGGATCCTCATCTTCCAGAGTCTTGGAGCCCATGCTTGCATAGCCAAAGGGCGTGTTGTTCCGTTTTATCGGTTCGAGGTTGCAGGTTCGAAACTATTTTTCCTGCTGGCCGCGTTCGCTCCGAGCCAGTACTGTGCTACACGTGATGATTTTCGGCAATACCTATTTGGGTAATGGCTAATGTTTGGAGAAACAAGAATTCGGAAAGTTCAACAGCTTCAATTGTGTAATACACATAAAACAAAACTTCTCTTCCGAGTACCATGCCCCGCGTTGCTGTATTCACACTTGTGCCGCTCCTCGTTTCTCATCTCCACCACCTTTGACGGTTTATTTAGCGGCCATTGCGGCTTGCTCGACACCCAGCGAGAGCCGAAGAACTCGGCCGTTCCATATGGCTTTCGGTATTGGCTCTTTCAGTCTCTGTAGCCGTTAGCGTATGTAATGCATCTTGCTAAAATTATCTACTTACTTGACCAGCTCCAGGGTCCCGCCAACCGAGCGATCCAAGTATGCGACCTGCACGTGCCCGCATGAGAGCCTTTTACCGCTGCACAAGTTGGAGAATCAAACGTACAAGGTTTTCTCTAAGAACTCAAGATTCTTCCATCACACCATTATATACTCAAGAACCTTCCAAGGGCTCAGATCCTTCGAAAAGGGTCCGAGACACAGAAATGACATTTCACACCCAAGCAGAGACTTTATGGGGGCAGCCCCATTCTCAAGCGTTGGGCCTAACTAGAAAGAATTGATCTTTCTTTCGCAGGCAGACTTGACAAGTGAAACAACCACACGGGTTGTCGTTGCTGCGGGCGCTGTGGCCAATGCGTGTCTTGACAACGCCCAGCCACCATGTTTGTTTGTTCAACGCCACACCAAGCCCGAGACAATAATGATGAACCACCAGAACTCCGTAGACCTCAATGAGATCGGCGAATGCTGATGCAGGCTACCGCATGAGACACGCTTTGCCACCGCTGGACACTCAACATGGGCACGTAGGGGCAGCAAAACAGCACGATTGCATGCAGTGCTGGTTGCAAAACTGCAGCCCTTGAAACCTTCTACGCCGGCTATCACTCGCACAACTTTGAAATTATTGGTAGAGACACTACAATACTTTTGCGTTATTTTTTGGAATCGCTGCTGTCAGATCCGTTCGTGAAGCTGGTTCAGCTAATCGCAGTTAGTTACCAGTCGCTGGACACGTATCGATACTCAAAACGCAATAAATGTCCCCATGTTACATTCAAATCAAATGAGATCAATGCTGGCGTCGGTATTTATTATCCCAATCGGTCTCACTTGCGCGCAATTCGGTGATTGGGCACCAGAACAAATTAACACAACCATCTGCGTGTGGAACCAACCTCGAGGTAGGTGAGACCCAAGTTTTGCATGCGACAGAAGCTCAATATTCGATAGCGGCTTTGGTGCGCAACAAGATCTATATAGACGGTGGCTCAATATGGTGGTCTCCGGGGTTACAAAACGGAACATTTGGCCCCGTGTCTAATAAAGGTGAGTGCCCACCCTTGACGACAAGATGCCTGCTCACTGTCTCGTCTAATCCTCTCGTAGGAAATTTTCAAGGAATGATACTTTCATATGATCTGAGCAAACCATTCACGCGCGACACGAATGTGACGGGACTTTTACTGGACGGGACTTTGTCAAAAGCCCGAGGTGGCAAGGGCAATGCCAACGGCGACGCACCTGTATACTATGATGGCGCGATTCTCGCCAACGATGCAGAATTCTTCCTCTATGGCGGAGCAGTCTTTCAAGACAACGAGCTGTACGACCCGCCTCCGAGCTATGAAACCCTCAAGTACGAGGCGTACCCTTACGGCCCCGATAAGCCTCTGTGGAAGCCCGGCTTCAGCAGCAGGCGCCTGCCAGACGGCATTACCAGATATGTTGCCTATGGCGGCGCAGCCAGCGCGCCTTCCGAGAACAAAGCATGGCACTTCTCAGGTCTGACGGCTCCCAGTCGTGGTCCCTTTTTCTGGAATGCTGCAGCCTCTCCTGATGTGAAAGCGTCTGTTCCCTCGGATACCCTAATCACTTTGGATATGGCCAGTCAACTGACAGAAAAGTGGACAAACTCTACTTTACCGAGCCATATACAAGGACGAGCGAATCCAGAAGTTGTATGGGTCCCTGTAGGGGAGCAAGGAATTTTGGTCGTCCTCGGCGGTGCAGTATATCCCGAATGGGCTGGCGAGGCGCATGTTTCGCCCAATGAAACCCTCAGTGTAAGTCCGAAGAGGATTGTGTGAGCCCAGAACCGTGACTGATTAAACAAAGGAGAAAGAGAGCCCTGTATTCATGAGTACAGTTGACATATACGACGTTGCGAATGATACATGGTATCAGCAACCGACCAAAGGAGGCCCGGGTACCAGAACGCGGGGCTGTGCTGTCATCGCCCCTGCCGCAGATCGTTCGAGCTTCAATATCTACTACTATGGCGGTTTCGATGGTATTCATTCGTCAAAGGACTTTTATGACGACGTCTGGGTTCTATCGCTGCCATCGTTCACCTGGACCAAGATTGGTGAAGGAAAAGCAAGCCATGCCCGTGCCGGACACAAATGCTTCCTGCCATACCCTGATCAGATGATGGTCATTGGTGGCTACACGCCACTCTCTGGCACCACTTTGACCTGTTTGGAGGACGGGCCAATTGCTTTGCTCAACATCACAAGCGGTGAATGGATGGAGCAATATGACCCTGCAAAGTACGGTGTATATGGTGTACACCAAAAGGTGCAAGCGACCATTGGCGGGAACAGTGCCGGCCATGCCACGGCAACAGCACCCGTGCCGTCTGGATGGGCAACGCCAGCTCTCGGAAAACTGTTTGCGACATCGTATAACTTTGACAAGATGAAGACCCATTGGCCGTATAAGCCATCAAACACAGCCAGTACAGAGTCCCCCAAACAACCAATTCCCACTGGTCAACAGCGCAAGGGCGTGCCCGCCTGGGTCGCTCCAATATTAGGCGTCGTGCTTGGTCTCGTGTTAATGACAGGAAGTCTACTTGCATTCTGCATTTGGCGTCGTCGAAGGGCATCTCACGAGGGATCTGAAACGTCATCTTCGCGCGAGGCCATGCCGGAGCGACTCTACTACTGGGTTAAGGGCCACCCCCAGCGCCAACCAACTCTCACGTCGACACGCTCCTGCGAAGACTCGGGAGCAGACCGCTCTCCTACACTGAAACTCGTATCCCCGAGTGAGACTTGTTCATCTCCAACTACCACTGCATGTCACGAGATGGAAAATACTCAGCTTGCCGAACTCGACGGTAAGTCCAGCTTCAACCGCACCAGTTTCGCTCACGCACCCGTTCGCAGCTAACCTTTGTTTTTCTTTCCTTGTAGACACGTCGTCGCCAGTGGAACTTCACGATACGGGCCTCAGTACTGCAGATGTGATGTGGCGGAACGCTGGTTTCACGCCCCTCTTGACCAGCTTTAGCTCGCGGGCCTCTCTCAGGTCGGCCGTGTGCGAATCACCCGTGATAAGTAGCATCAGCGCCAGCGCCAGCGACGGTACGCCTTCGACGCCCCTTCATCCTCTACGTTGGACCTCAAAGGTGTCCGCCTTTTCTTCTGTCAGCGCCGAGAGCGGCGAGGGAACGAATTCGTGGTCGCCGAATGGCGTCGTCAGTCCCATCGGCCCGACTACATCGCCTATTGCAGAAAGTGTTGCAGAAAAGATGATGAGGATGCCGACCATGACGTTGCGGCGAGAGCGAGTCCACTGCAAAATGTAATAAGCAAGGATGATGTACGACAGGGGTCGAGTTGAATTGGAGTTGTTGCCATATAAAGCGTGGGCCTCGATTTGCCTTTCTATATGTGATTATTCTGACTTGAGGTCACTCCTCTACCAGGAGGATATTTGCCAGGTGACGTGCCGCCGGTTTTGTCTATACAATATCCAATGCATGCTACTCGTTCGATTAAACCTCGGTGATCTCTTCCTCATCGTCTGCAAGCTCTGTAAGTCTCTTCTGATCGAGCTGCTGGCCCTCGCCCTCCTCGTCACGCATGAGAACCTGTACCAATCTGTCGCAGGCCTCCCGGACCTCGTCGTCGTCGACTCGGCTGTGCGTCTCACGTACCACGGGGTAAACGTTGACTTGGCGAAGATAATCGCGCCCCGGTCGCGTTGTTGTGAGCAGCAACAATGTCTCGAGATGCGTCTGAATAATGGTATTGTCCGAGTCACGCTTCTTGTCTGGCGGCAGCAGCTGCAGATCCGGGAGCATGCTCATGGTCTCATCTACATCGTACTCTTCGTTGCCAGTGATTGGCAGAAGAATATATGGGAGGATATCGATGCCCTCTGTGGACAGGAATGATGGGTGCGAGTCGAGATCGAATGCGACGTTTTTTAATGTGCTGGCGACACCTTTGCGGCGAATGTCGGACTCGTGCTCAGTAAACACCTTGAGCTTTGTAATGGGGATGACCTTGTCGTAAGTCTGTTCCGTGACGAAATACTTGCGAATGTCTTCGTGTTTGGATAAATCGGCCAAGACATAGGCGAGATAGTCAAAGTCCGCCTTGGGGTTGTAAGAGCCATTCTGACCCTTGACCAGGAGATCCATAAGCTGGTTGAGAATGCAGTCGTCGGAGCCCAGCTCCTTTGGAGATTCCTGTCTCTTATCGATGATGCGCTTGAGACTATCTGATTTTGTCATGTTGGCCAAGACCATGGCGAGTAGATTGGCATTTTCTTCTTTGGGGCCCTGTGTGCAAAAGTGTTGGCCAAGCCCGGATGATACCAGCCACGGAAACAAGTAAAAAAGCGTACCACGATGAATGACAGAACCAAGTCCAAGAACTTGTCGTCTGAAGCTAGGCATTCTAGAACTTCTGGGTCACCAGAGAGATTTATCAAGCAGCTTAATGCATACTCTGCGACTTTCTGCAAGAACGTGTGTGTAAGCAACGGCTTGCCGTTTATATGCACCCAAAAAAAAGCTCAACATACGTAATGATCATTGAGCAGAACCTTGAGGTTCTTGATCGGTCTCATATCATCCACCTTGAATATGCTGGGTTCTGAGAGCGAGTATGGGACCAGGTTCTCAGTGGCGAGGAGCCGAATCTGAGGGTTCTGATGGGTGATGAAGCCCACAAGCTGCAGCCGGGGTTAGCCATGTGATCTGTGCTAGGGATGAGTGAAATATACCTCTTCGAGTTCTGTAGGCATTTTTGCAGAAAATACAGAAAAGAAAAGTTAATAACAAACAAGGCCTTTTCGGCAAGATTGTATGAAATTGTTAGATGGCTGATGAGCGAGAGCTGCTGCATTGATAAATGCTTGGAGGGGCCATTTTTGATCTTTGGTGGGGCAGCCATTGGCTTACAGTGAGCGGCGTAGTGACTTCTAGAAGGCTAGGCACAGAAGAATAGCGTGTGTATATTACGGCGCAGATAGAATATGGTTGTCAAAAATGGGCTCTATGGGATTATAAATGTCTTTTCGGTTCTGCTCTAGATCTCAATATGTTGTCCAAAATATCATTGCAGCTTGTACGTGAAATCAATCACCCCCACCACATACAGCGAGCCCAAAGGCGGTCAGCGTGAGGTACCAAATTTGTGAGCGCGCTAAGCTATTCAGGGCTAAGAGGGGTGGCAGTACCGCCCGCTAGACACAAAATTTCAACTTTTTGTCGCACCGGCTACAGAGTCCACCAGGAAGAAGTCGACGCAGAATATAACCAGCACATCGTGCAAGTCGTAGCCCTCGAAAATGCCCAAGGCGACGACTCCTACCGCGACTCGCGGCTCCCGCCGTCACAACCCCCTCGAGGACGATATTCTCGCCACCGGTATCCTCCGCAACAAGCCTGCCAAGAAGGGCTCCAGGAACGGTGATGAGGATGAGGGCCAAGATGCCTTTGTCGACTCTAAAGCGTCCAAGAATATTCTCCGTATTGGTCGCGAGCTCGCTGAAGAAGACAACTTCGAGCGTGCGGGTGCCGTTGCCCCTCCTACCGTTGACAACTTTGGCTACGACTCTCGCTTCGGAGATGTCGACGACGAACCCAAGGTCTACGGCGACGACGACGAAGCCTGGGGTGATGAGGAGGAAGAGGTAGAGGAAATTGAAGTTGATCCAAATGATCTGGAGACATACCGAAAATTTATGCCCGATGAGGAAGACGACCTGCTCAAGCATGGCTGGGACCGTCGTCCCACTGGCCATGAACAAGTGGAAGAGCCTACAAACCTCGCCGACCTCATTCTCCAAAAGATAGCTCAACACGAGGCCCAACAAGAACGCGGCCAAGCGGCCCCTCCTCCCGACGACTATGAGATCCCCCCCAAGGTTGTCGAAGTGTACACCAAGTAAGTCTTTTTGTTGATCCATGTTCTCGAGATGTTTGCTAATCAGCAACACAGAATCGGTGAAATTCTCTCCCGCTACAAATCCGGCCCCCTTCCCAAGCCGTTCAAAATTCTGCCCACGATTCCTCACTGGGAAGACATCATCGACATTACCAAACCCGAGAAATGGACGCCCAACGCAACATACCAAGCGACTCGCATCTTCGTCGCAGCCAAGCCCCACGTCGTTCAACGCTTCCTCGAAATGGTCGTCCTCGAAAAGGTCCGCGATGACATCTATGAGACCAAGAAGCTCAACGTCCACCTCTTCAACTCTCTCAAGAAGGGTCTCTACAAGCCCTCGGCATTTTTCAAGGGCTTTCTCTTCCCTCTTGTCGGCAGCGGGTCCTGCACCATCCGCGAGGCACACATCATCTCCGCCGTCCTCGCGAGGGTTTCCATCCCGGTTCTCCACTCAGCCGCGGCCATCAAGGGACTTTGCGACATTGCCGCCCAGGAAGCTTCACAGAACAACGAGGGCGGTGGCGCGACCAACTTGTTCCTCAAGACCCTTCTCGAGAAGAAGTATGCTCTGCCTTACCAGGCCATTGACGCCCTTGTTTTCCACTTTCTCCGGTTTCGCAGCGTCGACCCTGCCTCGGTGCAAGAGGATGAGGCTATGGCTGGTGTCTCCGGCGACACACGAACCAAGCTGCCTGTCATTTGGCATCAGTGCCTCCTCGTATTCGCCCAGCGATACAAGGGCGATATCACAGAGGATCAGCGTGAGGCCTTGCTAGACCTGCTTCTGACTCATGGCCACTCTGCCATTGGCCCTGAGGTGAGACGAGAGCTCCTCGCTGGTAGAGGTCGTGGCGTGCCGCTGGAGCCTCAGGGAGAAGCTCTCGACGGTGATGATACCATGATGATTGATTAAACATTATCCATAATCAGCACAGGAAAAGTCATGATTGCATGTTTCGCGGGGCGTTCTGGCGTTTTTTCCATGGATTGGAATGCAGGCGTGGTCTATAGTAGTCACGCACACTCAATATATCATTTTTGTACAAGCTCCTTCCGAACGTGAGCTGCCAGCCCTTCTCGCTGTTCGTTCCTGCCGCTTCGCCAGCAGTCCCGTCACCTTACAACGTAAGGACTCAGTGCTCGCACGCAATGCAAATCAAGCTTCAATAAAAAACTTCGCCTTCGACCTACTCCCTATCCAGTTCATGTCTTTCCACGCGCTCGTGGTTGTGAGCATTTGATTTTTGTCTGCTTTTTTGCCTGACGAGTTGTAAATTTGTCGCTTCCTCTTGTCTCGTCCGTCTGCAGACTTGCCTGGGATTGCCTGATCTTAAGTTACCTGGAACAGCTGACCACCATGACGACTTCATTGCTCCATAGGCCATGGTCACCTCATGCAGGCTCATCTGGGGAAACAAAGTATGTTGTGGGCCAAGGCGCCGGGGCACGGAACCTCGCACATTGACCATGCACTGATACTCGCGCTATAGTTACTTCAGCCTTCCTATGCAAGCGTTTTCCTCTGCGTCTCCGTTCTTATTTATGAATTTCGTTACGCCTTCACCCGTGAGCATGAACGAGAGCCTCAGACCATCTATGTGGAGGCCTTTGGGAGCTGTCGGCGCTGCCACCGATGCTGCCACCGACGCGGCGTCGTCGCCGCACGCGAATTCACCAACGCAGAATACCGGGTCATCGCCCCCATTTGGGATTGATCCTCCTCGTCCGCCGCGCGAAGGGTACGAGTAGGTATGGTTTCCTGAGGGCTACTGGGCAGAGCGACAACCTTCGTTGCTGCCAAGAAGAGGCAGCATATCCAGCGCTCGCTTTTAGAAATGGCGCTCACGCTCCAACAAGTCGACGAGTGAGCATGAAGCAAGAGATATCTCTTATACATCTCCCATGTCCTCCATGTCCGCTGAGAATCAGCTTCATGTTCAACAATCATCGAGTCCGTATTTGTCCGAGTCAGCCCACGTTCTCTCATTGCAGAGGCCGGTTCAAACTTCTTTATCCCGCCGCGCCAGCCGCCCGTCACGACTTACACCTGTCTCTGCCAGTTCTCAATCAAAAATTCCTGATGTTGTAGTGGATGTTAATATTAAAGCTGAGCATGCTCAGTCAGAGAAGCACCATGCGTCTGCTTGGCACAGACTATTGCAGCATGCGAGGTTTCGTTTCGGCAAACATAAGTCTGTTAGTACAATATCAATGCTCTTTTTCCTTCGGTTTCATTTTCCTAATTATCGTAGAAAAATTGTTTCGGCGAAGACCTAACAGACAATGGCATGTCTTTTTCCACTGACGATCACACGCATCATGAGAGAGCCGTCCCAGGTCTGGGCAAAACAGGGACTTGGCTTCGGGAGGAATTCGGGAGCCCAAAGAGGGCGAAGAAAATATTCGGTCGCGCCCCGTGGAATCGCAAAGATTCTACTGCTACTTTTAGTAGTGTTTCTAGCTCTATAAGAGAAGTCCTCCGCGGAGACACACCGCCAGCCTCGCCCTTGATGCCGTTCACCACTACCTGCGAGTACATTCTCCCGCGCCAGACGCCATTCTGCTAATTTCCCTAGATCACAGCAATACATGGATAACAAATACATTCCCAGGCGGCGTATGTTGCATTCATTGGCAGTCTTTCAGCCTAATGTCTAAACATTGTATAGGAAGCGGTGCGGGTGAGCACTCCCCCGATGGACGAAGACACAGCAGATGGCAAGCCGCGCGGCTTCTTTGGCCCGTTGACACCACCGGAGTCCGATACAACTGGATCGCAGACTTACCACACTCCCATGACTTCTACGTATGCTAGTCCGAAATACAACGCCCACCGCATGAGCGTAGCCATCCCGTCGCGAGAGTGGTGGGAAGGAAAGCTCCAGAAGCCGACTCGACACAAAGACATGAACTGTGCCACCAAATTCGAGTTTGACGTCCCCGAACATCTGCCCAATAGTCCTATGTGCCCAGCAAATGTGCGTCATAAATCTGGCGGTTCTGGCTTGTGTGTCTATCATGGCCGGAGGAGAGCGCTTTCTACAGCTGGCAACGGAGGCCCCAAGAGACATGACTCGAACAGCACCAGTTAATTTCACGTACGAGTTCTTCTCAGGGTGCAGCGGTGCAGCGAAGAACAATGAATTTTGCAATGTGGTCCCTAGTCTTCTTTACACCTAGTATGTATTTGCAATTAATTCTTTCTGTAACACTTCTTATCAATAGCTCAATGGCTTGAATGTCAATTTCTAAGTTTTCAACTTTTTCTACTTTCCATTCTTTGTTGTTGCTTCTCACGCTTCTTGTGTTCTTTGCCTAGGTTGAGTAGTGAAAGTGTACAGGCGCGTTGCGATCATACCTGATGACAATCCTTTTCTAGGGCGTAAATCCCACGATTGGATCTCATCAAGTACCAAGGACGCAACGGTACAAAAAAAGTCCCAATCACTGAAATTACGACGGACATGGGAGAAGTGAATCGCCAAAGTTGTCTCTAGCTCTGTCGTTGCGTGGCTAATAGCTGGTAAATGCACGTGAGATAAGTGCTTATCGAAGCGACCACGTCGACAGCCTACAGGCATGCCACCTTGGGGCGGCGCTATGAGTTCGAGCAAGCTCAAGCTACCTCGAGAAGATTAAACTACAACATCACCGATCGCTGCCCCCTCCGCTATTTTGACCAGGTATCCCAACATATGATAACTGTCGGCAAGAAAGGATAGCTCGGCTCCTAGCCCCACCCCTATTCTGCCATCCCTAGGTTGCCTGGAAGAGGACACTCTACCACGACCTGCGCGCTGCGATTCTACAAAGAAAGACGAGAAGCTGAGCGAGCGCATACGAGAATATAAGCATTTGAATCTCAATACAGACACACCCAGGCTGGCGAACGGAGGAGGGCGCTTCGATTCAAGATGTTTTTTCTCGGCAACCTGTTCTACGTCACCTGCCTCCTGATCAATGCGGTGGCTATTCTCTCAGAGGACCGCTTTCTGGCGCGCATAAACCTGTCTCCGGGATCGCACGATCCCGGATTCGGCACGGGCTCGGAGCCGCAGAGCGTGCAGGCCAAGATTGTACACTTGATTGCCAGTGTACGAACATTGATGAGGAGTACGTCTTGGCCCCCCCCCGCGCGCGCGCGCAATGTACGGAGGAGCTCCGTGGCAAGATTGCTGACCGACGTACAGTGCCTTTAATAATCGCGAATACGTTAATTATACTTTACGAGCTGATTCTCGGATAAGGGTTGGCATGAGAGGGCGTTGAGAACTAGAGACGACGACAAAAACACAATTCATGATGGATAATACAGGAAGATGGGATCATGTTGGCGGTACTACAGCGACTTAATTTCTTCCGCACCTGTCTCAGGATCAAGCACTTGGCGTGAATGGTTATACAAGGCGATGCAATCAAATCGCTCGAGATTAGATAGCTTCTAATACAAAGGGCATATATACAGCTATACCCTGCAGAGTTTCCTTGTCCAAAGCAGATTTCGCTGTTCCATCTACCCTTTTCCTATTTGTACAAAAAAAAAGAGGAGAAAAGGAGATAATATTTCAATTCCCCGGCCAGTTCTGCCAGTCGCCATGCAAACTTTTCTTTTCATCTTTTGAAGAATCACCATCGTGAGAGGAGCATTAACACATCGTGTCTGACCCAACGCCGGCCCAATATGTATCCCAAATTGTTGTTGTTATAGTACACGCGGAGTGCCCTGTCCATCTAGGAGTCGGAGCCTCGCAAATTAGAAGACGCTTGTCATGCAGTTCTATCTGCAACTTAGGCGTTCTTGACGACGCCAACCTTGGCCGCGCGAAGGACGCGGCCGTTGAGCTTGAAGCCCTTTTGCTGCACATGGAAGACGGTGTTGTTCTCCTTGTCGGGCTGCGGGGTCATAAAGGTGGCCTCGTGCTCGTTGGGATTGAACTTTTCGCCCTCGGGCTCGATGCGCTCGAGGCCGTGCTTGGCGAGGGTCTGAAGCAGGATGCTCTCGGTCATCTTGAGGCCCTCGTAAAGGTTGACGAGCTCCTTGAGGTCGTCGTTCTTCTCGGCGGCCTTGATCTTGTCGGTGGGGACATTGTCCAGGGCGCGGTCCAGGTTGTCCACGCTGTCGACGAGGTCCTTGGCGAATTTTTGAATGGCAAAGTCGCGGGCCGTCTTGACCTCACGCTGGGTGCGGTCCTGGAGGTTGCGAAAGTCGGCGACGGTGCGCATGCACTTGTCCTATAAGTTGCGAGCAATCGCGCGGTCAGTCTGGGCGGTAACGGGTACAGGTGCGGGTGTGGGCGCGGCAAACCTTCCACTCGCGTGCTTCGGCGTCCTTGGCCTCGAGGCTCTTCTTGAGCTCCAAGACTTCGTCGGAGGCGGGTGTTTCCTCCTTGGTCTCGGCCTTGTTGTCCTCGGCCTTTTCCTCCTTGGCCTCGCTGTACCATCTCAAGGCAGCGGGCTGGAAGGATCTGAGAGCCGGTGACGTGGCGACGGCGTATGCCTGTGGGCGCACCAGGAGCTGGCTGGCAGAGGCCCTGGGCGCAGCAGCGCGGAGAGATCGGGGGAGAGCGGCGGCAGCTTGGCGCAACATTGTGATTATGGGGTATATGTGTAAGGAAGAAGATGGGATATTCAATTGATGCGGTAAGAAAAGGCCAAAATCAGATGCGCAGGGAAAACTAGGTGCGAGCTGCTTCGGCGAATGTGACCTTTTAGAAAATTCGACGTAGCTCTTATTGCGGCGGTCCGCTCCGGTTTAGGGGAATTCAAGGCAAGGGTGCATGTCTTGGCTGGCGGATCAATGATTGGCCGAGCGGTTTTAGGCGGGTGAGTGGAAGGCTCCAGCAACTCTGAAAGCCGCGGGGGCCGCTACAACCTTGTGTGCCAACTAAGCCACAGCAGGACAGCCCAGTGGCTGGAGAAGCTCTCAGCGAAGGTGCCTAGCCACAGGGCGGCGGCGGCTCTTACGTCGCGCCGTGGCAACCTAGAAGCTCACCAACCGACCGTCTTCGGTGTTCCTGTCTGACCATCATCAATTCTATCCTTGCCAGCGCATCAATCGCGACGGACAGAAAAATACGGGCACCTATACTGCGACGCTCATCCTACCTAGTCGAATTTCTGCGACCGCCTTTCAATCCCGCCTGCGACTCGACCAAATCAAACAGCCCAAGCCCAACATATCCAAAATGGCAGCCGGCGACTCGAGCCGGGTTCAAGAAGCGCAGAAGCTTGCAAAGACAGACCCCAGAAAGGCCGAGGCTATCTACAAAGAGATAGTGTCCCAGGCTCCGGCCGCGACTTCAGATGCGGCAACGCGCGAGTACGAGCAAGCTTTAATCAGCCTGGGAGAACTGTACAAGGATGAGAAGTTAGTCTACCGCCGCTTCGAAAGGACAATCATGGGTGCGATGGCATACTAACAGACTCTTTTCACTATATAGGAAGTCACAAGAGCTGGTCGAGCTCGTACGACAGAGTCGCTCGGTTCTATCCTCATTTGCTAAGGCAAAGTCGTCAAAGCTCAGTATGCTTCCCTGCTCCCGGCCAACACCGTGACTTTACTCATGCAATTTTTCACTGTAGTCCGTCAACTTCTCGACCTGTTTAAGGAGATTCCGAATAGCACCGATATCGAAGTCGCCGTCACAAAAGACTGTATCGAATGGGCTACGGCCGAACGAAGAGCCTTCCAGCGCCAGGATCTCGAAGTCCGCCTAGTTGCTCTACAAATGACCAAGCAGTCCTACTATGAGGCTCTCACTCTGATCAATGGACTTCTTCGCGAGCTAAAGCGCCTGGATGACAAGCTGCGTCTAGTCGAGGTCCAGCTTCTGGAGTCTCGCGTCTACCACGCACTCGGCAACATCCCCAAGGCCCGTGCCGCCCTCACGAGTGCACGCACGAGCGCAGCCAGCGTCTACACTCCGCCGCTGCTGCAGGCCAACCTCGATATGCAGAGCGGCATGCTTCATGCGGAAGATAAGGACTTCAACACTGCCTTCTCCTACTTTATCGAGGCTCTGGACGGCTATCACTCCCAGGATGAGGGCCACAAGGCTCAGGCCGCCCTGCAGTACATGCTTCTCTGCAAGATTATGCTGAACCTCGTCGACGATGTCAATCAGCTCATGACGTCGAAGCAGGCTGTCAAGTACGCCGGCCAGAACCTCGAGGCCATGAAGGCGATTGCACGTGCTCACGGCAACCGCTCCCTCGAGGAGTATGAGCGCGCCCTCTCTACCTACCGCTACGAGCTCGGCAGCGACGCGTTCATCCGCAACCATCTCCGCCGTCTCTACGATGCCATGCTGGAGCAGAATCTCATCAAGGTCATTGAGCCATTCTCGCGTGTCGAGATTGACCACATTGCCAAAATGGTCGGCCTCGACACCCAGCAGGTCGAGCGCAAGCTATCGCAGATGATTTTGGACAAGGTCATCATTGGTGTTTTGGACCAAGGTGCTGGCTGCCTCATCATTTATGATGAGACGCACCGCGATCAGTCGTATGACGCAGCTCTCTCAACTATTGACAAGCTCAGTAATGTTGTTGATGTTCTATACACTAACCAAGCTTCTTTGCTGGAGTAAGGGGAGAAAATTTTTAGTGAAACGCAGGCGCCAGTCTAGAGGATTAGAAGTCTCGGTTTTGCTTTGATAGATAGGCTATCACAAAAAAACCAGTTGCATTTGAATCTGCATTAGCCTGTCCGCAAAGTGAGTTTGTAACCAATACGGGTTTCGCCATTAAGGAGTTAAGAGGCTGTGATGACGATCTAGAACTATCTCTTTGCGAATAGACAACAATTTAGTTACTCCGTAGGTTAGTTGACATTGTTGGCTAGCTGGATGGCAGATCCATATTTCAGCCCCCATATAGGCTACAACCCTGGTTCACTTTTCACGTCTGTACGAGTGCTAGACAAAGTCTAATCAATAGTATGGGTGCAAGTCATATATGTCATATATGTGGTCAGGATGGAGAAGTGTTGCCAGCTGACAGACAACCAGCAAACACCCAACCTGCGACAAAAGCCAACAACAACAACAACAACAACAACAACAACAAACACCAACACTTATATCACCACCAAGCATCAAGCACCGCACTTACCCGCACAGCCTCCTCCACGATGCATCAGATTATCAATGGAATGGCTTTCCAGTTTTTCGTTGCAGAGTGCACCGAGTCAGGCAATCCGACTCCTGCACCTGCGCCCCTTTTAATGGCCCCGACGGCGAGCCCCGTACATCATTTGCCGGTGGAGCAGCGAAGCCTCAAACGGCAACATCTTGAAAGGCCGTCATGCCAGGCTAAGGAATCAGCCCTGCCCGATATCCACTGCCGACTCGCGCCGACGAGGCTCCCGATCATTACTCGCTGGCCATCGAAACTAACTAGTCCGAGAGAGACTTTTCAACTCGAGGCCTGTGGGCCTTGGCCTCTTGCTTGAGTTGAAGAAAGCCTCATCACTACCCCGTTCTTTCGCTCAATCGCCCTTTTTTCCAATCTTTGTCTTCTTTTCCTTCTATTCATCAGTCGCTTGTACTGTCGGTATCGTTGCAGAAGGACATGCCTGCATATCAACGCGCACGATGGCAGCCATCAAAATGGACCACGAGGAACCTCGCATCGTCGCCGCAGAGAAGCCGACATGGTTCAAGAGTCCACTAGCGATTGATAGGCTTCGGCGCCCTTCCGAATCACAGCCGCACCATGACCTCTCCAAAGACTCCTTGTGTGCGTACTCGGACGGACAGGATCGTTACAGCGGCTACCCTCCTTTCAAGCGAGTACGTCCAGTTTATCACCATTGTACGACCGCTTCGCGATCACTAATATGTCAACTAGTACGAGGAGCCAACTTTGCTAGAAATCTTTTACGATCTGTTCTTCGCCGCCAACTACAACGTCTTTGCCCAGAGTCAATCTGTCACCAATCACCGACGCTTTAAGGCCTATGTAGGCTACTTTAGCTTGATCTGGGGCACTTGGTTCGTCGTCACGCTGTACGACGTGCGCTATGTTACGGATAGTATATTTGGTTAGTACTGGTGCTTGTTGCGGTCCCGTATAAACGGCCGCGTCTAACTGTCATTGCTAGAGCGTGTAGCACGAGCTGTGCAGCTCGGCGTGCTTATCGGTTTCACTGTGGTTGCGCCGAATTTCGATCCCGAGAATCAGGACGAGGCAACCATGATGACAATGTGTTAGTGTCGCTCCCTCAAACTGCAACCAACATCCACTAACGGCACAGCCCTCATGTTGTTCGCCTCTCGCATCTGCCTCGCAATCGAATACGCACACACACTTATCCAGATCTACAAGTACAAGCGTGCACGACGACCTCTTTACCTCCAAATCGCCATCAACGTCATCAGCGCGGCTGTGTACCTTGGGATTACATTCCGCTTCGACGGGAAGCAAAGCCGTGTTTACATCACATGGTATATCTTCACAGCTGGAGAGGCCGTCGTGAGCCTTGTACTCTCTAATTATTGGAAGACACTGAGCTTTACGCGCACACATTTGATGAAGCGGCTCAGCCTTATCACAGTCATGATTCTGGGCGAGAGCATTCAGAGCGTGGCACAGAACATTGCCACGATTGTGAACACACCCACAGCATGGAGTAAGCGGACTCTCTCCAAGCAGAGAACTAGCCAGAGCTAACGTTTGAATGTTTAGATTCTTTCACCATTGGTATGATTACATCTGCCACAGCCACAATCTACTGTGTGTTTCTAGTTTATTTTGACTGGATGCGGCATGTTCAACTGCCTGCCATACGACAGCAGATCTGGACAGCCCTACACTACCCATTCCACCTGGCTTTGGTACTCTTCATGCGAGGCTTCACTCAGCTTATTCTCTTCGTCAAGGCGTTTGATATCTTCAAAATGATTAGCGGTGACTGGCTGTTTGACCTGGGCAATTTTGTGGATGATCTCGACGTCAACGGCGACAAATATGGCAATTCGACGAGCAAAGTGTTCGCCGCTATTCTTGCCAACAGGACGGGCCAGGTCTTCGAATGGTTCCCACCACAGGATCCGCTGCCACGCTCCGTCGTGAATAACTCAATTGCGAATATCTCAGCGATTCCAGAGGCAATGTGGGCAAGCCTTTCGTCCTTGGCAACCAATGCTAGTGCGGTACTAGACGATCCCATGGTCAATAACTACTCCAACTTCATATCGCAACTCATAATTATACTCACGACACTGTCCAACACGGTCTTTCAGTCGTTCAAGATTGACGTCAGCACAGAGATCAAGTCAAAACATCCCGGCGACAGCAATCCCTTCAGACAAGCCGAAGAGCAGGTCGAAGTCGACGATAAAACGAGACAGCGCGCTCGCCTCATAGTATGTTTGCACTCGCTCCACCGCCGCCCTCCCACGCTATTTCGTAAGAGACTGAAACCTAACAATTCGGTCTAGTTTGCCTACACATATGTCGCCTGCGGATGCACGCTACTCCTGCTCGTCATGATGGCGCTTGTATCGCGCATGGCGCCTCTCGGCCGGCTTCCGCGCTTGCGTTTCGTCATCTGCACCCTTTTCGGCGTCGGCATCGCCCTGACCGCTGTCATCTTTTACGCTCCTGACAAGGCTGATACCTTCCTCGACAGCGCCTGGCCCATACCGACGGTGCTCTTTGGCTGGTTGGTTGTCACTGCCCTCGTTCATATCCGCGGCAGCGGCGGCGGCTGGGGCAGAGTGATGCTCGATAGGATGCGCAACGTCGCGAGCTTGTTCCGACCGAGGAGGCAGGGCAGAAGAAATCCTCCGCGGGATGACGATGATAGCCAGAAAGTGGCGCTGCGGCTCTGGCCACCGACGCGGGAGAACACGGACGCCTCGGGCACAGAGACGTTGCGAAGCGCTGAAGGCACGAACTGGGAGCGACGGGCGTCGTATCGAGACGTGTCACCAAAGGCAACGCCTCGGTCAGACTCGCCAGATTCTAGGCTTTGTGATGCAGACCGCGATCATCGAAAAGCTGACAGCAGCTATCAGGTCTAGACCTGGGTTTGCCAAGAAAAAAAAAAGTAAAAGAAGAAAGGAGAAACAAAAGTGATATTTCAAGCCATATATTGACATTATCAAGCATTTACGTTTCAGTAATAAGCATCTGTATTTCTCATTAGCTACAGTCGCGTTAGAGCGAGCGGCCTTCATTGCAAGTGCCATGTTCTGGGTAAGGCTCTCAGCTCGTACCAAGAGTTGGATGATTACGTGTAATGGCCCGATGATAGACAACGGGGCACGGACAATGAGGCGTCGAGAATCTGGGGATAAAAACACTGTCACTGTGTATAAGACAAGTGTGCCATAGTATTTCACGCCAAAGCTCAACGCGGGGAGCTATCATAAATTGGCTGTGTTTGAACAATACTATGTGTTATGATCTTGTCCATTATGCTATGACGGTGCTGTACATGACTCTCTCGCGCGTATGGGGCGCAGCAAGTCGATTGAACGGAACGGCAAAAAGATATCGTGACTTTGTATGTCCCAGACTAATCTGACTCTGCGAGAGGTTTGAGGTTTCCGTAGTTGCCCCTAACCACTCCTTCGGCGAAGGTGGTTAGAGAAAGGGTTGTGGTGTTGCTGCTCTGTTACAGGCAATTAATTCTCCGGTCCTGTCGCCGTCCCATTTGCCGTGCAAGTCAGGTTTTACGTCAAATGGCCAATTCATTGCAACAGGATTCTATATTGACGCAGAAGAAAGTAAATTCCATGGTGGAGAGGAAATATAGATCATTTATTCATGTTTTTGAGCTTTCTGCAGTGCATTGTTGTCAAGAGGAAATAATCACAGATTACTCCAGGGTGGGCCGTTGCAACAGCCGAGGCACCTGCTACAAGTACGCAGTCGCTTCCTTGCCGCAGGCGAACTGGATTGGGCAGAACATACATGAAGCAACACCTGTTTCCCTACGTCTATTTCATTTTGAACGAATCACCCGTCCCAGAAAAATTTACTGCTCTCATGGCAATCGAAATCACAGAGCGTCCCCAACCGGGGCAAAAGACGGCGCTCATCACTGGCGCCGGCGTCGGAGGCATCGGCGGCGCCCTCGCAATTGAGCTGCACAGCCAAGGGTACTTTGTCTTTTGCGCCGTGCGCCGCCCCGACAGCATCACCGAGCTCCTCCGACCCGGCATGGTCGTCGTCCAGCTAGAGGTGACGGAGACGGCGTCCATCGAGGCGGCCGCGGCGCAGGTCGCGGCGGCGACGGGCGGCAGGCTGGACGTGCTCGTCAACAATGCGGGCGTCGTCAAGCACCGCCCGGCGCTGGACTCGGATATAGACGGCGACGTGCGGCATACGTTTGACGTGAACGTGCTGGGGCCGATGCGCGTCGTCAAGGCGTTTGGAGAGCAGGTCATTGCGGCGAAGGGCGTCATTGTGAATATCGGCAGCGTGGCGCCGATTGTGCCCCTGGCGTTTTCGACGTCGTATAATGCGACAAAGGCGGCGCTGCATGCGTACGGCGATGCGCTGAGCATGGAGATGAAGCCGTTTGGGTGCGTCCTCAGATGAGGAGAAAGAGGACACTTGCCCTCTTCCTCCTTCGTTCAGTCATCCTGTGATAACTAACTACTGGTTCAATGCTAACTCGTCCGTGACAGCGTGGACGTCGTGACCGTCGTTACAGGCGGCGTCAAGAGTAACATTGGTACGTCATGACTGATCTTCCTTCCTTGTTCACATTTTGCCGTCACTGTGCAACACAACTCGCTAACAATTTGATGGTGAAAAAAAAGTTCGCGGGAACCCGAGCCTGCCCTCCAACTCGCTCTACATGCCCATCGAATCGTTTTGGCGCCATCGCACGCAAATGTCCAATGGCGACGAGTCCATGGCAACGGATGCGTACGCTCGCTCCGTCGTGCGCATGATTGAGTCCAAGAAGCGGCCGCTTCGGTTCTGGGCCGGCGCAAAGTCGACGCTGGCATGGTTTCTTTACAACTTTGTGCCTCTGCGCCTGCGCCTCTACGTGATGGCGAAACGATTTGGCCTGCTTACGCTCGGCCAGGGCGCCAAGTGATGATCAGAATACAAAAATTGTAAGAATTAAATTTAGTCTTATACGGAAAATGCTAGCCGTCCTGAACGTGCCATTTTAAACTGTACCGCATCGTATTGTGCCTGCACTGATTGTGCCACAGGATTGATGCCGATCTTGACGATACAGACTTGCAATTCCCGTATAATTGCCAGACATTGTGGGGTGACAAGACATGGGCCCTTTGTTTTCCCTTTGCTGTGGAGTGATGAATATGTAGAAGAAGGCCGCCCGCCAGTTAGAAACTGTGACATCATTTACAGAGGAAAAGAAAAGAAGAATTAATTCTTGTTTCGATTAATGCAAAGTCAGGAAAACAGCCGAGACAAATCAGCAATATGCACAAGAAAAACCAACAGAAAAGCCACTCTTAAGCCACACCAATATGGCTTACGTATAAACAGACTTTTATTTTTCACGCTCATTGACCTTTGTATGCTGAGCGCCTACGCCTCAGCCACTATAGCCACTATCCAGGAACACCAGCCCAAGTTGATATCTAGACAAATATACCCCGGATTGTGGAAGCTGGCTGTACCTATGGTACTTAGGTTTCCATGCTGTTCGCGGCGAAAGTCAATTACCTTGGCCTCAAAATCATCGCATCCACTTACTTTAATATCTTTGTGCAGGATCCTAACTGTAATATGGAGTGGCGCTCGCGCTCTGCACACAATGAGATGCTCGGACGCCACCATCTGCTTGGGCGATTACAGAACACAAGCCCCAGGCTGAAATATGCTTTCAAATATATTTCAAACTTTGTATATCATTGGAGGTGGCTTTTTTCACAGCTCTTGCGGATGTGGTAAAATGATAATAAAAGCAACGATCCCCCATCTCTCAAGACTGTACTCTTACACACGCCAACCTCCTCCTTGTCACGCCCTCATTCTCGTCTATGCCTCTTCGTCTCACCATTTGCTCGTCATTTTTTTTCTAAACCACCGTCACACTCTCATCTTTCTCAAGCTGCCTACAGGACAACGATGAAGCTCACCTTGTCCATCTACGCCGCCGCGTTGTGCGGTCAGCTCGCCGTGGCCGGGCCCAGCATCATCGGCGGCGAGCTTGCCAGCCCCGGCTCCGCGCCCTACATGGTCAGCATCCAGAAAAACGACATTCACCTCTGCGGCGGCACGCTCATCCGCGACAACCTCGTCCTCACCGCGGCCCACTGCCTCGTGCACGAGCACCCGCGGTCACTGCGAATCGCCGCGGGCTCTCACTCGTACCATAAACGCGCCGTCACGCGCGGCGTCGCCAAGGGCATCATACACGCCGACCACGACGGCAAGAAGCGCATCAACGATGTTGCGCTGATCCGGCTCCGCCGCCCCTTTAAGCTGACCGACACCGTCCGCACCGTCGAGCTCTCCCAGCGCCCGCAGATTGACGGCGGCACCAACGTGACCGTGTACGGCTGGGGATACACCAGCTACCCGCATCAAAAAAGAATACCAAAGCTGCAGGTTCTGCACCGCAACATTGTCGACACGGCCGCGTGCAACGACGCCTACGTCGAGTACAATGGGAAAAATGTCACTGTCAACCAGCTCTGCACGCAGACGCAAGGCCAGGGAACCTGCTGGGGCGACTCGGGCGGGCCCCTTGTCTGGATCGACGACGATGGCAAGGAATACCAGGTCGGCATCGTCTCTTGGGGCGTCTCGTGTGCCAGAGAGTGGCCGGATGTTGCCACCAAGGTCAGCTCGTACCTGAAGTGGATTGAGGACAACTCTGCATAGATGAGGACGCAATCTCTTGCTCGGCACAAAGCGCGGCACAACTCACATTCCCTTAGAGTTTCGTTTACTTCATGGCTAGAATGAACACATTAGTAGAGTAGGAAATGTTTTACCTAGTCGAATAGAATAGCAGAAAGAAAGAATCAACGGGAAAATACTGAATGTTCGAATGCATTTCCATTTTGTTCGCAGAAACACCTCAACGCCAGATTACATAGCAGCTACAGGCTGCAATCACATATCCATGCTCATCAGGTACATTTCCAGAATCCTCATAAACTTGGCCACGAACGCCTCTAGGTGGAAAATCACCTTTGTTCCCGTCTTGATACGGTGTTCGTAGAATGCGGACCATCGAATCACCTCGCCCTTGAGCCCATCGTCAATCATGCTCAGCAGCTTGAAAGTGAGTGTTTTGAGGATCGTCGTCGGGGGGATGCAATGTGTCAGGAGGTCATATAGCTTCGATCGGACTTGCAAAATTCGAGCAGGAGTGTGCTCGTCCATAATCTCCCTGGCAATCTGTCCAATGAGTGCGTCCCAGTCCGCAGGCGGTATCGGAGTGCTGTCAGTCACCTTTTCGCTGCAACAAAAGTCAGTCCAACCCTGTAAAAAGTCTATACGTAGACACGCGAAACCGAGTATATACTGTAAAACATACTTTTGCGCATGCACTGCCTCATACATCAACAGAGCCTTGCGGAGGTTACGCCCGCTCTCCACAGCTATTCTTTGGTGCAGTCCCTTGACTACGCTCCAATTCTCCTTCTTCGCCGCGTAAGCGAGCACGTCGCAGATTTCTTCGTGCGACGGCGCAGCAACCCGGACAAGCAGTGTTCGCGAACGAATCGGGGCGATGATGTTCGAGGTGGAGTTTGCGAGGAGGATCAGTCGTAAATTGGGCGAGTACTTCTCCATGGTGCGACGCAGCGCAGCTTGCGCATCACGGCTCAGGTGATCAGCTTCGTTGATGACGACAACCTTGAAGCGCTGCTTGGCCGACTGATCGACCTGCTGCGTCTGCGCTACCTCCTTGAGGAGGTCCTGGACAACCACCCTATCATAGTTTCCGACGTCCGACGGCGTGATTTCCTGGTGGTAAACGGATGCGACAATATTGAACTCGAGCTTGCGGTTGCTGCTCGTCTGGAAGACGCGCGAGTCAATCTTGATTTTTTCCACGCCGGGCCCGTAAAGCTCCTTCAAAGTGGCCACGATTCTAGTCTTTTTTCCCGCGCCCGACGGTCCGTATACGAGGAGATGGGGGAAATCGCCGCTTTGTGCCTGGTGTCCGGTCAGCTAACGGTGCATTAGGCAACAAGGTCACAGGTCCTTTGTACAAGAGAGCGAAGGCGATCCGTAAGCTCATCGTGATATGTGAGCGCGTCGAGCGATCTTGGCCTATGCTTGTCGACAATGAGAGCCATTGCTGCTGCGATTGCCTGAGAACTTCGTGGTGATGGGGGGTTGTAAGGGCTTTTTCGGTCTGGGTAGCTTAGCTGGAGACGCGTCGGCGCGTTAAGTGTAGTTAGTGGATGACCCTGGCAGCTCCCCACCAATGGTTGCCTGGTCCCTGTCATCACCATATTACAGCGGCCCAATACTTGATTGTATCATCAGCGTATTGTAGTTTGTATGCAAAACTGCGTACTTCAAATAAGTTCCTGCAATACGGACAGATCTAGATCGACATTATGCTGTACAGTTTCAATCCTCTATTGGGCATGTCGCTGCTGGCCACACTCTGTGGCATGATAATATACATAGTTGAAATTATACATTGGATTTGAGTTATGAGGAAGCAGGGGGTTGACCACCGCTGCCTGCCTCTGCAATGGAGGGAGCAGTTCCAACCTCTTCGAGGATCCGCGCTGGTGGAATTTGGCGCCTGGGACGCTTGAGCTCCTCGAGTGTAACACCGTCGAGCTTAGTGAGACCGACAACCGGCGCCTCGCCCTTCTTAACAAACTCCCATTGCCCTGGAACCGGTCAGAACAGGCCTTCCGAGTAGGGTACACTTGATGAGGAATACTTACCGGGCAGCTTATTACCGGCTAGTCGGAAGGCATCACGGACAACCTGCTCGTGGATGCGGCCGCGGACCTCAAACAGGATCTGGCTGACTGCCATTCTCGTCGCCCAGTGATCAAAAGAACCCTTTCCCTTACCCATTCTCATCTATAATGTGTCAGCATAGCATTCGAGGTGTCGATTCGCCGGGTTCTTTGGCTTGGTGATGACGAACCTCGTTACCGCTGACATAGACACCAACGTTGCAGCATTTCCGCTTGTAGATTCGGTACTTTTGTCCTCGGAGTCGCGTTTTGATGGTATCCTCTGCCACCTTCAGTGACTTTGCGCTGATGCGACGTTGCTTGTCCGTCATGCGTAGGCCAAAGTCGCCCCAAATGACAGTAGTGCCCTTTGTTGAACCCCCTGTAGCCACGCGGGCGCGTCCCTTCGCCATCTTCTTCTTTCGGTTGATATCGGGCTCGAGCCATGTTCCGAAAACTGGTGCGGTTGTCGAAAAGGACTTGGGTTGTTGCGCCCAGGCTGTGGACAGGACTCCCGATTGGCGGAGCAAGGGCAACTGGATTTGTCGCAATGGTGACGGACTACATATTTGCAGTCCCCTGAGGGCATTGACCAATGTCGATGAGGTGCTAGGCTTCATCTTGGCGGATAATTGATCACCTACGAGGAGTTGCTATTCCTCCTTGTTCCTGACGCTCCGAAAATCTTAGCCTCAGTCTGCAGTACCACACTGTGGAGGCCTGACGCATCAGGCACTAACAGATGCCCATTAAGCAGCTCGGCTGGTCACGCACCTCGCGTCACCTTCGCGTCCACCTTGTGGAGCTAGCTAGGCAAGTTCAATGTCCATGCCACGACCTCTGCCTAAGAACCTGACAAGAAAAGGGCCGTCAGCTTAGCTACGATTGATGCGCCTATAAAGCAGAGTACTTTGTGTCGCTGCCTTTTGTCTGGCACTGTGCCATTAATCACCCGCAATGCCTGACATTCGCTCGTTTTTCACCCCGAAAGGTGGCGCTGTCGCGGCCCCCGTGAAAGCTGAGCCGCCCAGCCAGAAGCCGCCCGATAATAAAAGGAGAAGTGTGTGACATTTCCAATTCAAATCGCGACTGCATGCTAATGGCAGTATAGAAGTTAGCCGCAAGGTAGTTGAGGATAGTGACGACGAAGAGGTCGTCGAGTAAGACTGCCACGGAAACCACCGGCAGCTCATAGTGCTCACACTCGGATAGGAAGAAACCCGCTGTCAAGCCTACACCGAAGCGCACCAAGAAGAAGGCCGAGTAAGTTCATTTTCAGAGAGGTAAAGCACACCGCTGATGAAGCAGCAGAGATGAGGGCGTCGAGATATCGACTACGGACTACTTCACATCCAACAAGACGCAGCAAAGCACCAAGCAGGCCACACCTAAGAAGTCCAAAGCTGCTACAACCAAGCCCGATGTCCCAGTGAGAAGCAGTCCCCGATCAAAAGTGACTGCTGCAAAACCAGCTGCGCCGTCCAACGATAAACCAGCGCCAAAGCGAACGACCAAGGCTTCGCACAGACAGACACGAGACGACGACGACGATGCATACATGGAAGACGCTGATGAGGATGGTGACGACATATTTGCTGCCGATATCAAGGCCCGCGGCAAGGGAGATGACGACTACCAGGAGGACTCTGACGAAGACTTGCTCCCTCAGCCGTCGCGTACGACATCCAGAGCGAAACAGACTCAGGAGACCAAGCCCGGCCGTGCTACCGCAGCGAGGAAAAAGCGAAAGACTCCTGAGCTAGACTCAGATGACGAAGAAGAGGAAGAACTCCCGCGAAAGAAGCCTACGGCCTCAAAGCCTCGTGCGCCCCGGGCTAAAAAAGCCGACGAACCCGAAGATGCTTCAATCCAGAATATTCTAGATAGCGTTGCTACAGTGCGGCCTCCAACTCCACCCCCAAAGGACCCAAATGTCAAGTTTGATTGGCGAAAAGCTGCAGGAGGTGGAAATGCGACTGTGCAGCCTGTAGGCAGCGCCGACATCCCCGAGGGCGAAGAAGAATGCTTGAGCGGCCTTTCCTTTGTATTCACCGGTGTTTTGCGCACAATCGGTCGAGACGAGGGCCAGGCACTCGTGAAACGTTATGGCGGAAAAGTTACTGGCCAGCCCAGCAGCAAAACTAGCTTCGTCGTCCTCGGCGACGATGCAGGCCCCAGCAAATTGGCCAAAATCAAGTCCTTCGGTATCAGAACTATTGACGAAAATGGGTTGTTCGACTTAATTCGAAAGCTTCCTGCTCACGGTGGAAGTGGCAAAGGAGCCCAGAAGGCTCAAGAAAAGAAAAAGGCCGAGGAAGAAAAGATCAAACAGCAAATCGCAGAGATGGAAGCTGAGGAGAAGGCCAAAAGAGCCGCCGAGATCAAGGCCGCCAAAGCAGCAGCCAGTATACCGGGTGCAGCCCCCCCTCCGCCTCGTTCTGACACCCCTACACAGCTTCTCACCTCCAAATATGCTCCTACTCAACTGAACCACATCTGCGGCAACAAGGGCCAAGTGGAAAAGATCCAGGCCTGGCTGAGGAATTGGCCAAAGGCCAAAAAATACAATTTTCAGAAGCGCGGTGCGGATGGAATGGGCGGCGAGCGAGCAATCATTATTTCGGGACCCCCCGGTATCGGGAAAACAACAGCAGCCCATTTGGCTGCCAAGCTGGAAGGCTATGACGTTCTTGAAAGCAACGCCAGTGATGCCCGTAGCAAGAGACTAGTCGAAGCAGGTGTCACCGATGTCATGAACAACACTTCGTTACTAGGTTTCTTTGCAGGAGACGGGAAAAGCGTGGACATCACAAAAAAGAAGATTGTGCTCATTATGGATGAGGTAGACGGTATGTCTGGTGGCGATAGAGGAGGTGTTGGCGCAATGGCCAAATTTTGCAAGAAGACTGAAATCCCCTTGATTCTCATCTGCAACGAGCGACGTCTACCGAAGATGAAACCTTTCGACCACGTTGCGTTTGACGTACGATTCAACCGACCAACGGTGGACCAAGTGAGGTCACGCATCATGACAATTTGCCATCGCGAAGGCTTGAAGTTGCCACCCCCTGTTGTCGATGCCTTGATTGAGGGGAGCAACAAGGATATCAGACAAATCATCAACATGATTTCGACAGCAAAATTGGACCAGACAAGCATGAACTACGACCAGGGCAAAGCCATGACCAAGGCCTGGGAAAAGCACGTTGTTCTCAAACCATGGGATATCTGCCAGAAGATGCTAGGTGGCGGGCTCTTTGCACCGGCTAGCAAGGCTACGCTCAATGACAAAATTGAGCTCTACTTCAACGACCATGATTTCAGCTTCCTCATGATTCAAGAGAATTACCTCCGCACCAAACCAATGGCGCTCAACGGCAAGGGTTACAACAAGCGAGAGGAGAAGCTCAAGACATTGGAATTATTTGACCAGGCTGCGGAAAGTATCAGTGACGGCGATTTGGTCGACAGAATGATTCATGGTCCTCAGCAGCACTGGAGTCTGATGCCAACGCACGCCGTATTCAGTACCGTTCGTCCCGCGAGCTTCATCGCTGGCCAGCTCATGGGTTCGACTTTCACCTCATATCTCGGAAATCTCAGCAAAACTGGAAAGCTTGGAAGATATATCCGCGAAATCCATTCTCACATGCGCTTGAAGAGTTCTGGCGATCACAATGAAGTTCGCCAGCAATACATGCCCATCCTCTGGAAGCAGCTCATCGATAAACTTCAGCTTGAAGGTTCGGAGGCTGTATCAGAGGTCATCGATCTGATGGACGCATACTATTTGACGCGTGAAGACTTTGATGCTATCCAAGAGCTTGGTGTTGGGTTCATGGATGAAAACAACGTCAAAATTGAGACCAAGACCAAGGCTGCCTTTACACGAACGTAAGTATCATCTGGTCTTTGCAAACTGGATGCCATAACTAATGTATCACTTAGATATAACGCCATGAGCCATCCGGTACCATTCATGAAGGCTAGTACGAATGTTGTAGCGCCAAAGAAATCAGCCAAAGACATGCCGGATCTGGAAGAAGCAATCGAGGAAGAAGACGACGCCGAATTGGTAGAAGCCCCCGTCGAAGATGACGACGAAATTGATTTCAAAAAGGACAAGTATATCAAGCAGCCAAAGGCAAAGAAGGCAACCAAAAAAACAAAAGCAAAGGGGGATGACGAAGAGGATGAAAAGCCCAAGGCAAAATCGAAGGCCAAGGCTAAAGCCAAGAAATAGCGCCTGTCGGATGCCACTGTTTGGGTTGCATAATCCGGAGTTTTGGAGTTGATGGCCACATTTGTATGTATGGACAACTAGCTGTGTGTGTATTGCTGTTTGGGAATATGAGGCAAGCTGATCTTTCTGTGACCTAATTACCAACATTGTGACCCGTTGACGTCGGTGAGATGACCCATCCTCAATCGGCGACATGTTACGACTGCCGATCAGCAGAGCAGCGCTAGTGCTGTTGAGTCATCAGTGGAATGTTATCAACACCCAGACGACAAATAATCAACTTAAAATGACTCTAACTGTGAGATCAAATTCTGGCAACATTTAAAAAGTAAGCACTGTGCACAATGACGACGACAAGCGCCGCCTCTGCAGGGCCCTCTCCCATAGAGTCGCCTGTCTTTGAAGTAGTAAGATTCACCCACATCGCGATCCAGGATAACCGTCGTGGCACTTACACAGATGTCATTTAAAACAAATAGATACGACCTCAGCTCTCCCGGACGGCAAGTGACCAGCGGCCAGTCGTGCTCATGACCTGCGGCATAGCAGGTATGCAGCCCAAATGCACCACAGACATTCCAAAACTCTGGGAACCATGCTCTCGCTCCCTCTCCCTCTCTCTCCCCCATGTTATTAACCCTCAATACAAATATAGGCGCTGGCAAAAGCACCCTAGCCAAGACAGTCACTGCGCGTCTGCCCAACTTTGTGCGCTTCTCCGCCGACCAGACTGTCCACGAAAAGCACGGCCTCTGCGGCATCGACTTTGCGCGCGACAAGCACGCCGGCTACCTGGAAGACGCGCAAACAGTGATCAAGACGGCCCTGGCGGCGCTCATAAAGTCTGGCGGCGCGCGCGACGCCGTCCTGGACTTGTCCTTTTACAGTAAAGAGTACCGCGACGAGTACAAGGCGATTGTAGAGGACGCGGGTGGGCGCTGGGTGCTCGTCTTCTTGGACGCGGAGAAGGAGCTGCTGTGGAGGCGGATACAGGGTCGGCGCGCGGCGCGGGATAGTATACCGGTGGAGAGCGGCGCAAGAGATGGCGACTCGGCGTATGATATTGAGCGAGAGACTTTTGAAATGTATTGGAAGGGGTTTGAGCCTCCTATGGGAGAAGGGGAGATTAGAGTGCAGGTGTCCTAGTGGCGCAGAGATGATGTCATACTATCCTCTGAATACATGTTCTCGTCGGCGGCGCTTTAGGAGTTTTTGAAATTGTATGCTCGGAACTTGGTCAAGTGTAGAGACTCGACATCAAATTGTCAGCGCCGGCCGGCTTAGTCTTTCACAACACCCTCACTCTTTACAGACTGTCGCGCGGCTGGTTTCGCCTCGAAATGGTTCGTGAAACAGGTGACAAAGATGCCTTGTCCAACTAGCAACCTCATTCGGAGTAGAAAAGAAGACATCGATTGCCGTGAGTGGTCCAACCTAGGTCGGCCAACCTTCATCAGACTTCCTCACTTGGGTCTGGAATCCGGGCAGAATTGATGTACATCAACAGGTATGCATGTGAGCACAAGGACGACAGAAAGTGGGCAATGCATTGAAAAGGTAGACACCGTCGTTTTGATTAAAAGATTGTCCCGAAAAGGATCTTCCGTCTAGTCTACACGAACAAAAAACAATGACCTGGTCGTGGTCGAATATGAAGAGATTCCCAAACAAGAATATAGACCCCCGTCTCTCCGTGCCCTCCTTTTCTCTTCTTATTCAGCAGACGCCCTCGCGAGTGCCTCGTGCAAATGCGGCGGGAAGCGATAACGCAGCTGGCTAGTATATGTCGTCAAGTCGAGCGTCATCTGCTTGAGCTGATCCACCATCATCCTGCGCGTTCCCTCGTTGCCGCTAAACTGGCCATTGGTGAGCTGCTCGCGCTGTCGCACGCAGCAGATAATGGTCCACATTAGCAGATTCGGTACGTTAATGGAGACAGGCTGCGGGAGGGCTGAGAATTTAGCCGCGTAGGAGCGAATGGCGCTGGCGTCGCCGCTGGCCTCCAGTGGCAGGATCTCAAGACCGCGTATTTTCTATTTCGTGTTAGCAAGTGATTGGCATGGTCCAAGTATAACATCAACTCACGTCAAGACATTGTGCCCACTGGGCAGTTTCGACAAGGTTCTTGATAGTGCTCATTTCCAACAAGACGCGGCAGGCCATCTTATTGGTGTCTTGGATCTTGCGGTAAAACATGGCATCGCGCTCGTACATGTGCATCATTGTCTTGGCAAGCTCGATCGGATCGTCAATGGCAGCCAAGCTCAGGCTGGTCCCTTGCTGAGCATCTGCATCATTGCCGCCGGCTCTAGGCTTGATGGGCATCAGGCGCATGGGATCCTCGCCAATTTCGAGGGAGATGGCTTCACTGATAGCGCGGCTGACGATTGCAACGACAGCGTCGTACTCACCCGCAAGGTGGTACAGCAGTACAGAGTCGGTGGTTCTCCCGTTCTCGTCGGCAAAACTTGCCGCCTGCAGCGTGACCGTGTTAATGAAATCGTCCTCATCGCTCAGCCCAATAAGAGGACCCCGGATCTCGATAATGCCGCGGATGCGCTGGCCATCTGGGCGAATATCACCGATGAGTTTGCTAAATTCGCGTGTCTCAAGTACCAGTTCACGCAGGGCTTCGTGGCACAGGCTGCTCTGTCGTCGACCAGCTTCGCCACCCAAGTCTTGATTGAGGCAGATCAGCGTCAGATAGTCGACAGCTGATACGACATCGGCGGCACGGAAGTCGCGAGTGTAGTATCCAATCATTCTGCCAAAGTTGATCTGAGACAGATTCTTGCTGCTATAGCTGCGAAGATCGTTTGGCGCCGACATCGGGTCGCTAGGCCGCAAAAGGCCATAGTATTCGAGAGCGATACCAAAGTGGACAGCATCAATGTATGAGAAAGAGTATAGGTAGCCAATCGCATCTTCAAACATGCCGGAAAGTACCTGAAGATAGAAGAACATGCCAAAGCTACCACTGTTGTTATCATCGGAGACAGTCTTGGGAAAGTGCTTAAGACCAATCTCCCGGATACTGGTTTGCAGTTCTGCAAGACCATACGACTCGCCTGCCATCTCTACAGTCTTGTCGCCTTCACGCGCGAGGTTGAATTGCAACCAAATCCAGTCGTTGATGTCTGTGTTGAAGCCATTCAGATCGCGGTTCGCTAGCTCGATTCGACCAATGATCTTGTAACAAGCCATGCGGAACGGATCAATGGAGTTGTCGGGGGCATTGCGGTATCGCTGGACGTATTCATTCGTACAGCGCTCGAGCAATTTTCTGTTTGTGATCCTGCGGTCTTCGCTGGCAGCATAGTTGTTGAGATATGTCGAGAATGTCCTGTCGATTCCTCTGAAATGATTGCTGTTGTCGTTGACATATTTTGCGGCTTCGTTAACGTTGCCGGAACGTATTAGGTAGAATACTATCGCCCACACAAATTCACCCTGAACCTGCTGCAGCTCCGTGTTGTCGGGTACCAAATCCTTCCTCGCTGAACGAAGGCGGATGTATGCCTTGATCTTGCTTGTGATGTCGGGAAGACCACCAAGCTTGGCCTCGTGAGGATGCTTTGCGATGAGGCTCTCAACCTCTCGAATGAATTGCTTTTCCAAAAATGCATTTGCGCCACTGAGAATTTTCTTCTTCATCTCAACAGACTGAGGAGAGTTTGGATTTTCATCCAGATATATGCCAGCGAATTCGCGTTCCTTTGTTGCGCTGTAGCCCAGAGGAGAGTTGACGGACTGCTCCCCGACGACTTCAATCATGGCACGGTATGCCTCGACTATATGGAACGCATGAGGCTCGTGCGACTTTTCTTCAACCTGGCAGAGCTCATGTAGAATGGGATAAGGGCGGTTATCGAGTCGGCACATATTCAGATTGCGAACTTTGTCGGCAAGCTTCAGCTGTCTTTCGCGCGTTCCCCGGTCCTCTAGTCCACCCTTCTTCTTGACATCCGCGGCTGGATCGATGTCTGTAAACTCGGACTCGTGCATTCCGATGCGGCTAGGAGCACCAATTACAGATCGATGCAAGGCGGAATTTCCGAACACTGAGGCGCGAGAGGCCTTGGGAGCACCATCCTGTGCTTTGCTTCGTCGAGAGCGGCCGAAACCGCCCTGACTTTCGCGGCTGGCAGCTCCATTCTCCTGAGGTTTGATGCCAAAGTGGTCATAAATCCGCTTGCGCTGCACATCCCATTCCATCGCAACGTTGTCTTCGAGAAAGTTATCAAAGTCGCGGACCGATCGTTCCAAGCCGTCCGAGATCATGCTTAATGTTGTTTTGGTCTGCAGATTCGAGAGGTAAGTTTCGACATCAATTTCGCTCGGAGCGTAGCCGCCATGCGCGGCGCGTTCGGTACGTCCCTGCACGTCCAAAAGTCCCAGGTCCTTGGCCGCAGCACCAGGGTTGACGCCTGCTGCCGCAAGCAGGTAGTGCGCCTTGCCTTCGAGGGGTTTCTCGTTAGGCTTAGACTGAAGCTTGCGCAAACGGTGGCGGAGATCGCCGAGGCCGAGCTCGAGGCTCGGAAGATCTTCCATATTTGAATTGTTCTGACCACCGGCTTTTTGCGTCTTTGCAAACAAGCTATCGAAGTAAGCGCCTGCGGGCTGCGAGGGCGCGGTCACGCCATTCTGAGTGTTGCTTTGTGGTTGGTTGGTGAAAAGACTGCCGCCAAGAGCAGACCCAGCGGGTTGCTGTTGTTGACCACCAAGAACGCTCGCGCCGGCTGCTTGAAACGCATTGGAGGGCTGGGTTTGCGCCGGTTGACCAAAGACGCTGCCGCCTGTCGCAGGCTTCGCACCGAAAAGGCCACTGCCTGTGGTTCCAGCTTGTTGCGTCTGAGCTTGATTGTTCTGACCGAAAAGCCCGCCGGCGGTTGTAGCTTGTGTCTGGGCCTGGTTGTTTTGGCCGAATAGACCGCTGCCGGTCGTTCCCTGCGTCTGGGCCTGGTTGTTCTGGCCGAAGAGCCCACCACCAGTCGTCCCAGTCTGCTGCGTTTGGTTCTGCGTGTTTTGCCCAAAGAGTCCACCCGTCGTGCTTGTCTGTTGCGTCTGATTCTGCGCAGGCTGTCCAAACAGTCCACCCGTCGTGCCCGTCTGTTGGGTCTGATTCTGCGCAGGCTGTCCAAAGACACCGCCAGTCGAGGCCGCAGCCGGCTGGGTGCTTTGGCCAAACACTCCGCCCCCAGTCGCGGGCTTGTTCTGCGCGCCAAACAACCCGCCGCCGGTCGAGGTCGCGTTGCCCGTCTGTTGCTGATTCTGGTTATTTTGCCCAAAGAGCGAGCCGCCGCCGCCAGTGGCGCCGCCACCACCACCACCACCGAAAAGAGACATGGCTGCTGGTCGGGCGAATGTTGAAGCTCTCGGGTTTCGCAGGGTTGAGCTTTACCCAAAACAACAAGACGTGGGCGGTGGCAGGGTCGGAGTTGGGCGCGGCGAAATCAACGGGGACGCGGTAAAGAGAAGAATCACAAAGCTCTCTGAGTTCGTGAGCAATGAATTGATGCTATTGTGCGCCCAAAGTAAAGTGTTGATGGTGGAGGCTGGATGTGCCGTCGCGTTGATGTTGCGTTGCTACTTTTTGCGTGGTTGCTAGATTTTTGGCGGTTGGTTGCTGGCCAGGCACGGGAAGCTTAGACCAATCATAAGGGTTGGCAGAGCGCATGTGGGGCCGTAGAAACAATAAGTTCATGAGCATCGCTACAATATGTCTTATGCGCCTTTATTTACGATAAGTGTGATTATTCTTTGTCATTTCTAAAAGTGTATATGGTAGGCCATGTTTAGAAGATGGCGACAGGCACACCGTGGACTGATCCGGCAGGCAGAAATCCTGGCTCACTTTGATAACCCGGGCAAGCGGGTGACAGAGCAAGAAGCCGATTGCAAGAAGAAAGTGATAGATAGAAAATGTAGATGATTGAAAAACATGAAGAGGGTAAGAGAAACACTTCAAATATGCGCGTTCGTAGTAGATGTGTCCAAGCCTCTATTTTCTGTTTCGTCATGGTTTCTCGTATCGAATAGGATGCTGGTGCATACTGTCCCCATCAGTAAAATCCGTACCACTCTATATCATAATTATTTGTTTTGTCTATATCAGAATGCGCCTTTCCCATATCGGATTCAATCATGCGTCGCCGCCAAACTCCTTCTTCCACTTTAAAGTAGCGGCGTCCACCTTTTTGCGGTACGCTTGCTGACTGTTGCACATCTCGAGATAGACTTCGTATTTGGCGTCGAGCATTGCCAGCTCGCCGGCATCGGTACCCGGCTCAACCAGACGACCGCGCTTGCTCATGCGATCCATGATGCTCCAGAGCGACTCAGGGTCGCGACCTTCTTCGTTGTGGCTAGCAGCCTTGGCACCCAGCATGGCAGCACCGTGCACGACGGCGGCGTGAACATAGCGAGGGATCAGAATTGGCATTCTGCAGACAGTAGCCATCAGGTTCATCAGAATCGGGTTCTGGCACTGTGAGCCCGACATGAAAATTGACGAGATTTCGTGACCAGACTTGTTCATCTGCTCAATAATTTGGCGCGTCTGGAAAGCGATAAACTCCATGGTAGCATAGTACCAGAGAGCCATATTGTCGGTGCTCTTGTCACTGTCAAGTCCAATCATAACACCCTTCATAGTAGGATCTGCGATGGGAGAACGGTTGCCCCACAGATCACCATAGAAGAAGTGGTGGCGGCCGAGGTATGACACGGCGGGTGCATTGTCCTTCTCGGCCATGTATTCGAGGTGGGCGTTGAGCCAATCGTAAATGTGTTTATCCTCGGCTTTAGCCAGCGCCTGCGTCGCGTTGAAGGCGGGGTGGATATCCAGCATGTGTCGAAGCAGCTCGCCGGTCGCGGACTGGCCACCCTCAGCCATCCAGAACTCTGGTAGGAGTACATCACGGTAGGGACCCCAGACGCCTGGAACAAAAACCGGGTTCTTGGACATAGCAAGATGGCAAGTCGAAGTACCAGCCACAGCAGCCAGGCGAGTAAACGCCTGAGCAAGGTCGTTGTCGGGGACATTGGCGTTGAGCTCGTCATCGCCGAGTTCAACCTTGGCGCCAACAGTTCCAATCCAGCCAGCGTAAGCATCAATGACACCACTGCCGACGGCGATGCCTTGGGGAAGGCCCAACTGAGAGGCAGACTGCCTGCTCAGGGTGCCAACACATTCACCAGCACTGGCGTATCTTCCGTTCTGGAAATTGACATAGTTAGCTTCTGGCCCAGATCATTAAACTCGAGTGAATTTGGGCTCAGTTGGAGCAAAGACGAAAATCAATATGATGGAAGAAGAGAGTGGCTCACCACCTTATCGACGCCTCCCATGCGTTTAAAATTGTCTTCAACCAAATCACTCAGACCAATCGTGTCATAAAAGTCTTCCTGCCAGCCCTTGACACTGCCATCTACACCAACTGGGACAAAACCCTGCTTGCAGACGGTGCTGCAAAAGCTGCGACTCTCATTTCCCGTAGCGATATGAGTGAGGGCATCTCCGAGATCGTAGAACTTGGATCGGGCGAAAAGCTCTGGGGGCATATTATTTTTGAGCCAGAGAATCTTGGGAATTTCCATTTCGATGCTCATTTTGCCTCCGACGTATCTGAGGAGGTTGTGGCCTGTATTGTTGATGAGCTCGGTTTCCTCGACAGGTCGGTGGTCGAGCCACAGAATGACATTGCGGTCATTGCCGTCGTTTTGGAAGTCAGGGCCGGTAACGGCAATCGGTTCGTCGGTGTCGGTCGAGAAGACGGCCAAAGAGCAAGTGGCGTCAAAGCCAATGCCTTTAATGGAGTTGGGGTCGACTTGGGATTCGCCGACTACCCTGCGAACACATTCGCATATGCACTGCCAAATGTCTGTCGTAGATTGTTCCTGTGCACCATATCATTAGTCCACAGAGCCTAGCTTGAGTCTATGCGACGTACGTAGTAGCCAGTCTGAGGCTGCCACAACTTAATGTCCTGTGCAGCGAGGGCTTTGATGTCGCCAGATTCGTCAATGATGCAGGCGCGGGCGGAGCCTGTGCCAACATCGATACCAATGTAATGGTCCTGGTGTGTCATGATCAGTCTTGCGCCGCGCTTCCACTGAGAGCTTTGGGGTTTTTGACAGCGGCGCCAAATGGCGGCACGCCAGAGGGGCAGCTCTATGAGGGCGTCTTACCAGCTCCGCTAGAGGTCTGTTGTGAGATTCTCGGTCAGTTTCCATATTGGCTGGACAAACGTGAGGATGAATGGTCGCAGTACATACTCCATTGGGTTGATAGGCTTATTGTAGGCGTACATGGCGGCAGCTTTGGAGCAATTCGCTGAATAAAAACCAGTCGATTAAGCTCTCCGGGCTGATAAATTGATTACCAATAGGTCGCTAATCGAGAGAGAGAAGCAATTGACCGAGCGCGTTTGTAAGTGTGATACTTGTCGGATTGTCGAGAAAATTACGAGGGAAAATGAAGGTTCGGGGACCACGGGAGATACTGAGGGGGAGGGGATGGCGGGGAACTAGGGGCGTGTGCATAGAATAAGTAGAAGTTGGCAGACGAAGAAACGGGGCGAGATGGAAGTTGCCACTGTAAATGACGATAGTCCGGCGGCCAGCAAATGGCCAGTGGCCGGGGAGCTCGGCGACGGCGACCGAGATGGATAGATTCAGGGCATTTTCCGTCGTTTACAGCGCTGTTGGGCCCGGCATCGCTGGCTTCTCCGCTGTATCTTCCCCGCTATGAGCTCAATGCTGGGGCACCTCCAGTTTTCCGTCTTGCTCGGGCAACATTCACCAGTCGCTGGGATGATTTTTTTGAGTTGACTAAGAATTTGGCAGTCATTTCAAATCTGAACCGAGTTTCATTGGCTCTCGGTTACAAGTTTTCAAGTGGCAAAATGCGCATGTGGCCGAGTTGGCTTCTTTCTTCTTCGGCAGTGAAGAGTGCTTCAACACGCCCCGCAGCATTACCCCGACAGTGGTAACGGGAAAAAACGATTCTAGCATCTACACGTGCCACGTGTATTAAGTATCATATACTAGCTACTCAAGTAGAAGCAATGGAAAAAAAATCCTTGGCAATGAAGAGCAAAACTGAATGAGAGCGTGAGGTGAGCAAAGAATCAAGGTGTGAAATATGTCAGTACCGCACTGGCGAGCTATTTCTGTTTCTTGCATATTCAAATCTGACCGGGTAACTTATTGCTTGTCCCGCGGATGAAAGGATGCTTAAGCTTTTGAACGGATTGAATCTTCACAGTACGGATGGCATCCGTATATAAAGAGGCACATTAATAACTGAGACAAAAACGTTCGTGGCTACGCTAGTTCTGCGCTGAATGCCTGTACGGATATAACGAGGCACATTGAACTGAGACAAAAACGATTCGTCAATATCAGTACGTTCGTTCCGCGCTGCGCTGAAAGAACAGTGGTGCTTGTGTGCTATGTGTCGTATGTCAAAGCCCAAGTCCAGCAGATGCTGCTGCTGCCGTTTCTCCTGCAGTCATCAATTACGATTGCGTCTTGCAACCCCAGTGGTATTGTGCCAGAGCTGTGAATCTAACGGCTTGAACAGATGGCAATATAACTAACGAAAGTAGGAAAAGAAAATGTATCGATCTCGCATATGCTTTGCAATCCGCAGCCCGATGCCAGTCTCTCTGGTGCCGAGGGTCATACAATATATCAGCAGATCTGCCGAGCGGCGGCGAGAAGCGGCCAAAACGGTTTTCTACTCTCAAGGCTGTGGAACTTTCTGTCAATCTCGAGGATGCGCGGCTGAAGACGCAAATGAAGATACTGCACGCACCCATTGTCCCGAGACATTTGTGTAGAGCTGCCCAGCGATATGCTTGTCAAGCACCCTGCCGACGTACTTTAAACATCAACTCGTCAATGATTTACAAGAGCTGTTTTTCGAGCGAATCAGAAATCTGCAAGTAATTGCTGGATTTTCACCAGACTATCCCTGCGATTGGTGTAAGTTGTTGACCTTCGCAGCATGTGGCTGGCGTAAATACCAGCACGTCCCACTCCTGTATTCATGCTGGATAGAAGAACGCATATTTCATCATATGTGCATAGGCCAGAACAAGCCTCTACCTTGCAGCCGCAATTCCCTCAGGCAATTCAGCTAGCCTTGGCTAAGACCTGCAGACAACGGGGCAGCCGGCGAAAATGTCGCTATCAAGTATTGTCATGCCAGTATAAAAGCTTCATGTCCATAGCATGGGCCGTCGTGACACTCATCTTCAATCCCATCATCTCTCGGTTAATTAAGCCAAGGAAAAGCCCATTGGCAATCTGTTATAATGCCAGGCCCAATTCCACTTCGCATGCAGCAAGTGCATCTTGGTCGAGGCGCACTTGGCCACTTGGCCATCAACCCAACACACGATACACCAAAAACTGTTTATGCAGGTGAACATGCGGCACAGGAGTCTATTCTGCTCAAAAGATGCCCTGGAGACATCTGGCCAGGCGGTACATCGTACACATATGGCTGCCCGCGGCCGATCCTCATGTACCAGCACCACCATAAGCAATTGATCCTGTTTCATGAGTCGATCACGGTTGCTATCGTAGATATTGTCAGAAGATGGTTCGCAGATCGAGATGCAAGATTCCCAGAGAGAATGCCACTTCTCGAAGAGGAAGAGAAGTTGTTGCAGGTACGGGATTATGGACTTATCCGGTATAATTCGAGCATGGTAAAGATTCTGACATATTGCAGTGGATGGATTCGCAAGTCGCACAGGGTAACCTCGCACCTTACTCGGCAGCAACTCTCGGGTCCTGGAGACCAGACTTTCTTGTTGAGGATGACAAGGGTTACGAAAACTTTCGTCTAACAGAGATAAATGCCCGCTTTTGTTTCAATGGGTTCATGCATGCTAGCTACGGGCAGACAGCGCTCGACTCAATGGGAATGCAAAGGTCGGGACTGGTCGGTGCCGCAGACGGAGCAGAGGTATAATCACTACGCGCGCTCTTCTCTTTTGACTGGCACACTAACAGCAAAACAGTTTTTCAACGGACTTCTTCGACTTTTCCGACACGATCGACCGCTTCATCTCTTGAAAGGCGAAGAGAAAGGAATCGACATTGGCATGTTTATCCATGCTGTTCAGTTTCGTCTCGGTATGACTCCGCGCCTGATCACTCCTAGTGATTTGAGACTGGTTCCGGACCCCGATGACCCAAATCGCACCCTGCTCTGCTGCTTGGTCAAATTTCCTACCACAAGTACATCAATGTTGAAAACACAAAGCGGAGAGGTGGTGGAAGAGATCCACCAAGTTGGGCTGGAGCTTCATCAGCGCGAGCTCGCCGCTCTAGATGCGGAGATGATGCATCACATCAGCCTGCGCTGCTTCAACGACATGCGCACAATTCTACTCGTGCACGACAAACGCATGCTTGGCATCATCCAGCAGGAGCTGTTGCCCATGGTGCGTCGTGGCGTACTGACAGTGGATCAGGCGCAGGCGCTTGCCAAGGGAATCGCCGACACGGCCCTACCCGGCTCGGCGTACATGGGGGATTTGCTCCGCCAGTCTCAGGCCAATCCGAGCCTGAAGGATGAATATTTGCTCAAGCCTATCCGTGGAGGCAAGGGAGCGGGGATCGTGTTTGGCGAGGACCTTGGCGCCGACCAGTGGCAGGCTGCGCTGCGAGACCTGCAGAGTCCCAAGCTGAATCCTGCGGGTGCGAGCTATGTGGCACAGCGCAAGGTTCTGCAGCACAACTATGACCTGGTGCTAAAGGGATGTGGAAAGATCCTGACGCAGCCTCTGGTTGGAACATACCACACCGTGCATGGTGCGTACCTCGGCATCGGCACCTGGCGGAGCAGCGGTGGTCGAATTTGCGCGGTGAGCAGCGGAGGTGCCTGGATCTGCTCCGTGATTAGCCCTCATTAAGGTGGACATCCTGGGCCATTGAGAACTAAGTTATGAATGTATCCAAGAATTAGTCGGCTTCTAATACGTTGGTTCTGCTTCAACTTTTGTAGCTTTCCAAGCAGCAGATGCTGCCTCGGCCACGCTGGCGTGTAAGTGATGAGCAAAGTACTGACTTGTCAACTTTTCTAAGCGAGATTCTAGACGCTAGCTCACTTGTATGGAGACTTCTACGCTAATTGGGACTTAAATTAACACCAAGCTTAATTGCGACCTGATTGGCCTGCAATTGCAAGGCAGACATTCGTGGGGGTGATGTGATCGGCACCAGGGGACGCCATTCGCCTAAAGGCACTAAAATCGCGACATGGAAACGTCTTGGAGTAATCTCCCTTGAACATACACAATGGCATCGCACCATTGTCAGGAGATGATGCGCAAAGCGACGGCAGTTGCGGCGCTCTACAAATCGAGGTGCAAAGCTGTCAATGGCGTCAATATGGTGTCTCAGATCGCCAACGCCTAGCCGACTATAAGAACAATGAGCGGCGCTTGTATCACAAGAATTGCCACAACATTGTTCCAGTCTTTGCTCCAACATCTCATTGTTCGAATACAACAACGAAAGCCTCCTTCCATTATCATATTCAATCAGCAAACCAATTCACAAAATGAAAGCCAACACCATTGCCGCCATCGTGGCCACCCTCGTGACGAGCGTCGCCGCTGCCCCCACCGAAAAGCGCGATCTGCCCCTTCTTGGCGGCCATTCTGGGATTATCAAGGGCGTCGGTCCTCTCCTTGACAGCGTTGAGAGCCTCATTCCCGGTCTGGGTGGCTCCGGCAACGGGCAGGGGGATGCCCCGGCTAGCAACATCATCGGCGGCCTCGGTCTCGGCGGTGCCAAGTCTCGTCTCTAAATATGGTCTCTAAAGAGTCAGCCTGTCTAAAACACAACGAACAGTCAGAAAATATGGATTGGAAAGATATTGCGTGGGTGGTGCAAGGTACATCTGGGGGTCGAATGCGCGGCTTTACATTCGTGTATAACGTTATCTAATTATATTCAATTCAAGACGAAAATTTGGGATATCACATATATTTCTCCGTAATTTCTCACCTCGAATTGCAATCTGGGCTCGAATAAATGCTCAGTGGGACATGGCAGGTGTCACGGTGTAAAGCCGTGTCACTTGCTAGATAGCTGCTGTAAGTCAAGCTGGAGGCAAGACCCCTGCCAAGAAATCTTTACTCTTCAGTAAAGAAGAATGTCACATTATTAGGTATTCTATTAATGGAAGGGGATGTATCGTCGGTTGGGTCTGGTTATATGGAGCTGAGGAGTTCACTAATTAATGCCACTGTAGCCTTGGCTTTCCTCGGCGTTGGCTTTGGCATGGGGCACAAAATTAAAGGTTTTTTGCGGTAATGCGGTGCCTGCGGAGCGAAGGCTGGTTTAAAGTTAGGGGGTGCTGGGCCCCTACCCCTGTACTGGTACGAGTCGGTAGACTATTAGACTACTAGAATAGGAAGGCGGGGGAGTCTTCAATTATGCATCTGTCGACTGGGGTCTCCAACGATCTTTCGGGTGGGTTTTGCTAGCCGATATATCTCTTCCAAGAAAGATTTGCCAAGATTCTCTTGTCCGTCGGGCTCTACGGGAATCTAGCACCACCTATGTAGTGATGCATATATGTAGACATACTGATGGAGCTGATTTGCCCGATGTTTGCCCCGAGCTCGCCCCCACGTGAGCAGGACCCCTGCTCTTTTACACAAGTCTGACTTTTGAGCCTTGCCAAAACAAGCGCCCCCTCACCCGACGCCGTTTGTACGTGAGTCACCAACACAGTACCATTCACACAATTCCCGTTCTGCCTCTCTGGAGACGTCCCGCGTCCTCGGCATGGCTGCCATGAACTTCTCCAAGGAAGAGGAGATTGTCCTCGCAAGATGGCGTGCAATCGACGCTTTTAAGATTCAGCTAGAGCTGAACAAAGACAATCCGCCGTATACCTTCTATGATGGTCCGCCTTTTGCGACTGGGCTTCCTCACTACGGCCACATTCTGACCTCCACCATCAAGGATGTCATTCCTAGATACTGGGCGATGAAGGGATACCTGGTTGAGCGTCGATTTGGCTGGGATACCCACGGTGTCCCAATTGAGTACGAAATCGACAAGGCGTTCGGCATCAAAGGGAAGCAGGAAATTCTGGCCTTTGGCCTTGCCAAGTACAACGAAGAATGCAGAAATATTGTGATGCGATACGCAGCCGAGTGGAGGACGATGATTGAGAGGCTGGGGCGCTGGGTTGACTTTGACAATGATTACAAGGTGAGTCACGACTTCCTCGCTCTCTTTGAGTCTTCTCGGTGGCTAATCTCTGAGATTCTGGGCAAATCAGACTATGGATTTGAACTTCATGGAGAGCTGTTGGTGGGTTTTCAAACAACTCCACGACAAAGGCGTCGTATACCGGGGCTACAAGGTAATGCCTTATTCGACTGTCCTCACCACTCCACTCAGCAACAACGAGGCTCAGGTAAGTTTTGCGTGGACAGTATTCCCTTGTGTCGCAAATTACTCACAATGCTCGCCTCAGGAAAACTACAAAATGGTACAAGATCCAGCCGTTGTGGTCACTTTCCCCCTCCTCGATGACCCCAAAACTTGCTTACTAGCATGGACAACCACTCCGTGGACCCTCCCGGCCCATACAAATTTAGCGGCGAACCCCGATTTCGAGTACGTCAAGATCTCCGACGAGAAGACGGGCATGAATTACATACTGCTGGAGTCATTGATAGGAACGCTGTATAAGAAGCCAGAAAAAGAAAAGTACAAGGTCGTTGCCCGGTACAAGGGATCAGACCTACTAGGTTGGAGATACGAGCCTCTCTTCCCCTATTACTACGATCAGTTCAGGCAGAATGGCTTCCGCGTTTACAACGATAGTTACGTTACAGCAACTAGCGGTGTGGGAATAGTCCATCAAGCGCCAGCTTTTGGCGAGGAGGACTTCACTGCCGCCATGAAAAATGGCATCATTTCGGCCGAACGGTTACCCCCCAACCCTGTTGACGACAACGGGTGCTTTACCTCAGAGGTCTCAGATTTTGCCGGGCAACACGTGAAAGATGCTGATAAGCACATCATCAAATATCTTCAAGGGCGGGGGAGACTTATTGTAAACTCGACCATCACCCACAGCTACCCCTTGTGTCCCAGGTCAGACACTCCACTCATCTATCGCGCCATCTCTTCGTGGTTCATCAAGGTTCCGCCTATCACGTCCCAGATGCTAGAAGAGGTCGAAAAAACTCACTGGGTGCCATCCGTTGTCAAGGAACGACGGTTTGCGAACTGGATCGGCGGTGCTCGAGACTGGGCCGTGTCCCGAAATCGCTACTGGGGTACCCCGTTGCCTCTATGGGTGAGCGACGACTATGAAGAAGTCATCGCCGTCGGCAGCATTGAAGAATTGAAGCAGCTGAGTGGCTACGAAGGCGAGATCAATGACCTCCATAGACACAACATTGACCACATCACCATCCCTAGCAAGCAGGGAAAGGGCATTCTCCACCGTGTTGAAGAGGTTTTTGACTGCTGGTTCGAGTCAGGAAGTATGCCCTATGCCTCTCAGCATTATCCCTTTGAGAATAAGGAAGCATTCGAAAAACGCTTTCCAGCCGACTTCATTGGAGAAGGCCTCGATCAAACAAGAGGTTGGTTCTACACTCTTCTTGTCTTGGGAGTTCACCTCTTTGGTACCTGCCCGTTTAAGAACTGTGTTGTAAACGGTATGGTCCTTGCCGAAGATGGAAAAAAGATGGCAAAGCGTCTCAAAAACTACCCAGACCCAGACATCATCATGAGCCGCTATGGCTGCGACGCACTCCGACTTTATCTCATCAATTCCCCGGTGGTACGGGGAGAGCATTTCAATTTCAAGGAGTCTGGCGTCAAAGAGATGGTTCAGAGAACCCTCCTACCCCTCTGGAATAGCTATATATTCTTTTGGGACCAAGTCCGATTGCTGCGCAAAGTCGAGGGGATCGAGTTCAAATTTGCCCCGGCAAAGGTTGCGTCCTCCGGGAATGTCGTGGATAGGTGGATCCTGGCTACCTGTCAGTCCTTTTTGAAGGAGCTCAGCGACCAGATGGCTGGTTAGTTAATTCCTCCACATGACTATTGACTGGAAGCGGTATGGGGTATAGCATGCTAATCGACTTCCAGGCTACCGCCTTTACAACGTGGTCCCAAGGGTCCTTGAGCTCATTGACAAGATCACGAATTGGTACATACGCCTCAACCGCCAACGACTGAAGGGGGACCGCGGAGCTGAGGAGACAGTGGTTGCTTTAAACACGTTGTTTGACGTGCTTTATACTGTCGCACGCAGCTTTGCTCCCTTTATACCTTTCTTGACTGACAAGTTGTGGCTCCACCTCCAAGAGTTTATGCCAGCTGACCTGCTTGTTGGCGACATCCGCTCTGTTCATTTCCTGCGTTTTCCAGAACCTCGCCTAGAACTATTTGATGAAGTGGTTGAGCGTCGGTTCGCTTGTATGAGGACGGTTGTTGACCTTTGCCGCATTTGCCGCGAACGAGAGCCAGCCATAAGCCTCAAGCAACCTCTCATGACCCTTACAGTTCTCCATCCTGACCAGCAATACCTCTACGACGTTGCCTCACTCGCCGACTACATCAAAGAGGAACTATCGATCATCACGCTGACCCTCAGCTCCGACGAAGGCCTCTATGGCGTACAGCATAGCTGCACAGCGAATTGGTCTACGATTGGAAAGAAACATCGCCAGAATGCCAAGCGACTCGCAACCGCCCTCGCAGCTCTATCAAGTGCAGAAGTCAAGCGCTTGATTGAGAAAAAATCGGTGGTGATTGACGATGTTGAGGTTTCCGTCGAGGATGTCGTCATCAAACGGGGTATTGCTCCGGACCTAGCGGGATCAGAGAGCGCCGCAGTTGGCGTTGACGGGGACACGCTCATCATTCTCGACAAGACAATCTACCCGGAGCTGGAGGACCAGCGTCTCGGCCGCGAGATTGTCAACCGGGTGCAGAAGCTCAGGAAGAAGGCCGGCTTGCACCCTACCGACGACGTGAGAGTCGAGTACGCCGTCCTCAGCGATCCCGATGGCATTGGCATTGAGAATGCTTTTTTGACCCAAGCAAGTAATATGCAGAAGGTGTTGAGGCGGCAATTGGAGAGATATGACAGAGGCTCTGCAGAGGATGCTGGAGCAGATGCTGATAGTAATGTTTGCGAATCGATCATTGAGGAAGTGCAGGAGATTCAAAACTCCCTGTTCTCGCTGAGAATCTCCGCTCTATAGAGCAAAGGCGAGTTCGTGGTCGTCACGGGGGGGGATTAGTAAATGGCTTTGGTACTACATGATAGTCACACAAATGTTGGATACCTGATGCTGGCAGATATCGGCACGCCCGCTCTGAAATAGCTAGAAAAGCACTGTTGGAAGCACCATGTCTCGATTTTGAGGTCAGACTAACTCAGCGAACTCTCATGTATCATCGACCTCAGCCTCATGTTTGCAGGCCCTCATCGTCAACGCAAGGCAGCCGGACAATCTCGTAGAAGAGAAGAGCAGAATAGATAATACGAAGAATTAGACCGCTTGTAGCCAGTTGAAATGTTTCCCATCTAAATTTGAGAAAGAAAATCCAGACGAAGCATGTGCGACTGCTAGTAATTGTCGAGGTGCGCAATGCGGGTGCGGATTTCATGGCCCCTATCCATATAGACGTCGCTGATTTCGAAGTAAGCGACACAAGCTCGTGGTAGGCGTGCAGAGCGGAGACTAAGAGACTATGGGCGAGTTTCTTCTCGCATCGGGTTGCTTTCGGCATGAGGTGGCTTTGGCAATGACACGGTCGTTTTGGTCGCGGAACATGAGGTCGATTGCAGCTGTGTCTTTGTGCATTGGCCGCAATCGGGCTTGGCTTAATCGCACTATCCAGTGACTGAGTTTACATCATCTTTTCCGTGCATGCGCATGGCGAGCTTACTTTAATCTTGCGTTAACGACAGTTGGAGCAGCCCTGGGCGGGCTTGCCGTAGTAGACCATGATGCAGCATGCACCAATGGATAGAACACTGTATTTGACAACACAGCAAGATTATCAGGAGTGTTTCTTGGCGCTGGGATGCACGGCTGCTCTGCACGTCGTCCGGAGTGTTTCTTGCCAGGCACGGAGACTACAGGGCGGGACGGTGCTCGGCCGCATGAGCATCCGCTCGCGAAGAGTTCCATGCATCCTTGGGAATAAATTGGTCTGCTCGGCACCGTGATTGCGTCAGACTTACTCAAGACCATGATACAGTAGATGACGCGATCTTGCGATGATGCGTTTCACTGCGCAAACCGGACGCGCCGAGCAAACGCGTCATAAGCTTTCACGCTTTACCTTTTGAATTTCTTTTTGCTTGTCCTCTAGTCTCTTGCCTCTGATTCTGTGTAAGCATGGGTCTTGGAAAATCTCAGAGGCGCAAACCGTCCTGCCGCCGCGGAGGCTCTTCTCGAGCTTCACAACGTAGCGCGGCTGTAACCTTGTCACTGCGCCGGCAGGCTGAAGCGAAGGGCATGCAAGCAGAGCCGGAGGAGACAGATGGCCCACGAATCAAAGTATCATGGGCCCGCGCAGGCGTGATGATCACCGGCGAGTATGGCATTTGTGTGGCGCGAATGCCAGCCGTGAAGAACTGGGCAGAGTATGATGGCAAGCAGCTACGTCAGGTGGTGGCAGAGCTTAAGCTTGTAATCAATGGACACGTCGAGGTAACCATGGCTCACGCGCGGCTTCCTGAAGACTTTGGGTCTGCAGTGGCAGCTGGTGCACCGGGGCAAATTTTTTGCGAAAGATTTGGTGGCTGCGTCATGACGGTGCATCCTGGGGTGCAGGACCATGACGTGGATCGATTCAAGGACTTTCTTGGAGGCGATACCACGGTGAAGGGGAGGAAGGAAGTATATGAAGAGGGTGAGCGCCGACGCCCGCATCAACTTTCCAGCTTATGTTCCCCCAACAAGATTCGTGTCCATGCAGACGCTGCCAATCTAAACCACAACAATGACACTTGCGCCGTTGTGTTTTGTTTCCAACTTGAGCCAGGAGCAAACGTGACACTTTGCTCCATGGAGTATTCATTCTATTGCTAACCGCGAGGGCGAATTTCCGGTAACCTGGGCAGTGACTGTCCCCGGTTCTAGGCCTTTATTCCCTCGTAGAACTTTGCGTGGGCACCACTGGGCGGTTGGTAACTATGGTTTCTGCCGCGGTCCGGGGGGGGGGGGTCTGTTGGATGAAGAGGGTGAAGGAGCGCTGAACTGGCAAGGCTTGTGTCTTTCGAAGAAGATGGTGTCTTGCCATTCTAGGAATGGGTGCGCCAGAAGTTGAGTAGGACAAGATTGAGATTGAGCGACAGATATTTAAAAGTGCTTTGGTATATGACATAACCGCATTAAAGAATGAGACTGTGATACGGACAGTTTGAATGACATGGCTGGGATTGCACTGTGCACATCTGCGCATCATCTGGTACGCATACGTCCCGCTGCTGGATGGCGTCGCTGTGGCTGTCATGTAAACTCATGTCTACAGCTAAGTTATCAACGATTCCTAAATACTTGTATTTGCGCCACCTCACATGTAGAAATATACCATATGAAGATTAAAACAGAAATACCCTTTCGAATCATTGGGCCTTGCGACTAGCCAGTAGCCCGCCTCCCCAATAAACATTTGCGCTGTCTGAATGACGGGCTGCTTAAACGTTTCGTGCCGTCCCGCGTCTGCGTCTTTGCAATAGCGGACACATTGCTGATCCTGAGGGGTGGGGGGAAGGGTTTGACGTTAGTTAGCCTGGGGCGAAATTTTTGTGCAAAGTCGGCGCCGTGCGCGGATTAACAAAGACGAGAAGAAAAAAGAAAAAGAAAAAAAAAAGAAGAAGAAAAGGGAGAAAAAAACACACTTGATATTTCGCCAAGAGGATACTGGCTACTCCTGTCATAAGCATTGCTAGGACCAGAAACGGCACGAAAAGCTTGTTGCTACCAGAGGGCATCGTGTCGAACTTGGGGGTTGATTTCGCGACTTGTGGGACGGTGGGACGGTGGGACGGGACGGGACGAACACCTGTGGGGGGTAGGAAACTTTTAATCAGGTAATCCGTACAGTAGGTAGATGCTAGCTCGACAGTCAAACATTCTATATACTACCAAGATACAGGGGGGGAAACCCTAGTTTTCAAGAGTAGGTAAAACCCTATATTTACCCTGCCGGCTCCCTTTACTCAGGCGTATTGGTAAATAGGCATTTCATCCCAGCAGCCCATCCACTTTCTGCACGTGGAATCCTTAATCTCGTAACTACTCGTGATCCCACTACCAACAAGTTGTCTTCCTCCGCTGCACTTAGACAGCTAGCGCAACGATTTTGCCTCCCTCCGAAAAGGTGCCATTAACCGGTGCTTCTGACGCCCCACCTGTTGTCACATAGAGAACATGCTCATCCTTTCTGGTTCGACCAAACACAGTCGCCGTACCCGCGGCGACAAAGGACGAATTGAGATTGCCAGCAATGACTGTGCTCTCGCCGTTCAATTCAATCTTGGTGACGACGTTGGCTATGCCACCTGCAACATACGCCGTCTTGTTCGCATCCAGAGCAAAGTCGTCAGCGGGGACGCCCGTACTGATACGCTCATACGGCCCAGTGGCTTCTCCGGTAACGTTGTCGATGGGCACACGGCCGTAGAGCGGGTTAAAGGTATTGACGTAGTAAAGATAATTTTCCGAAATCCGTATACCGTTGAGCCCAACGGGCAGAGCTGCATCTACAGGAGGTCTGAACGATTCGTCTCTCTGCACCAGGGCGTACTCGCCAGTGTTCGTGTTGAGGCGGAAAATAACACCCTCTGCAGCGTCGCCGACAAGGACTGTGCCGGCTTCAGCATCGAGCGTTACCATGCCGTCGAGGAAGACTGCTTCGGTGATATCCGCCACCTTTGAAACCTTCGCTTCCTCCTCCGCACCACCGCCAAAGTCCGCTTTCCAGATTGCCCAGGTCCCTGGCTCCGGCCCTGTTTGCCGGGTAAAGTTGCCTGCAACAACGGTAAAAACCTCTGGCGCAACTTCAATGACACCGAGTAGACAGACGTATTCCGAGAAGCGGTAGACGAGCTTCGCAGAAGTTGGTCGCTCGAATGGGTTGATTTCGTACAGTTCCGGCCTATCAATGAGGGTGACAAGAAGGTTTCCGTTTGCCCGGACGGCAATGTTCTCGACCCAAGTGCCGTTTTCGAATTGATACACGATGCCATCTTGTCGTTGCGGCTGCGGAGGAGTGCAGGACTGGCCGTCAGAAGCAAAAGAGGCTCCGATAAAGGATAGCAAAGTCAAAAGCAAAGAGGATTTCATCTTCGTTCAGTAGGGACTGGTTAAAAGAATGTCCTGACTGGCTGCAACATGTGCGGTTTGTAGAGCATTTATAAATGCATTGGGCTCTACGGTGGGCTATTTTAAGAGAACCTCTGTTAGCTCTTGTGCATTAACCTAATCTAGCAAGCTTGTACAATCATCGCGAGGGCTAGGCGCAGCGGATTTACTGGTACCTCATACTTACTTCCGATGCATCTTGGCAGAAAACGTCGGCTGAACGCAGTGGACTTAGCGCATGATTCCGATGCATCTTGGCAAAATAGACATGAGATTGCACTCTCTACTCTAATTTTTAACAGGCACCATCATCATCGAGACTATAATAGGTATCATCTTGGAGGCGGCTGCCAGGGACGAACAAAACGTTGTCGGCGTTAGCTAGTTGCCTCTCTCCATAATAACAGCCAAGCACTCGAGCACGGGTACTTTTCGACGAAAATATTGGGCCAAGCTCTTTTCGGGAATATTACATGACGCCCGGATACCTAAACCCGCGTGGCAGGTGGATTAACGCCGAAATCTGCATATATATACCCTGGCCAAGTACGGGCACGTACGTAACCTAATATATCACTACTCTACATAAGTCGAGGGGCCGATTAGACTGGGATATCCATCCATATATGTCTAGATTCAGCATGGGAGCATCAACGCATTGCTTCAACTCATGCAAGAGTAACCGTGCGGCGTGTCAACCCTGGAAGCTAGCCGAAAATGGAGGATCGCGCCGCATCCTAGTCTTTTGTTATCTCCGAACGTCATAGGCTTTATCGTATTTGTAAGCCACCCCCAAACTCTTCTTTAATAATCGGTCCTTATATTATGTTGCGTATAGTACGCCAAATGGCTCGTAAGGCTCTTGCCAAAGGCCTCTTGTCAAAGCCTAGGTTCTGTGGGACTGACTCGTATGCCGTCTTCATACATTCGCGACCTTTGCCGGGTTTAGTACGACGATTCATGCAGCTATCACGCAATTTCTCAACGATTCCTCAAATGTAAAAGAGGAATAGAAATTTGTCTTCTGCGGGTGGCGCTATCGTATAGGACGATTAGGTACTGTTACAGCGGCCCTTCCCATCTGTGATGTCATGGTTTTTGCACCTTTCATTTTAAAAAAACCACTACTAAAAAAAAACTCAATTCACTGTATTATACGTACTGAGGTCGCCTTCAAAGGTCCATTACCACGCTAACCTCACGTAAACCTAAGAAGCAGGGATTCATAAGCAGGCCAGATAGGTAAGCAACACGGCTATTATAGCTAACAAGTCGAAGCTACCAGGGTCTCCAACCACAAAGTGCCGCAAAAAGAAGGTCACAATGTATGATGTAGTTGACAAGACAAAAAATTACGAATATATATTAGCAACCCTTTCCTACTCCAAAGAGCTTGTCGCCCTTGGCCTCTGCTAAGCACCCTTTGAACTCAGGCAGTAGAGCAGGCCGTTTTTTTTTCACGCGACCAACGATGCCTAGCCTCATAGCATCGATACTATTGGCAGCCTCGGTGGCTGCCGCAGAGCCACAGGTTCTCACAGACCGGGGCACTTTTGGTCCTCCTCTGCAGATTGCACACTACTACTACGGTAAGCCAAGAAAGCACAAGTCACATATGATGCTAGGCCGCACAGTTTCTCTGGGGTCGTAGTGCCCAGAGTTGGAAACGATGAGCGTGAATCAAAAGAGGGAGACTAAGAGACCGCAAACAGGCCAGATGCCGACGGGCATCGCCGTGTCACGCGAGAGCCGGCTTTTCTCAACCTACCCGGCATGTCTGGACGGAAACAACACAAACACGCCGCAGACGCCAAACAAGTACCAAGTCGCCGAGTTGATGCCCGATGGCTCCGAGGTTCCATATCCATCCGTCGAGATGAACTCTCCTCCTGGCGGAGCACTCAATATGAGCACGAACCCGTCGACCTCGGCCAACTACGACAATTATCTGATTGGTTGTCAGAGCGTCATCGTGGATAGCCAGAATGTGCTATACATCTTGGATTCTGGTCGAGCTGTTGACCCCGATTCCGGGGCCACCTTGAGCGCAGTCTATGGAGGTCCCAAAGTCATTACTGTCGATTTGAGTACCAACAAGGTCATCCGCACCTACAAATTTCCTCAAACCGTCGTATACAGTGACTCCTTCCTCAACGATATTCGGGTAGACCGGACGCCTGGCCTTTCAGGGCTCACGAGTAATGGAAGCGAGGGCGTCGCCTACATTACCGACTCTTCTTTGGAAGGTCGAAATGGTTTCGTCATTCTCGACTTGACCAGCGGAGAGAGCTGGCGCCATCTGGACAATGATCCCCGGGTGCGTGCGCAACAGCAGGTCGTACCGTGGGTTCATGGCAACCCCGTCCTATTCGCACCCCCGGGACAGCCTTACAGCCGCGCCGCGATTGGCAGCGATGGCATCGCCTTGGGGGCTGACGGGTACGTAAACTTTTCTGTCTTTTCCATTGTGTTTTCATCAGCCGCAAAATCGCGCCAGAGAATCTCGAACAAATTTTCGTGGGTAGATATTGCTAACGCATGTCATATAGCAAGGACCTATACTTTAGTGTCATCAGCGGACGCGAGCTCTTCTCCGCCCCAACGGCAGCTTTACGCGCCCACGATGCAAGTAGCGAGCTGGTGCTGGCGGCGAGCATTACCAACAAAGGCGAAAAGGGCATCAGCGACGGTCTAGAGACGGATAGCAACGGAGTCATCTACGCAGGCAACGTCGAGCAGGAAGCCGTGGTGTCCTACTTCCCTGGCAACTCCTCGGTCCAGACGTTTGTGCGCGATCCTCGGATCAACTGGGTCGATACTTTGAGCATTGGCTGGGACGGCTTTCTGTACTTTACGGTCAATCAGGTCCACCTGATGCCCAACTTCTACCCGGGTACTGAGCGTCGCCAGCACCCGTACGTCTTGTTCAAGGTCCAGCTCCCCGATGGCGGTAGTAAGGCTGGATTGGCCTCAAACGCGACCGGGTTGGCCTCGAACGCGACCAGCTTGTGCTGAGCAAACTCCCTGACTCACACCTGAAACGAGGTAATTTGCGAGGCTGTAATGAATGTCAAGTCTGAAGGGGTCAGAGATCAAGTCCGAGTGGGACTAAGAGCGGCGGAAAGGATACAGCTTGATTGCAGGGGCTTTACAGATGTGCTACAGGTAGTAGGTAGCGAGTCTCACTCAGTCAGCCTTCATCAATACCTGGTCCTCAAAAACTGTGTCGTCTTTGTAGAACAAGGTATCAGTCGCAGCTCGAGTGAACTGACGACGCAAACCATATACCATTCTCCGCAAGGATCACTGCCAGTTTCTGAGCCAAGAAAACTCACTTCCACCCGGCGCCAAATTTTGCTAGCCGACGCTAGGCATCATTGTAGACTATCGTGAAGTCTCTAGCAGCCGGTCAATCAGACGTCAAGCGGCGTCCATCAGGCGTTTTCCACGGCGCGCGTTAGCAAATCCGTGATCCACGGCGTAAACGTCTCTTCGACCCAGCGCTCAAGTGCCGCGAACGATGCTTGCAGGACGAAATTATTCCAACCGGCTTCAGATCAGTGTTTGTTGGGCCGAAGCAATTGACTTGTTGACGATGCGGCGAAGCTGCTCGTGGTCATGCAGTTGCCGCGGCGTATTAGGCGATGGCGGCACTCGCCGGCTGTGTCTCGTCGGACCATGAATGTTGCCGGATTCGCCAATCGTTTTGAAAGTCGGGGTGCAACCGCAAGATGGCCTGCAGCAGCGCCTCTCCAGCCTCGACAGCGGGCAGCGCCTCGAGAAGTGTTTGGGCGCTATTGGTAACAGCTGCCCCGGATGAGGTGCTTCGGAAAGGTGGCGCCACCACATCCGAGTGCGAACATCTGGCAGGAGCCGTCAGAAAAGACTGGCCTGCTGGCGAGCGCGGTCGGTAATGGTGATGATGCCGACCGCGTCGGGCCCCCAGCCATGGCCATGTCGCTGATGCCAGCTTCGACGACGAAACTGTCCATCTCAAGTGGCGGGGCTGGGTAACTCGTTGTCGGCCACAAAGTGAATGTCAAGTCCAAGGGGGCCAAGAGACCAGCCAATCACCATCAGCCTCAGCCAGCTATCGACCATACCAAGTCAGACTCTCTCGCAGACACCTCACGCGCGGTCAGCCAGAGCCACACCTACATCCGTGGGGGCTCCGTTCCTTGACGTCGTCATCAAAGAGACCACGCAGCATAAGACGCGTGAGCATTGGTAGGACCTTGTTCGCGCCGCGCACGTTGCCGTGTATGTCGCCGCGTACTTGGCCGCGCACCAGCGGCAAGCCTGTGGCTTTGTCAGAGCTTATGTTTGTCAGTTGGTAGGTTGTTGAATACCTAGGTAAGGATCGCTTAGAAGTAATTGTATGGGCCCCACAATAGCTTCAGTGGCTGTCAGTTCCCAATTGCACAGGGGCAGAACCTGAACAACAAGTGAATACTGCTCACAAGCTTGCAGAAAAACAGAAATCATTGACAGGTGCCGATACGGTATGCACATCCCGAAATTCTCATAGCACCCCACGGTGGTCGTCAAGCCCTTGTTGGCGCCCACCAGCAGATATGGCCTCTGCCGAAATCACCGTTTCGCCCAACACGCCGATGCCCAAGGGCTACAAGCTTCTACGCAAAGGCTACCCCTTCATGACGGCGCTGTGCCGACGCAAAACGCTCGCGGCGGGCCAGACGCTCTATGTTGTGCGAGCCGGGTCCAGGATGCAGGGTCTGCGCGCACCCAGACACATCATCAACGAGTGCTACAAGGAGGAGGAGCGAACGCGGGCCACGCGCCGCGCCACAGTGGCCGCCCGCGATACGTCAGCGCGAAGTGTATTTGAAACAGCGCTGCGTCTGCAGTTTCCGGAGATGCCCGCGGTGGACGTTGAACAGGTGCTGCAGCGCACGCTCAAGAAGTGCAGCGGGAGGGTGGGCAGGACGTCGAAGCTGGGGACCGAGGACAAGGTGCGGCTGGCAGTAACGGCGCATGCGCGGCACATGCATACCGACTACGACAAGCTCGTCAGGGGCGAAACGAGTCGCGAGGATGCGAGAAAGATGGTGCATGGTCCTGTGCGCAGCGTCCTCGCGAGGTGGGAGGGCAGCCGTGAGAAGCCGAGTGCGTCTCGCGGACAAGATTCGCCGAGACGGAGACTACACACACGAGCGATGACGAGAGAAGCCTCAGAGCAGTCTTTGGGAAGCATGGGTGGCGAGGAGGACTTGACCGAGACTACGACCTCGTCGCTAGACGATCCTGTTCTTATTTCGTCAGGCTCAGAAGACGACAGCGTAGACGTCTTGGTCATATCGTCAGACGAAGAGTGACCTACGCTTTATGTTTAAGGTTCTCATGAGATAATAAGAGGGTATTAAATAGATAAATCTGCATCTCACATGTTATTATTATTAAGTAACTAGTACGGGGCTAGAAATCTATGAGCCCTGATAAAGACATGACGAATTTGTCCTTTGACCTGCTGCCGTGTGCGTGACTGATCTGTTGCTGCTACTCGCCCCGCGCTTCCTATCTGGCAAGTCCCTTTTACTATTTAAGTTGTTGATATTAGCGGGAATGATGAACAATAAGAATTAACTTTTGATGCTACTTTTAGCAAGGTTCTTACTTACCTGCTATTGACGCCAGTGGCGGAAAAAAGGTTTGGAGGAGGACACGTGCCGAGATGTCAACGTGGTGGTGATGTGGTGAACTATACATGCTAATAAATCAACAACACTTTTCACTTTGGGTACAGAATTGGTTTCCTCTCCATGCACATTCTTTCTCTCCCTTTACATTCGCCCTCGACGACCGTCCGTCTCTCCAACCACCCTCACAACTCTCCAAAAAGCCACAGCAAAGATGCGGTATCACGTACAACCTCGGGGAATTCGCTGGAGCCTATGGAAGGATCTGTGGCACAACAACCTTGCCGATCTCAAGACCACCAAAGAAATTTCCCCGACGACAATATTCGTCGCTATTGATACCGAACCATGGCCGGGTCAAGCCGGGACAAATTCCACTGATGAAGCAGCCGCTCAGATTGGCATAGCCTTACTTGCCCCCCGGGCAGATGACGCAGGAAAGATCGATGAGCCGCCTCAGACTCTTGAGGAAGCTCAGCAACGATTCACATCTCCTCACATTCCATCCACATCAATGGCCGAGAGCGGCTGGGGTTGGGGGAAATTTTTTGGAAGCGTGGCGACGAACATGTTGCGTTTGTTGGCCCAGATGAAGTAGAGGACACCGTCCTCAACCTTGTCCATACTTTCCAGCAACAAATGTGCTTGTCTCTCGGCAAACCTTTAAAGCTTACTCTCGTCGGGTTTGACCTTTATCACGAATTTCGTATTCTGTCCCGTCACTACAAGCGGATCCTTGACTGCTTCACTTCATGGGTTGATGTCCAGGAGCTTGTCAAAGAACTCATGCCAGACATCAGCCAGGCACCAAGCTTGCGAAATACTCTGATCGGCGTCGGATACGAACCCGTTTTCCCGACCAAGCCGGCGAGCTCCGATGGCCACGATGCCGGGAATGATGCTATGCGTTGCATGTCAGTTCTCGGCACGCTCTTGCACTACTCGCCGCCAGGTGAAGATTTGGCTCGGGCTCACTCGGAATATCATGCGAAGCGCTGCCATGAAAGGTCAAAGGCGCAGCGCGCAAAGGCCAATATGCAGAGACGTGACTTGTTTTCCAAGGAATGCCCTTGGCCCGCAGAGAAGTATCCATTCCGAGCAAAGGTCGACTTGCCAGGAACCTACATTACGAAATGGCAAGACCCGGCGGTGCTGTGCGAATATTTTCTCAAATACAAACCGGTGGCGGCAGGTGGCAATAAAACAAAGACATTTGGGGGCTGGATCTGCTTCGCGAGCCTGGAGGAGCTGGAGCTGTTCTTGAGAGAGGTTGACGGGATGGAGGATGTAGAGGGAAGGGGAACTTGGCTCGCAAAAACACGGTATAACCCAAATGTAGTCGAGGCGGTCACAAAGGCAGAGCTGGACGAATACCTACGGGACAAGGCAGCCGCCGAGATTGCCGAAAAACGGCGAATTCGACAGGAGAAGAAGCAAAGGGAGGAGATATACGGATAGCAGGTATGTAGACATGCTACCCCTCCCTGCTCTTGATGACCAGCATGGCGTGTTGTTACGTTTACATCTAGTGGCGTATTACCAGTTAACAATATCCGTAACGTCTTGTAGAATACCAAATCTATATGTGAGTTTTTTCAGGCCATTGACTAAACGTATCGTCGTGAATATGTACAGCTATGTACACGGAAAAGTCATACAAGCCCTGGGGAACTGCTGTCCACTCGGCTACTCGGGACGTCTGCGGCCGGTCCTGTGGCGGTCCTTGTCTCGATTAACCCATTAAAAAGGTCCTCTCTCTATGCGAAGAGAGGCGAGAGGGATCATCTAGGGGGGTTAATGATGTTGGCGACGCTTGGGACGCCAATGCTGTTTATAATAAACAGCATCTAATAGCCTGGGCTCAGCGTCCTCCGTCTAAATAGCCGTGGCACCCACCTCTTCAAGCATTCGACTCGGCGCTGATTACCCAGAACTCCATGTCAAGGACAGAGCCTGAGCAGGGGCGCACAAATATTTGTAATTTTAAATTGGCAATAGTCGGGGCGACCCGTAGCACTGATTACTGCACATGGATGATGAATTCATGCGGCGCGCCGTGTTGAAAAGTTGCGTGCTACTACACGGGGCCGCTACAAGATGATCATGTCGTCTGACCGCCCCAATGATTCAAGAACTGTCCAAAATTTCTGGTTGTGTCGTTGCGACTCGAGCGTTTACAATCACATGTGTAGCGTAAGAATTTACCCCTGGGTCGATGGAGTATTTATTTAATCAGTACATCCGTCTGATTATTAGTTTAGCGGGCGGCCTTGACCTTGTCTTCTTGTACCTTATGTATACCCCTGTCCCAAGCTAATCGATTGGTAATTTCTGTGACGTTGGTCAGGGGACTCGACTCTCTTTTTTTGTTTTTTGCCTCTTTGCCTCGACAAAACATCATGTTGGCGTCAAAACTTGCAATTGGATTATACATTCATTGTTTGGTATATCGAAATCGAAACAACAAGCGCCATTGCTCGATCTAGTGTAGCCAGCCGCACGTCCTGCAAGCTACCCACCCACCACCCCATCGCCTTTACTTTGTTTACATTGTGCAGGGATTGTGCATGCTTTTTTGTACACAAGCGGGAGCTGCCGTTCCGACTAAATATTTAGTTAGTCTTGTCCACCAGCTCATTCGACCAAGACATCCCGCCTGCTCCTTCCCCCGTGCCGCGAGCCTGACGGCATTCTTCAATCGGTACCTACTTGCATTCTCTGCAGAGACAATCAACTCAAAGGATCAAGGATCGAGGATCGACGCGCCTACAAGATCGCACCCGCACGCCTCGCCAACATGGATGCTTCAACGCAACGTGGCGGCACTCCACGCACCTCGCGCTTGCCAGTTCCCCGTGCTTCAGGCATTCCTCGGCCGACTTTCTCGACTGGCACTCTGGACTCACCGGCTGTTTCTGCAGCTCGACCTGCCGCTGCTGCGCCTGCAGGCCCTGCTGGCACAAAGGAGCTTCACAACCCCAAGGTGCGCAAGTCGCTTGGCGGCGCGCCACTAAGATCACCTGCTTCTCGAGAGCAGCTCCGTACGGCAAGCATTAGTCGGCCACCGGCGCAGAGGCCTCCTGGTAGCCGAGTTTCCTCGACAGCTCAAAGACGCACCAGTCTTTTTGTCGATCGAATGCCTAGCAGGGCCTCCACCATCGCCGACCGCGATGCTGATGAGCTCCTCGGCAACCGACGGGCCAGCCGTGCCGGCCTGCTCCCAGACCATGACGATGACTTTCCGACTGAAGATGAAGATGTTGATCTGCCTCCATTGGGTGCAAAGTATCTCCAAACACCCAATAAGAGGTCCGGAAAGCCCCGACCATCGTTGACTGAACGCACAATGGAGACCCTGGCCAACGTACCCTCCTCTCCAGCAATAAACAGAAAGCCCTCGTCCCTCTTTGACCATTCCCGGCCTAGATCACGGTCAGGCAGTGTCAGCTCTAGACCCGGCTCTAGCTACAACTCCGATGGCTCAGGACGCCCTCATTCGAGGTCATCAAGCCGTCCCGGCTCCAGGGCCGACAACGATGGATACGGAGGAGCCTACAGATCTGCTCTTTCCACCATTGACGGTACTCCTGAGAGAGCCGGAGGCAGAGGGCTAGCCAAGACGCCCAATTCGCGTATCGGCTTGAAGCCCTCCCTGGCATCAGCCTCCAAGCCATTGCCTGTTCCAACCAGCCCCAGCCCCGAGAAGCAAGCAAAACAGCCACTCAGGTCACGACCTGCACCTGCGAATCCTCTCAAGTCCAAGGCGTCCTCCAACGGCCTCTTCAAGAAACCGGCTATACCAGCTACTAGCACAAATGCATCTGGCTCGAATGCGGGGGATCAGGCCTGGGATGGTGCGATTGCCCCGCTGACAATTACCAAAACCCGCACAATTGCATCAGAAGATCGGCCGGGTCTTGCCCATAGAAAGTCATCCGCTGCACTGCGCGATCAGATTGCAAAGGCAAAGGCTGCCAGAAAAGCTTCCTCAAAGTTGGACTCGCCTTCTGTTCAGGACGTGCCCATCGCGATGGGTGGCGGCATGGACTTTGGTATTGAAGACTACCCTGACCCTTTTGGTCAAAACAAGAACGAATCGGCTGGCGTTAAGGTTCTTCAACAGCGCATTGCTGCCGGTCGAACCACCGGTCGTCTAAACATCGCCGCACTGGGGCTCAAGGAGATGCCTGCTGAAGTTCTCGACATGTACAACCTGAATTCCATATCTGGCGGCAGTAGTTGGGCCGAGAGTGTCGACTTAACTCGACTTGTTGCTGCTGACAATGAGTTCGAAACCTTGGCCGATGTTTTGTTCCCCGATTCGATACCCGATGAATTTGACATGGGCGACGACAATGATGCGCCACCCAACATCTTTGGTGGTTTGGAGACCATGGACTTGCACGGCAATAAACTCGCAGCTGTCCCCATTGGGTTTCGCCGCTTGTGTCAACTGACGTCTCTCAACCTGGTACGTTTGGCCACTTGCATGTGCCGAATGTGTTGCTAATTAAAACAGTCGAAAAACAACCTTGACAGCAACTGCCTCCAAATACTGTCACAGATGACAGCCCTTAGAGATCTCAAGCTCGCTAACAACAATCTTTCCGGTCCCTTGAATGCTGCAATCTCTTTGCTTGATGGGCTTGAAGTCCTGGATTTACATGACAACAAGCTTTCCAGTCTTCCACAAGACATGCACAAGATGAGCCGTCTTCGCATCTTGGATCTGGGTCAGAACAACTTCGAGTCCATCTCCTTTGCGGCTCTTGCCGATCTGCCTCTCAGCCAGCTCGTGCTTCGTCAGAACAAGTTAAATGGAACATTGATCCAAGACCCCATTGATGCAATGCGCACACTGCAGACGCTTGATATCTCCTGTAACCAAATCAAATACATCATGCCATCATCTACCGTGGTTGCCTTTCCAGCTTTACATACGCTGTCGGCATCCATGAACAGGCTGCAAGAGCTTCCTGAGATGTCATCCTGGTCAAGCTTGCTCACTTTGACTCTGGACGAAAATGGCATCGCGGCTATTCCTGAAAGCTTTATGAGCCTTACAAAACTGCGACAAGTTGACTTTTCCGGCAATGACATTCGTATGGTGCCTCCAGAGCTTTCAAGAATGGACAGCCTATCCATGATTCGACTCAGCGGCAACCCACTTCGTGACAAGAAATTTGTGACCGCCACGACTGACGAGCTAAAGGAAATTCTCGCTGGCAGATTGGAGCCTCCGCCTCCCTATCAAGAACAGGGAGAAAATGTAGTCGGCCTCATGGCAAAGCTGGCAGAAGCCCAAAAAACTCGGGGGGGCGCCAGGCATGTTGTCGATGACGAGGGCAAGTCGGACGCTGATGATGATTTTACCACGCCTCCCACATCACGTCCCCATTCACCATCACGGTCACGGTCGCAGACTATGGATAGCGTTCAAACACAATTCCACATGCCCGTGCTGGAGGACTGGCAAGTCAGAGCCGGCGGAGTCCTTGACCGATCTCGCACGGGTAGCTCTGTGCTGGATGCCACCAAGTTTGCCGAAGCCAATGATAGGCAGCCTATCAGACAGCTGCTTCTCCACCACAATCTTTTCACCAATATTCCTGACAATTTGGTTGTAGTTGCGAGGAGCCTCACCTCTCTCTCACTAGCAAACAATCAGCTTACCGGAGCCGAGTATCTAAAACAGCCGCTTGAGCTACCTGCTCTGCAAGAGCTCAACCTGGCTGCGAACCGAATCACATCGCTCGAACCTCTTCTAGAATGCCTTGACGCGCCTTCTCTCGAAACGCTTGATATTTCTACCAATCGCATGACCTGTCTGCCTTTGGGCCTTTTGGACAAGCTCCCACGACTACGTGTTTTGCTTGCCAACAATAATCAAATCTCGGAGCTTCGCCCGGAGTCGATTAAAGGCATCAAAATTGTAGAAATTGCCAACAACGAGATCGGCCAGCTGGAACCCATGATTGGTCTTCTTGGAGGCGCCAGCGGCCTCGAGCGTCTGGATGTGTCTGGCAACAGATTCAAAGTACCTAGGTGGAACATCTTGGAACAAGGGACACATGCGTTACTGCACTGGCTACGTGAACGCGTTTCAGAAGAAGCAATGGAGCGCTGGCGAGAGCAAAACGGGGATGACGATTGAAGCACCAGTCGGAACCATGCTTCCAGCATGTAGACATTCACGTCGGAGTATTAGAGGAATGCAGGTAGCGCCCATGGGCATAGCTTTACGCCTGAGATGTGCACGGGCTCATGTCTGGAGTTAATAATACTGATTTTTGTTGCAGATTTCTCTCCCAACCGTGCAAACAAGCAGTAGCGGCCAATTGCAAGGTTGGGCAGGCGCCGCCACGGACGGCGCCATCTGGGCGCCTCTGGGCGAACCACGAAACTTTAATGCGTATATCTATCTCCTTGTCTATTTTTTTTGTCATTGTATAAAAGCCATGATCATCGCAGACAGAGTATTTCTTTCATCATCACACAAGTATCGACACTCGAACGCTGTTCATCTGCTCACAGCTTCCAACACCGGCACGATGCACATCCATCAACGCGCTCCTCTTCCCACGATAATCACAACAATCATTGCCGCTTCACGACCCACGATCCACCACTCATCTGCTGCCTCTGCCTCTGCTGCTGCTACTCCTACGCTCGCCTTCTCGGCCCTCCGGGACCGTGCGAGCCTTCCCGGCGACTACACCTCGCCCCACGAGAGCATCAACAGCCCCGGCGAAGCGGTGCGTCTGCTGGTGCCCATTTCTGTCGCCGCGTGGGTGCTGGTCGGCTCCGGCTGCATCCTGTGCATCAACGGCGGCAAAGGCCGCGCCGGCGGCTACTGGGTGCCTAAGTGGTACCTGGACGCGGAGGGGACGCGACGTGACAAGGCGCTGGTGGTGGCGTGGTGGCTCGCGGTGCTGCTGCTGTGGCCGGTGATTCTGCCGGCGCTGCTGCTGAGAAAGATGGCGAGGGTGGTGATGAAGCAGGTGGGCAAGGTACAGACTCGGAGACGGGAGCGGGATAAGGGAGTGGGACGGGTCAGTGAGGTTTGAATTTGGTTTAATGGCGGAGAGAGAGAGGAGGGGAGGGGGGGGGGGGGGCTTCGTTTTCTCTGGTATGTTGACAGTCTAACAGTGAGATTTGGCTCGGAGAAATTTTTGTCTAATTCAGCGTTTTAGATGCCTATTCTTTGTGGAGATTTCTCTTTTCTGGACAAGTTGATCTCTGCTTTAACTTTTGGTTTGTGCTGCCATTGGGGTTGCTTGGTTTCGAGGTCTGTTGGGGGGGATGACAAATGGACGTAACTTTTCTGGTCTGGCGTACGAGTTGGGTTTTGAAATATTGCTATAAACGTGGTATGGATAGAAATATATACAATCTTTGGCCGCGAATAACGCGCTTTTTGCCGTGTCACTAGATTCAGATGTACGACCAGAGAGAGATCTCTCTCAACTCTCTTGTGAAGAAAAGCTACGAACAACCGAGTCAGGATTTGAATGCTGCCCCCTTCTACTGCAGTACCGACCAAATTTTCTGAAGATTTAAAATATGTAGGCTATGCCCTGCAGAAGCCTCGGTCAAACCAATCGGGCTTAGGGGCCGGCTACAGTCCTTCCTTCAACGTCAGTCGAAAGTTTTGAGCGACATCAAGTGCCGGCTGCAAACGACAACATGTAGCCCAGCAAAAAACTGGTCAACATCTCGGCCAGCTACTCATCAACTAGTGAGTGCTACTGATCAGAAAGCGGGCAAGACGTTGTGCTGAAAAGTCGACCGTGGGAAAAAAAAAAANAAAAAAAAAAAAAGCAGGATATCAGCAAAAGAGATAAAAAAAAAAGTAGAAGCGGTTTCCGACTGACAAAAGGAAGCTATTACGGAGTTGTGGGAGTGTTACATGACGGACCGAGCGGCTGAAGAGCTTTGAGCCGAACTCATCTTTGGGGGGGGGGAGCTCTTCTTTGCGAGAGTCTGAAAAGCTGGGAGGAAAGATGGGCTTCGTCTTTACAAAATTCGCAAGTTCAGATTTGGGGTCGAGTTGATGAGATGAGTGCGCGCACCTTCCAAGGGCCTGGGAAGGGGGGGGGGGGGGGGAAGAGGGGGGCTCTTTTCATTATCAGACATAATCCGTCAGTTTGTCAAGCTACATGGCGGCTTGCACCTTTTGTTACGTAACTAGATAGAGCAATGATATGAATCTTGGTTTGGAATGGCATCAGCGTTGGGAGGGGGGGGGGGGGCAAAAGTGGTGTTGGTCGAGGCTTGAGTTTAGAGGAGTTTAAAGTATTGTCAAGGTTTTGCCCCGTGGTTGCGGCCCGAATTTGAGGCGCGGACCCGACCCGACCCTGCACCGAACAGAGAAAAAAGTGTTATTGTTATGGAAAAAGTTTATTTGCCATGCTTTCCAGCCACCAAACGCCAAGGAAACAAAAACCAACTTTATCCCAGAAATTGTACTATTCGTAACCCAGAGACATGAACTGAAGACCCAAAAAAAAATATGCACAGTTGGCTTTGTAGAACCTCCGATTATCTCTACCGAAAGCGTGTCTTCATATCAATAACAAGTGGACTTGGCCTTAGAAAGGAATTGTGCGGTTACTGCGTATAACAAAGGAGTGTGCGCGTAAACGAGTGTGCGCGTGTGCAAGTAGCATGCATGGGGGTAACGTGTGGTTTTATCACCACCGCCGACTACCATTACGTTAGCTCGCTGTCAAACGCGGCAATAACTTGTGGAGCAAAGGGCTTACCTAAATGCCGAATTGGTGGGCTTGCGATGTTTTGCTTTTGGCGGGACGATTCTCTCTGGCCGGCGCCGCGGCTCCGAGTCTGTCGACAGCCTGCGGGCGGCGGAGACACCAAGCAGCTCCGCTTCAAGCGAGTTGAGGTCCGAAGACCGGCTCGACACGGAGGACCTTCTCGATCTGGGCGAACGAGAGAGACTGGTACGTCGCTGCAACGAACGCGATCTTTGCCGATCCAGAGGCGGCAAATCGTCGCTATTCCGGTATCGACTAGTACTACGCGATCGGTCCCGGTCCCGGTCCCGGCTGGTCCGACGAAATCTCTTGGTTGGACGCTCGTCTGCATTCACATCCTCTGGCACCGATGACTCTGACCTTGTTCCGTTTCTGGCAGTAGAGCTGCTGTGGTCACGGTTCCGGTCTCTGTTGCCGTCAATGCCACGGATATTCGCCTCTGATAGTCTTGGGGAGTTGAGGAGAACAGATGTGGCGTGGTCGTCTGGGAGCTTGAGAACGTGTGATTCCACTGCCGTGTTGGGCTTCGGTGGCAGCGATGGAACACTCTTAATGAACGTTGGGGTTGTCTCGGTCGCCTTTGGCGTATGAGAGTCTCTCTTGGGTTTATCGCCAGTTTTATTAGGATTGGGACTTCCGTGGTGCTGCTCGCCATTGCTGATTCTTCTGTGACCTTCGGGGGCTCGGGGCGACCTTTGAGGATGCTGATTCAGCGAGTCTCTCGACTGCTGCCGTTGCATTCGAGGCTGATTCGACCCGTGATTACCAGCAGAAGAGCGTCTCCTGTTACTGTGTTGCTTTGCTTGCCAATTTTGGCTCCCATGGTGATGTTGAGCACTAGCATTGCTCTGGACATGGTGATTATGGACAGCCGGCATGGCTTTAGGGCTACCATGATTTCGGCCAGGATGGTGCTCCTTGATATCTTTAGGTCTGTTCTGATGGTGGTCGTGTTTCCGCTTATTGTTTCTTTGATCGCGGCCATGGTCAATATCATGCACGCTCTTCGGCGGCTTTGGTGGTAGCCCGTGAGTAATAGGGACAGGAGGAGAAGACGCCGGTGGCTTTGGCGGCGACGTTACATGAATAGCGCGAGACTTTGGCGGTGACGGTGCAGAGTTTCTGTGAGGCGGCTGTGGCCGTTGATGATGACGCTTATGGCCACTTCCAGATCCTTGCGCGTATGATCCGCTGTAAGCTGGCCGAGGCGGGACGAATTGATGGCTGTCTTGTCCTGCGTAGGGGTAGCCGCCGTATTCTTGCGATGGTCCCGGATATGGTGGCCGTGACTGCTGGGCAGAGTAAGACTCAGAAGGAGGAGGGTAAGGGGGAGGCGGATAGTGTCCATGGCTTGGCGGAGGGGGTGGTAATGGTTGTTGCCCATGACCTGGAGGATAATGATACTGTGGAGGATACGGGGGCGGTTGCGGCGGAGGCACAGTATAAGAATTGTGCGGTGGAGGATATACGGGAGGCGGCGGATAATGCGCACCATAACCTGTTGGAGGTGGTGGAGGGCCGTATTTAGTGATGATGGGTCCTTTAGACTTTCTACCATCGTTGTGTTGCGCGCGACTACTTCCTTGTCGCGTCGCAGAAGCATTTCTCCAAGCTGCAAGACCACTAGAAAAGAAATCAATAAACGGACTTATAGCCAAGCGCAAACTGTCTTACGCGGGTGTCTCGCGTGTTGGCTCGGGACAGGCGACAGCCCAGTGTCCCATGCCACCGCAGTTGTAGCACTGCGGCTCCTCGGTGCGACCGGGATGGGTGACGACTTGGTCGGTCATGTTGACAAGGCTTGGTCGGTTGTCAAAGTTGGCGTCCTACAAGCTGACTTGAGGTTGTGACTGAACGCGCCGGGGTGTCAGGGCGTCGCCATCAGAATGTGTAGCGTGTCCCAAGTAAAGGGTGTGGTTGACAACGTCATCAAAGATACAAGTCTGAGAGCTTATGTCATCTATCAAGCCGCAGCGCGAAACCGACGAAATAGATAGCCGATATCTGAGAGAAAGCAGTTGTGTGAGGCGAGCGATGTTGATAGCCTGTCATGCCTTGGAGCAGTGTCACTCGCGGCTGAGCGCAAGGCAGTAGGCGGTTTACCTGGACCGTTGTCGCACAGTTGATACTGACGGATTTCACGACATACCCCTCCCCAAGCGTAAATCGCAAGCGGGAGAGGGGTTCAGGGTCACAAAATCGGACAGGCAAGACGAGGCGCGCGCGAAGGCCTTTCTGGTGTTGATGAGCGCCAGCGTTCTGCTCAGCGCATCGCTCGCTATGTGAGACGTCGGACCACCACGTGAGATGCTGACGCACGGGCCATGCATGCAAGTAGGTACCTGTGTGTTTGACTTGCGATCATGCAAACAGCGTGCAGGGCTGATGAAAAAGCTTTCCTAAAAAAAAATCAAAGATTTCCATTGAAATATTCTATCTTCTTTCGCGTCTATGGAGTCGAGTCCTCCACTTTCGGAGAGTGCTTGGACATGTTTATGGCCGAATTAGCGAATCGTAGACGCTGCGATGCTTTCTGTATAGCAAAACGCACTGTGAGAAGCGCCTAGGCAGCTGTACGCCCTTCCTCCGGCGAAACATGACAGCCACCAGCCTCGGGGGTTTAAGGTTTACACTTGTACATGGCCCTACTCTATAGTTCATAAATTCTGGTCTTTTGTCTCTTAAATCATCCGTAATCATTGGAGATGCCGTATTCGGTCATGTCGCGGCCGCTCCTGAAGCTCGATAGATAGGCCCACTTCTGTCCTGCCATGATGATTTCTCAGCCAGCGCCAGAAAGCTTGCCGACGAGCTCCGCCAAACAACCTCTTCTCCCCTCGACGGAGGCTATCGTATTCATCTGCTTTATAGGCGCCCGCTGATTCGGTACAATGCCTGCTTCGACTTGAACACCCTTTTCCAACAGCTTTCTCATCCCGCCCGAACATGTTGGCTCATTTCGAAAGCGCCCCTCCAGTCACGACCTTTGCCTGGAGCCGATCTCGAAGAAGCTACCTGATCCCTTACACCGCGACTATTTGAATTCGTCTGAATGTCGAGTCCTACCTAAACCGCCCTTTTCTCAACTCGTTGTTGACGTCGACACTGCGTTCAACCGTGCCGCTACAACGGCAACGCACCAAATACTATGCCTGGCTTACCGGGTGAGCAGCCCACTACCCCTCGGCCTTCGCCCGACGCGAGCCAATCTAACCATGCCTTCGGACAGCTTCGGTCGACTTGGACGAGTGCATCTCGCGTCTTTACAAGAAAGAACTTTTGGTCGAATCGGTCATCGAAGCGATATGCGCCAAGACAAAGGAGCTCCTTATGCGGGAGAGCAACGTCGTCCACGTCCAGGCCCCCGTGACCGTCGTTGGTGACATTCACGGCCAATTTTACGACCTCATTGAAATCTTTCGCATAGGCGGCTACTGTCCAGATACAAATTATCTTTTTCTAGGTGCGTCTTGCCGACTGTACCTGTTTATCTGCTGCAATAAACTGATTATCCGTCCAGGAGACTATGTCGACCGTGGCATGTTTAGCGTCGAAACCATTTCCCTACTTGTTTGCTTGAAGTTGCGATACCCCGAGCGCGTTCACTTGATTCGCGGAAATCACGAATCTCGAGGCGTCACTCAATCATATGGATTTTATACCGAATGTTCACGAAAGTATGGCAACGCTAATGTGTGGCACTACTTTACGGACATGTTTGACTTTATGACGCTGAGCGTGGTGATTGATAACCAAATATTCTGCGTCCACGGCGGTATGTGGTTTGACGGAGCTAATCATTCCATTACAGAGCTGACATGCTGCAGGACTTTCTCCGTCGATACACTCGATTGATCAAATAAAAATCATCGACCGCTTCCGCGAGATCCCTCACGAGGGCCCTATGGCAGACCTTGTATGGTCTGACCCCGACCCCGATCGAGACGAGTTCTCCTTGTCGCCGCGCGGTGCCGGCTACACCTTTGGCGCACAGGTGGTGCAAAAGTTTTTGGCCGTCAACAACATGTCGCATATCCTGCGCGCGCATCAGCTGTGCCAGGAAGGGTTTCAAGTGCTGTACGGTAACCGTCTGAGCACGGTATGGAGTGCGCCCAATTATTGCTATCGCTGCGGCAATATGGCGAGCGTGCTCGAGGTCAACACCAACGGCGACCGCTTCTTCAACGTGTTTGCCGCGGCGCCGGAGAATGACCAAGTCAAGGACATGCAGCCTGCCCTAGATAAGACTGGTGACGGGAGTGCATTACCAGACTATTTCTTGTAGCGGCAGATAATCATGTATGCTTTCAATCAGCGTATTTAGACCAGCTAGAATTCTTGTCATCTTTTCATTGTGCGTCACCAATCAAGACTCGATGCAGTTACGAGTCGGCATGCTGTGAGGGGAGGACTGTAGTCCATGGATTTGAGACGGTTTCTCTGGAACTGTACATATAAGTTGACAGCCAGATAATGCCAGGATATATTGTCCGAATGATAAGAAAAACAAGAACAAAAGCATGCTAGCCTGATGACTTCCTCGTTGGTACTTTTTGTTGTCAATAAATCGCCCTTCCACGCAGCCCTTTACCAATCTTTGGCAATGTCGAAGCTCCACTCGAATTGGAGATGTGTCTTTTTGTCGTCATCGACGAAGCTGGAGACGGCATCGTAGTGGCCGCGTAGGAGCATACCGGACGGAGCCTCTTCCTCTTGGACTGTGCGGGAGCATGTTAGTGGCCTGCAGCACGCGAGAGGATGCGGTCTTGCGACGTACATTTCTTGGTATACGTAGCCTGGTTTTCCGTGTTGGGGGCGTAGCTACCCTGTTTTTGTTAAAAGAACGTTCAGTCAGCATTGCATCAAAGACATTGCCACAAAGGGGAAGGGGGGGGGCTTGCGACGCACAATCATCTCCGAGTCCTTGGAGATGCGGATTCCCTTGCGCTTGACGACTTGGACGTAGTGAAGGCCGCTGAGGATCTCGTGCTGGACCTTGAACTGGGCGCTCATGGTAAACTTGGCGCCCTCCTTAATCTTAAAGGGCTTGTTCTTGAGGGAGAACTCGCTGCCGGGCTGAGAGAGGTCAATGGTGACGGGGTCGCGGCCGGGCGACTCCATGGTGAGGGAGAGGATGACGCAGACGCGGGGGTCCGAGGGGTCGGATAGGTCCCTGCCGCCGCCGAGGCCGAGGGACTGCTTGTAGCGCTGGAGGGACTCGTCGCCGGCATCTTCGAATTTGGGGTCTCTTGTTAGAGGAACGGGTGTGTTTTGGCGCGCAAAGGAGGGGAAGGGGGCACACTGCGGGGAAAACAAGATAGTTGCATGTGCGTGGACGCGTGTGGCCCTTTTGTCTTTCTTGTCTCGGAGCGCGAAAAGAAAAAGAGAAAAAACAATTGCAAATCATGTCGGTTGCAGCACGTGGTCCTACGTCACTCACCCATCTTTTCGTACTCGGCGAGGGACTGCTTGGGCTGGGAGAGCTTGTAGCCCTGCGTCTCCTCGGGCATCGTGTCGTCGTTTTGGGAAGCCATAGTGGCCGAGGGGGGTATCGATGTGGTCTGACGAGTAGCAAGTGAAGAAAGTAGCAGAAGAGGCGGAAGAAGATTTGCAAGAGTGAGGCTTTTGTGTTTCAACTGGATATATGGAAGGGAAAAGAGGAGAAGGAAAGAAGAATAATAGAATGGCGGTTTTACGACGAGACGGTGACGATGGAGGGGCTTTGATGCATAAGACTTGGTGGGGGAGTGGTTGATTGGCACGGCCGCTTGATTGGACAGGCAAGAGGCCGCGGAGCAAGAGGTTTACGACAGCAGCTGGCCGAGGAAATGTTGTTCAATGCAGAAATGGTTTGGCAACTGGTCTAGATTCGGGGGAGGGTTTTTTTTAGCGCAATATATAACCTGATCAAGCAACGGATCTAGCCGTGGACGGAAGAGGAATGATTAAATGGTTCTTTTGGGGTTGAGTTGGGGATGTAGCCGCAAGCTGCCTTATCAACGTTTACTAAGGTATAGCAAGTTTTGGTTGGGCGCCCGCGCGGGGGAGATGGGCACCCAAATAGTGCAGTGAAAGACAGAGCAAGGCTGGAAATGAAGGTGTTGGTGGGATTTGTTGTCATTTCCTTTGTATCAAACAAGTAATTGAATAGTATCTTCCTTGTGGTACACGTGCGCGACCAGGCCTGGCACAATACTCTACAGCCTTGCCCCAGCCTTCCAAGCTTCGGCGAGGCTCGGAAACAAGGGGGGTAATTCATGTATACGGATTGGACAGGCGCGGGCTACACAAGAAAAGCATGCGCATTGCACACATTAGTTGTATCTTGTCAGATCCCAGGATCGACGACGGTTCGCCAAGGAAGAGGAGAGCGCAAGCAGAAGAGGAAGAACACTGGCGCTTCGGAGCGGGCCACGGGAAGGCGTACGGTCGGGCGGGTAGGGTCTCTTTTCTAAACAGTGGGTAATGCCCGCCATTCTTTTCAACCAGTTGGCACTGAGCAGAGCCGCTGTGAGAGCAAAGATGACGGAGCTCTGGTGAATGGTGATGGTGGTGTGGAGGAGATGCTTAACTGCGGATTTAAGAGGTTTTCGTGGAGATGGGCAGTTGGAGGCGGTGAAGAGTGTAAACTGGCACGACTGGGTGCCAACGTGGATAACTATGTGATAGGGAAAACCGTACCCATAATGTGGGCTGGGTGAGGGAAGAAGAGAAAGAGGAAGAAGAAAAGGCCTCGGCAGGTGAGGCTGCTCCAAAGGGCCAAGGGCCCACAGCAGTATAATTACCTGTACCCAGGTAATACCAAGGTAGGTACGCCCAGCTGTCCTGAACAACTTGCAGTGAAGCTCTCTCGACTCGAGCGCTGCAAGAGCCGTCGGGGTTTATGATTTAGCCCAAGATCCCGCCGCCATCATTCGTTCATGGTGATACGCGCTAGTCCAGTTCGGGAGATCCCCACAAGAGCTCTCCCAATTAAGATTACTTCTTTGATTTTTGTTTTTAGTGAGTTTGCCGCTAATAAAAATCAAAATGAAATGGTCGCAGTCACTGGCTGGTCCTCTTTGGGCAGCGAGCCTCAGGTGCAGACTTGCGCTGCTTGGCTGCTTGGCTGCTTGCGACACACGGTACCTCGTCTCGCCTGCCGTGTCCTCAGCACAGATAGGTATCCACGCCTGTCGTTCAGCCCACTCAGTCAACTCCTACGCCAGTTGGCCAAGGCCCGCCCTTGGCTCTCTTTCTCTCTGGCAACTGGTTCGCCTGGTCCCCCCCCGAACCCGCCATCGCGAACCTTTTCCTTGACCTTCTCCTTCAGTGTTTCTCGTCTACACCCCGTCGACGGCGTCGCATCACCCATCTCCCGCGTTCGGCCACTTTTGCTTCTTTTTCATCTCTTCCCCCAGTCTTTCTTACTTGGTCCATTGGCGGATTGCTTTTTTGCTCTGTTTCCCATTCGGCCTTTTTTCATTCTTCTCTTGCGCGCGACATCTTTAGGTACTGCCTTGTCGTCGCGCCCCGGTTAAATCGCGTTGAGCTCACCTGGCCTCTTCTTTTGCCTTGCTCCTCGCTGCCACACCCGTTTTCGTCTTCTTCTTAAACTGTACGCCATCAACGCTTAACTTATTCTCATCTCTGCTTCGACGTGGCAAGCAACCGGTTCGCTGCCGTTTGTCACGTTCTCGTTGCGAAACGCGAACGCGCGCGCATCCTCCACCCAGCATTGCGACTAATCCTTTCGTCTCGTCCTCTTGATCTGCAGGCACCCGGCTCCTCTGCCCATTTCTATCACGCTTGCGACCCCGAGAGTTCTACTGTTGAATCTCGTTGCGAGACTGCTCCGTCGCAATGGCCTCTACACGAACTCTTCCCGCCAAGCGCAACCCGCTCATGATGGAGGACATTCCCGAATGTTGGTCGCTACCCCGTCGCTTACCCCAGCGACCTCAACTTGCCCAGCAACCGACTGCTAATCTTTGATTCATTTCCAGACTCTGATCTCGTCTCACGCCGTCGTCTCGGGCAAACCAAGCTGACTCCCAAGATAGCTGGCAACGAAGATGCCGACGCTACCACCCTCGGTTTCTTCGACTATGCCCACCTTCGTGCCCCCATGCAAAAGGGAATCGTGTCAGGCATCTTCAAGTCGAGTCCCAACAGCTACTTCCTCATGCGCCGCAGCTTTGACGGTTATGTTTCCGCCACGGGCATGTTTAAGGCTACCTTCCCTTACGCCGAGGCCACTGACGAGGAGGCCGAGCGCAAGTACATCAAGTCCCTCCCGACCACTAGCCCCGAGGAGACTGCTGGTAACATCTGGATCCCTCCCGAGCAGGCTCTGGCTCTCGCCGAGGAGTACCAGATCTCTGCGTGGATTCGCGCCCTGCTCGACCCTGCCAGAATCACCATCTCGCAGAGCAACGACTCAATTACTTCTTCTCCCACCCGCAAGATCTCGGCTCCTCCCAAATTTGATCTGGCCAAGGCCACCCAGCCTCTGCTGACCCCCGCCACTTCTGCCGCCGGCAGTGCCTCGAGACGCTCGCGACGCTCCGCCAGCCCCGCCAAAGCCAGCCTCAGGAAGACACCCGCCTCTCCCCGCAAGCGAAGCTCCAAAGCCTCAAGGCTCGCTGCCGAGAAGGAGGCTGCAGCTTCCGTCAACGGCGACTCTGAGTCTTCCGTTCCCCAGGCCGCCGATTTCGAACCCACCGTGGTTTTGCAGCCCGTCGCGTCCGAAGACGAGACGGCTAAGCTCCACGTTATTGAGGAGCCCGTCAAGGGCGCCAAGCACAGCGACAAGAAGCAAACGGTCACCGAGGTCGAGGTTCCACTGCCTACAGCCGGTCAGCCCCCAAGCGCGGAAGAAATTGCCGCCATGATGGCCGAGGCCAAAGCGCAGGTCGAGTCCGCCAAGGAAGCCGACAAGGCTGCCGCTGCAAAGTCGGGCGCCAAGACGGAGTCGAAGAAGGGCAAGCGCAAGGCTACGGACATGGAGACCGAAGAGGGCGCCGATAAGAAAGCTGATGCCGAGTCGAAAGAATCGCAACCGCGCTCGAAAAAGGCCAAGACTGATGCCGAGGTGCGCAAGGACAGAGTTAGAAACAGAGCCTTTATTGGAATTGGAGCTACTGTTGCTGTTGGGTAAGTCGGACTGATGATGTTGATATCACTGATAAAATCGCTAACAAATGCAAAGCGCCCTGGTCCCTTGGCTAGTCAACTTTTTGTAATGAGGAAGAAGATGTTTCGATTTGTAAGGACAAAGGAGATGGAAAGAATGGAAAATTGGGATTTGGCTCCTTTGAGCAGGTTGCTCACGGAGGACGGCAATTGCATCTCGAAAGAGATTGAAGACTGGGATGGGAGGAAAGGAAAACATGGAGACGCGGCTCATTATACTATTCATGTTATTACGTGGCTGCGTTTTCGGTGTTGTCGTTGTTCTGCTTACATGGTTCTTTTTTTTATTTTTTGCCTTCGGCCAACATTTCTCGGTTTTCTTTTGGATTATTGTTTATTACCCCTGCCCTTGCCCTTGCCCTACTCTCTTTCTGTGTATTGTGGTTATTGAGGTTTTGGCTTTGCTAAGGATATTCACAGAGCGAGATGAAGGAAAAATACCCCCCCTTTGACTGTGGAGCTTGACCTCCCGCTGATGGGTTTTATGTTGTAGCTTTTTGAACGAGTCGACAGACTGTTTTTAGTGATAGACGTGTAATGTTGAGATAATTCATGCCTTTGACGTCATAGCAGTGACTCGGCTCTCCTGCGAGTAGTGATGCGACAGCGAGACAAGATCAGCCCCGACTCAAGTCATTCGAGATCACAAAGAAGATGCAATGTCGAGCGAAGCAGTGTCATTTCGTGCAAACTGCGCTCATCGAGCTTCTAGAAACAGGCAAACTTACATGTCGCGATTTGCTTGTTTTTTCGTGTCACTACAGTGCGGTTCCCGATTAGGCTTTCGGTGTCTCAAGTTTGATTTGCGCTTGGATAACGCCACACACAACATTTACGCTACGACAGCAAAGACGGAGCCAGAAGGAGAGCAACAAATGGAGAGCAAAGAAAGTCAGCTTTTCTGCTCAGGGCAGGAGACGAATCCAGCGGCGCGGTCGATCACGGTCTCGTCCCGTCAAGACACCGAATCATTCTCTTCATGCACACGGATACGGGGAGGGAGGGGTTACAGCAGCAAGCACACAAGCAGAAACAAGAATAGTGTGAATAGGTAGTGCGATTGCGGGCCTGGTCCACGATGGCACACTGGTCGTTACAATCAGTGTCCAAAATCAAGTTTTTTTTAGTCTTTTTTGGAGCGAAAAGGGTCCGCCTTTGGTTTCCCTCCCCGTTGTGTCGGCTTTGAAGGTGTGGCGCGACAATTAGTCGCTACTCTCCGCCAAGGCAGCCCCTCTGACTGGGAAATTATTCAACTTTCCTTCCCCCAAGCTCTCTCCTCACTTCCCCTCGCCAGCATTCGGATTTGCAACATCTCTCCTCTTCCCGAATCTGTATTTCCATTCTTTTCTTCTTGCGACATACCTGCCATCGAACCTATCGGAAACTGACAACGCCCACCAAATACATCTCCTCATCGATATATAGTGCAGCGACCATGGCTTCCCCCACCTCGACCGCACTGCCGTCGCGCACCGCTACCGGCCTGAGTTCCGAGGATGCCGTCCCCGGCACAGATCCCACAACCGTACGTCTCCCTTCTGCTCGCCTACACATCAGAATCCCCTAAACCGGGGGGGAAGGGGAGGCGCCGCTAACATATAAATTTCTCCCACCCGCAGACTGCCGGCCTGCTCGCCGAGCGCCTCCAGGCGTGGAAGCACGCCATCGGATACCTCGAGGACTACGTTTCGGCCGTGGAGAAGCTTCACGGGCGGCACGCCAAGGAGTACGAAAAGGTGCTCAAGACAATCTCCAACCCGCTGCGCGAGGGCCACCACTTTGACCAGTCGCTCGGGGGCGTCGCGGGCTTCTTTGAGAACCTGCGGGCCAACACGCAGGCCATGATCAACACCAACCTCGAGACGGAGAAGAGCATCAAGGGGTCGGTGCTGCCCATTCTCGAGCGCCTGCACAAGGAGATCAAGCACAAGGCCAAGGAGCTCGAGTCGGGCGCCAACTCGGGCGCGCGCGAGGTGGAGAAGCTGCGCAACACGACGCAGAAGCACATTGAGCTGCTCGGACAGCAGACGGCCTCGTATGACGCCGCCGGAGGCCGCATCGCCGGCGCGGACGACCCCTACGTCATCTATCGCGGCGTCCTGCACCGCCTGTCTAACCAGGTCATCGCTGAGAACAACCACACAAACGACCTCATTTCTGTGCAAAACAACTTTGAAATGTTCGAGGCCCACATCATCGAGGTGCTGCAAGAGGCCATGGCCGGCTTTGTCCAGCTCAGCGGCGGCCAGGCGGATAAGATCCGCGCGCTGCACAACGATATCCTCGGCACCATCCAGTGCGTGCCCAAGGGCTTCGAATGGGCCAACTTTGCCACGCGCTGCTCCGACCGCCTCGCCAACCCGGACGACCCCGCGCGCTCCGTCGACGCCATCTCCTTCCCCAACATGGATCACGCCGCCACCAAGCCTCTTATCGAGGGCTCACTCGAGCGCAAGTCGCGCAACAAGCTTTCCTTTGGCTACTCGACGGGCTACTACGTCGTCACCCCCGCGCGCTTCCTCCACGAGTTCAAGGACTCGGACGACGCGCGCCAGGATCCTAAACCCGAGCTCAGCATCTACCTGCCCGACGCCGTCATTGGCGCCCCCAGCGGCGAAAAGTTCAACATCAAAGGCAAAGACCGCAGCAAGACTCTCTCCAGCAAGCTCACCGGCAACTCCGAGTTTGCCTTCAAGGCCCACACCGCCGCCGACGCGCAAAAGTGGTTCCAGGTCGTCCAGGGCGTCTGCGGCGCCACCGGGCCCGCTGAGCCCAACTCGCCCGTGTCGCCGAGCTCGCCCGCGTCAATTAGCCCCAAGGACGACGCGCTCCCCCTCAACTCGCCCGTCGAACCCGGCAAGTCTGCTCTGCACCCGGACCAGGAGATTGGCGTCACGAGAAGCGCCTCTGGAGCTGCCCAGAGCATGCGCAGCGTCTCGGGCGCGTCGACTAAGCCTGCGGCCGCGGCAGCGGTGCCATATGACGAGAAAAAGGTCGCTCAGCCCGACCTATCCTGAGGCGGGGAGATTATGAAGAGCAAAAGGAGAAGAACATATCGGTCAGAATGGATTGCCATGCCAAACATGAAATGCGCACATTACTGGTGTAAACATCACCCCCTAATATACGAGCGTTGCTTTTCGGGTTCAGTTTCATCAATATTAGAACATCACGGCAATTTTACATGCTGATTATAACAACATATGCAGTGTGGCTTAGACTGCGAACTTGATAGATATGTTGGATTGTGCATGTTAAAAATCTTCGAGTCTGGAAGAAACCCTGAAATTTGTGGGTTGCGTAGGGTAGGCTGTCGAGGCCTCACTGGATATAGCACACATCCGATCCGTTGATCAAAACTCCAGGGTATTCGCTCTTGGTATCGCGTGCAATCTGCTCTAAAGTTGAGCTGCCCTTCTCGCTTCGGGTGGCAATGATTCGTTCAATCTTCTCAAGGCCAAATTTACGGCGGGAATATAGCCGAATTGCAGAGGAATTGCGGAGGTTGGTCGCGGGTCATGGTTGTGATGACGCTTGAGAATTTGCATATGATAAAAGTGACCGTAATGACAACAAAACATTACCCCTGAAAAGGCACCCTGTTGATCTTGTTGAGTTGACGTTGTGGCTTTCCAAGAGAGCTAGCTTCACGACGAGGTTACTCGGCGCAAACGCACGATGCTCTTGAGGCTACCGTTATCACTTGCGGTTAAAAGTTCTGCGTACTGCATGTCACTGTGGATAGAGAAAGTCTAGGAGTGCATCAAAGGTGTCTTCTGTATTCGAAAAACTAGTTATTTCGAGCTCTACAAGCGAGCGCATGGTGATGCGTCGGTAGTGTATGAAGAAAATGCGAGAGCAGAGCGAAGCTGGCAGATAGGCAGCCTCTCATTGCCCGACAACAATTCTAGCGGGGCACCTTGCCGTTAGTAACGCGTTGAGTCGTTTTGAATTTGGCTTTGACTACAAGCCGGAGCGTGATCTACGTATTTTGGGGTTCATCTGGAAGATCTGGAAAGAGTCAGCGTATGCTTCTTCCCAAGGTAGCAACAGAAAGGGTTAATAGCTGCGAAAATTTCAGACAAGTGCCTTGTCACAGGCGATATCGTCAATGCCAATTGGCTACGTTGACCGTCGTGATAATTGTAGCATCATTTTAAGCAGTGGGGAGGGCAGTCGAAAAGAGAATGGAACTAACCTTTACAAGGCTACGGGCATTGCCGTCTCAAGTAGTTCGTTCAACAAGAGAGACTGAACAAATGAGGCAAGTTAGCTGTGGGCTCTGCCAAAGCATCGTAGCGAAGGGTAGATGGCTTCTGCAATCAGACGTCGAATGAGTTTGTCTTCGCAGCGTGAGCTCGGACATATGCTTGTCATTTTCATTCTTGTTCATCATACAGGATGGAGGTAGGAGGTGAGGTAGGCGTTAAGACTAACCCTTTCGAAAACACTACATCTGATTCTTGTGTCAGCCGTTGTTCTAAACAAAATGTCTTACACGAAGAAGTAATAGGGGGGGATAGGTCAGGTAAAGCATGAATGGTATAAAAAAAGATAGTGTCTGCATCGAAAACTCGAATAAGACTCGTCATCTGTTTCATCATAGAGAGAAAATTTGTTTGCATAGAAGCAAGCACGTACCTTTTGGATTCACAGAATACCAACTCATCTCATCATCGTATTACAAAGACACTGCCAAGCGAGTTAGCATGACAGCCCGACCACAGCATGCTCAAGACGCGAAAGGGGTGTGTTTGAAGTCAGTGGGCGAGGTTTTCTAGGCCTGCCGCAAAGTGGCTTGTCTTGCTCATGTGTATATTTTCAGAGCCCAGTGCCGCTTCATCATTCAACGAGGATATGCCGACGATGCTGGATTGTCTGTGCTTGGTTCGTACCTTGCCTATTAATCTTTGGCAACAGTTAGCAGGCAAGCTTGGAGAATGATTTGCAGTAAAAAAGAGTAGTTGCGATGTGCGTCAGACATAGCCATTTAATATCTTCAAGGAAAGATCTCAGCCGGTAATTTCCAGCGTATATTGTTTACGAATTGATCATCATAACAGAGTGCGAAAAGAAAAAAAGGTTGCGTGCAGACGTACCATTTCAAATTATGCTGACCATCACAGTTCACAGTTGAACTGGAGCCCATCATATATCCGGTGCATTTTCACGCAGACGTGAACCTGCCAATGCGGTTAGCTCGAAGCTCGTCATGTCGACCATAGGTCGAAGCAGCGCGATGCGTGGTTCGTCTTTCAGACTGATGTGTGAAAAGAGGTTTCATTCCAAAGTGGTCAAAGACTCTAGTTTGTGATTTCATCGTGTCATCAGGAAGATTGGGGGAAGCAATGCTCAATGCGAGGCACATTGACCATCCTGAGACTTACCAAAAGTCTTTTTCTGCTTCCAGAATCATGGTGATGTGGTGGGAAGAAAACATGCTCCCAGCAAAAACTCAAAAGGATATAAAAAGTCGATTTTTTTGGTGGAGCTCTTACAGGGTTATGTAAGCGCGTCACGAGATTTCGTGGCTCAGCCGCGGCGGCCGTGAAGTTTGGTGCCAGGAGCGTGGAACGTGCAGGGGCAGTCGCACGCGTCTTGCGTGACGATTGGTTGCCGCTGTTGCTTTCACTATTGCATAATCATTTGTCAAAAAAATATACTTAATATGCCTGAGATCGCTGAGAGTATGTCAAATGTTCCACCTTGCTGGTTTAAATGCTAAATGTTTCTACTAGTCGCACGAGCAGTCCATTTCTTGCGCATTCACCTCGTTGGTAAGCGCATTGCTTCCGCCGAGGCCATTGACGATGCCAATGTGTTTGGCAAAGTCGGCACCACAGGTGCTGCGGTAGCGGCCGCACTTACAGGCAAGAAAGTATGGCTCTTTGTCCTTTTGGGTAAAATGCATCATTGAATGCTGATCAGACTGTAGGTCGTGTCCGCCGGCACGCAAGGCAAATACTTTTGGTAAGCCAGACTATGGATCCATGTTCGTCCACCAATTCACCAACAATTTGCTAGGATAACGCTAGAGCAGCCTCCGCATTTGGTGATGCATTTCGGCATGACTGGTATGTTTGTAGTCCTTCACAAGCCTCCATGTGACTGATTCGTCCAAGGTTGGATTCACGTCAAAAATGACAAGACAGCATACACCAACTACTTCAAAAAGATGGAAGATAGCGAGTACACTGTTTGGCCTCCAAAGTTCTGGAAGTTTCACATCACAACAGACGAAAAGCTTCCTGTAGAGATTGCGTTTACAGACCCTCGTCGGTTTGGACGAGTCAGATTGCTGAATTGCCCAGGAGTCGACATTCGAAAACACTCACCGCTTGTTGAGAACGGGCCCGACCCCGTTGTGGACAAGGATCGTTTCACAGAGGAGTATTTGCGTGGTAAAATGACCTCGCGCCATGTTCCCATCAAGGCACTACTCCTCGACCAGAGCATGATCAGTGGCATCGGCAACTGGGTTGCTGACGAGACCCTGTACCACGCCAGAGTGCATCCTGAGCAGTACTGCGACGATTTCAGTGATAGTGAGATCAAGAAGATCTACGAATCAATCTGCTACGTCTGCAATTTGGCCGTGGAGAAGCTCGGCGATTCCGATGAGTTCCCAGAGCACTGGCTGTTCAACCACCGCTGGGGCAAGGGCAGCAAGGGCTCATCATCCAAACTCCCCAACGGTGAGAAGCTATCATTTATCACAGTTGGCGGCCGTACCAGCTGCTTCGCGCCGGCAATTCAGAAGAAGACGGGCCGAGTGGCAGGCAACGCCAAAACGGAGCCTCTTGTCAAAGAAGAGACCGTTGAAGAAAAAGCGCCGCCGGCAAAGGGTCGAAAGTTGGCAGGCACGCTCGCCACGGCAGAAGCCAACGGGGAAAAGACGCCGGTAGTAAAAGCCCGCAAATCAATGGGCAAAGCTGTTAAATTAGAGGAGAAGGAGGATACACCAGCGAAGGGCAAGCGGCCGCACGCCGCAAGCAGCAAGACTAGCAAAAACAAAAAGACAAAGGTTGAAGCGGATGATGATGGTGGCGGCAGACGTCGGTCGGCGAGGCTCAGAAATTAAGCATTCACATCACTGGATACAATAATGATCGATGCTTGATGGAGACGACTGAGCCAGCAGTCGACTAATTCTAACTGTTTCATCTTTGTAATGTATATACATTGCGTACTGTCAGCATCTAAAGCAAACCAGTATTTCCGCATCGTGTATTGCGGAGAGGTATAAAAACCGTAGCTTCACTGTTCAGTCAAGGGCCAAGGAGCAACTGGTATTCTCCGGGCATTGAGCAGGCAAGCTCTAAACAACTGGGGTATAATAAGAACTCTCAAAGCCAGGCCGTAGTTCTATGAAAACAAAAACGCTGTTCGTAATGCTGTATTTTCAAGCTGAATGCAGATAGTGTGGTTTGAAGAAGAGGATTTGGACAAGGTTGGCGATGGTAGACGTTGGATCAGTCCATGGCCCCATGGAAGCCAACAGAGTATTGTGTCTTGTCGTCAGGCAGGCGAATCGGTATCATGCTGAGAAGATTTGTGAACTTTTCACCATTCTTCTTGTAGTTGGCAATGGAGAGCTGGATTTCGTCTCGAGAGGCTGTTGCTTGTTCTAGTTCCTGGATCGCAGCGATGTGTTGGTCGAGGAGAGGTTCTGCCGCAAGGCATACGCTTTGGGGTGTGTGTAGGAACCGGACATCTCTGCCCAAGACTTCCTTGACGGTGTAGCCAGTCAACTTGGCAAAGGCATCATTTGCGTAGATGATGGGACTACCAGGAAGATCGAGGTTGCTGACGGTCAGTGCCGCAGAACAATCTACAGGTCCCAGATCGATCTTGGGATCCGGACGAGCCAATACACTAAACTGAGCAACGATCAGCGGTGTCCGTATGAAGAAGCATGCCTTGAGTGACTGAAACGTACCAAGACCGTCATGATGTCTATCCCACTAGGGGCGTAGAGGCCGGGGTAGATGATGGGATCCTGTCGAGACTCGAAGCGAGAGCGAAGGTTTTGCTTCTGTTCAGCACCAGATGGAGACTCGGCCGGGAAATTATGCTACAAGTTCAAGTTAGAATACAAGAGGGTAAAAGTCTATGAGGTCTGTTGGGCCATTTACCGCCATGGCACGGGTTTCCCACGGGTTCATGCTAGGCACAGTGATGCCGGCTCTCGGAATCTCAAACATGATGTTGAGCTTTGATTTGCAGCGTTGATAGAGTAAAGCAACTGACTGGTTTTTGAGAGACGAAAACGAGCCTGTAAAAGAGAATACGAAGTAACAGTGTCAGAATCAAGTTGTGGGTTGGCTTGAGATGCCAGCAACTTGTAAGCACCCAGCAGGCGTACTAGCATCAAGCGGGTACTGTATGATATACGGCCATGGTGGGCAACGTGGTGCAAATGCAAATCCACGATCCCGACGAGGCACTAGCATTTGCATATCGACGACGGAAGACTGATGGGTCAAGAATTGTGCACCCGGAGCGGCTTCCTGCTTGGCCCAAAACATCCAAGCCTTTTTTTTTTTCGGGGCGGGGCGCAAGAAATGCGGCCGAAGTCAGAGGGCAAGCCGCCCGATTGCAGTGGATGGTCCTCTGAAACCGCGATCGAGACGGACCTAAGGGTGGGGCCGCATTTGTTGGCCATCTCGACCACCGACGGACGATCGGTCTGGGCGACATCTACGCAAGGCACGGCAGGGCCAGTCTAGTGTCAGGCAGAGGAAAAGGGTGGCCCAGAACTGCGGCACGAACCACAGCAGGAAATCGACATTTTGCAAAGACATCGATCTTTTCGGTCACATCTTGACTGCAGCCTGCAGCGACGCTGTGTTACCGGGGACGGGCCAGCCCAGCCCAGCCTCGCTGTCCGCCAAGCTAGCTATTGTGGGCAATGACGGCGTCAGAGTAGCCCGCCGTGATGTGTCTTTAAATCAGGTCATACATGAAGTAGGTGGCCTATGGAATCATCTGGTAGTGATTCGAGGCGTCTTTGCATCGATTGTAATAAAGGAAATTTGTGGGCAATCAGACGTTGTGCGAGGCTCAATTAATTGGTACGTAAGGTATCTACTAATTGGGAGTATTGTAATGTCAAGTGACTTGCTTATTCAAGGTCTTTTCCGCCACCCGTTCACAGGCAAGACAGCCACGATAGGGCGGCTGTAAGTTCATGAGATATCAGTACCTACCTAGGCAACTACGTAGGTAACTAGATTGGTAGACTCTTGCTGACGGCGGGGTGGCGGGGTTTCAGGGTTACTTCCTAAATTCAGGTGCCTACCTAGGTAGGTACGTCACTGCTCAGTGCTCACCTTCAGCCAGCCGCTTCAGGTGCCCGATTCCACGCGCTGCCCTCAATGCGGCCCCCCGCCCCCCCCTCCCCCCCCCCCAACTTCCTCAACACGCAACCGTGGCGCGTGTTCCTGGCGCGTTCCCCACTTGTCAGATCTCCATCACATTTCATCACCAAAGCTTGTCGTGAGCAGTCGCACAACCTCGTCAGAGCGCATCCGCAATGCCTCAACGCCTAGTCAGCCGAGCTAAATCCTCTGCTGTGAACCGAACAGCGAGCCCGGCGCCCTCTGGCCTGCCAGAGTATGAGCCTCCCGAGTACCCCCTCGACGATGCTGCACGCAATGCTCTCGAGAAGCTATCCACCGACCGCAAGCAGACAAGGTACATCAGAAATCTCAAATCCAGTACCACAAATCTAGCAAATGTTGTCGGGGATATTCAAGAGCGTCTCCGCGATCGCCGAGAGCATCTTTCCAAGCAGAAGCGCCGCCGCAAAGATAAGGATCCTGAGAACGGGGAAGAGGATCTGGATGCCCTCGAGCAGCACTTGGATGAGTTCGCTCACGAAGTGGATGTTAAATCTCGCGAGGCCGAGGTGAGCCTTCGCCTTCTGATTGATCACCGATTCGCGCTGGAAGATGAGGGCAAGGTCATCGGAGAACTCTATACCAGTGCCACAAACGCACAGGCCGAACAGAATACGCGGCAATTGCAAAAGGAGCGCCGACGCGAAGAGGCCATTGAAATTGCACAGGCCAACGGTGACCCGATTCCTCCCCACGAAGAAGATGATGAAGACGACAAACCCCCTCCCGTTCAAAGTACGCTCGAATCTTTCCGCAAGCGGCAGGACGACAAACGGCACGACTATGAACAGTTGAGCGTCCAGGAGCGTTACTCAGTCAACAATGAATATGCAAACTTCAGGAAGCTATGGCATGACGCTGCCGAGGGCGACGACGGGCCGCCGCTACCCGACGCATCGCGCTGGTTTGGCGCTGATGGCGCGCCCATTCTACCAACAGTGGCTCTCCGTGCGGCGCGTGGACGAAGCCTGACTGCAGATCACGGCGGCAACGATTCGGACGACGATATTGCCGTGGCACGAGAGGTTACTAGCTTACGATGCCCGCTCTCGCTAGAAGAATTTGTTCAGCCATACAGCAACAGGAAATGCAAACACACGTTTGAGGAAGAAGCAATTCGTAACTATCTGCCCGCGGGCGGTCAAGTCCAGTGCCCTCAGGCTGGATGCGTCCAGGTATGTTTAATTTGGAGGCGTAGTAGTTGTATCTCGCCGCTTTCTTGGATATGCGAAACTTACTGCTGCATCGCAGGTTTTTACGAGCGCCAACTTTGCCGAGGATTTCTACCTCGACCACGCCATTTTACGACGGCTACAGCGCAAAAAATTACAGAATCAGCTGGGTAATATGGATGTGGATGACGAAGCGAATACGTCGGCCGAATACCAAGTGAGCAGCAGTCAGAGATCTTGGAAGCGAGCGAAGCAGGAGATGTGAGGCGGAGGACCCAATGCGAGGACGAGCGATGACAACAACCGACTCATACAATAGTTTATCTTTCTACGACGGTATGATGGTAAGAAGTCTTGGCTGTCAAGGACGTCCCTGTCGTATGTCGCGAAATATGGCCACGAACCGGCGATGCCGTCACATGTGTTGTTGTGCCCCTGACAGACTTGTGTACGCCAGGCAGTTTTACAACCATATGGCGACGACGACAGCGACGAGCTGTGAATACAGTTTTAGCTCTGATGATTGATCATCCGCCATCGCCACGCCGACTTTCTCATGCCGGAACTCGGTTTGAATTATGGTCATCAAGCAGCTCAAGTATTAGCAACGACCGACGACCCGGGCCAATCAGAGTCACATCCGGAAGAGAAAATTGGGACCACCCGGTGGTCCGGGGACGGTCGGCGCAAGATGCAGCAAAATTGGGCCAAAAAAGGCAGCGGAAGAGGCTCAAGGGTGGTGGCACCATCGACGCTAAGCCGCCTTTGGTCTAAGGCAATTGCGTGATTCTGTTAAACTATCAACAATTTCGCCCCGGACCAGCCAAAGCGACGCAACAAGACGCCTTTGTTGATGCAATTCTGGCCCGCGTTAGCAATGCTCGAGACGGGCCCTCGGCATTGCCGCTATGGCACGAGGGGAGGCGGACCCGTCCGTTTTTTTTCTTTTCACCTTCTTTGAAATAGAGCAAATGCTATTTGTCTTGTGAAGTCTTCATCATTTCATTCACTTCCCTGCGTCTGTTCTCCCGTGTCTGCTCACCCTGTCTGCATTCATTGTGCCTATCAGACAATTGCTGGTTCTTAGACGCGCTGGACTCGAACCTTGACGACCTGTCTACGCACACTTATTACCAGCAACCGTCGAAGGCGATTCGTCATGTCTGCACAGCCCTCCTCTACGCTGCCTTTTGGCCAACATGTGTCTATCGGCGACATCTCTGGCCCAACGTATGTCACGGCCCAGCTGCTCGTTCAGCACATTGCCTACAAGCTCTCCGACAAGATCTTCTCTTACTCGCCCGAGACATATGACCTCGACGTCGCCGCGAAGTGCTGGGCCGCCGATGGCGGCAAGAACATTCACAAGTATACGCCCGAGGTTCTGAGTCTGCAGACTCGCGTCGGCGCTGGTGCTCTCGCTCTCGGCTACATCTTCTCGCCCGATTTCGACGTGACCAAGCGCCACATTCCCCAGACGCTGCTGGCCTCCTCTGGCAGCCTGCAGGCGCTCCGCGCCACGCTCGACCAGCTCTCGCTGCTCTACAGCGTCTCCAGCCCATTTGTCGCCCACGTGGCGGCGGCCGACTACTCAGCCACCAACGGCATCGTCGCCAACTATGACGGCGCACTGCGCCTTGCCGAGGAGTTGGGTCTCGGACTCGTCGCTTCCTCGTCGGCGTATGAAGCCCAACACATGTCGCTCTTTGCGACGCTTCTCGCCACAGTCCTGCCCACACTGCACGTCTACGATGGCGTCCGCGTCGCCCGTGAAACCCTTCGCGTTGTTGACGCTCTCAGCGAGGCCGGCGTCGCTGACCTGTACACCAAGCTTGCTGCTGAGGCTGGTAAGCTGAACCCTCGCCTCGACAACGCCGGCAAGGTTGTCGAGCTTCTCCAAGTCTTCAATGACGAGCTCGGCACCGTCTACGCTCCTTTTGAGTATCACGGTCACGACGCTCCCGACGTAGTCCTCGTCACCTTTGGAAGCGTCGAGGCCCAAGTTGCCCGTCAGGTCCTGACCAAGATTGCTATCGAGGGCGCTAAAGTTGGCGTCGTCAACGTCCGCGTCTACCGCCCCTTCATCGAGGAGGCTTTCCTTGCTGCCATCCCCGCCTCGGCCCGTACCGTCGCCGTCCTTGGCCAGGTAAACACGGATGCGGCCCTGCACGACGAGGCCACGCAATCTGCCCTATATGGCGATGTCCTCACCGCCGTCACCTTTGCCGGCAAATTCACCGAGGAGCCCAATGTGCTTGACATCAAGTACACAGCCGCCCAGACTCTTACGCCCCAGGGCTTGGTCAACACCCTACACCAGGTCTTTGGCAACGAAGGCGAGGCCAAAACGCTTCCCTCGCTTGTTACCGCTGAACAGTACACTTTCTGGAACCTGGACAGTTCTGCTGCCGTTGCCTCGCCTGCTGTTATCGGCACTCTTCTTGCCAAGCAGTCCACCTCCAACGTATTCGTTCGGGAGATCTACGATAACCTCACCCAAGGCGGCGCTGTCCGCTCCGACCTCCGCGTCTCCAAGAAGACCCTCGAAGCTCCATACGACATCAACGAGGCTGACGCCATTGTCGTCGGTGATGAGAAGATTCTCAAGGACGTTGATGTGCTCGCTAGCGTCGCTTCTGGCGGCAAGGTCATCCTGAACCTACCTGACTTTAAGGCAGCGGATATTGAGAAGCGCCTCTCGGCTGCTTTCCGTAAAACGCTTGTCAACAAGGATATTGATGCATTTGTACTTGATCCTGCTATTCTTCCTGCCTTTGAGAAGGACGGCGCCGCCTCCAAACTTCTCCTTGAGCTTGCTTTCCTCAAAATTGCTCAGCCCTCCGTCTCGCCCAAAGACATGACCATATCTGCTGAAAATGTCACACTTGAGCAGGCTGCCGAGGCGGTTGACCAGTGCCTGAGCAAGCTCGAGGTCTCTACCACCTGGGCCGAGACCGAGGACATCGCCGACGAGCTGTCTCTCACCATCCAGCCCAACAGCTTCGTCTCCTTTGCAAAGGATGAGGATGTAGATAGTCTGCAGCTGCAGGACTGGCAGACGCTTGCTCGTGGTATCGTCTTCAAGGAAGCGTACGGCACCCGTGAGGCTGTCCGCCCGGACCTGGCTGTCACTACCCACACCGTCACGGTCAAGGAGAATCGCCGCCTCACGCCTTCGGACTACGACCGCAACATCTTCCACATTGAGTTTGACCTCGGCACTACCGGTCTTACCTACAAGATTGGCGAGGCGCTCGGCATCCACGCCGAAAACGATGTCGAGGAGGTCGAGGCATTCATCAAGTTCTATGGCCTCAACGCCGATGACCTCGTCCAGGTTCCCTCGCGCGACGACCCCGCAGTCACAGAGCTGCGCACCGTGCACCAGGCTCTCGTACAAAACGTCGACATCCTCGGCAAGCCGCCCAAGCGCTTCTACGAGGCCATGGCCGAGTTTGCCACTGACGAGACGGAGAAGAAGAAGCTCGAGGCACTTGGCAGCCAAGCGGGCGCCGAAGACTTTAAGAAGCGCTCCGAGGTCGACACGCTCTCCTACGTTGATATTATCACCGAGTTTACGTCGGCGCGCCCCAGCTTTCACGATCTGATCAAGATTGTCAGTCCGCTGAAGCGCCGCGAGTACTCCATTGCGTCGGCGCAGGCGGTTACTCCCAACTCGGTGTCACTCATGATTGTCGTCGTCGACTGGGTGGACACGCGCGGGCGCACCCGCTACGGCCAGGCGACGCGCTACCTCTCGCGGCTGGCGGCGGGCGCGCCCGTGACCGTGTCGGTCAAGCCGTCGGTGATGAAGCTTCCGGTCAAGGACACCGCGCCGCTCATCATGGCCGGGCTGGGCACGGGCCTCGCGCCGTTCCGCGCGTTTGTGCAGTACCGCGCCATGCAAAAGGCGCAGGGCAAGGAAATTGGCGCAATCCTGCTGTACCTGGGCTCGCGGCACCAACGCGAGGAGTACCTATACGGCGAGGAGTGGGAGGCGTACCTGGATGCGGGCGTGGTGACGCTCATTGGCGCTGCCTTTTCGCGCGACCAGCCGCAAAAGATTTACATTCAAGACCGCATGCGCCAGACCATTGGCGACATTGTGCAGGCCTATATCAAGGACGAAGGCAGCTTCTACCTCTGCGGGCCGACGTGGCCGGTGCCCGACGTGACGGCCGTCTTGCAGGAGGCTATTGCCGCCGAAGCCAAGGCGGCCGGCAAGAAGGTTGACCCCTCAAAGGAGATTGAGAAGCTCAAGGAGGAGGGACGCTACGTACTGGAAGTCTACTAGATGTGTGTCTGTCGTGTTGTGTGTGTGTTTCATTTTTGTTCGTCTCTTTTCCCTCGCATCTCTAAGCGTCATGGAAGAAAGAAGTTGGGAGTTTAGTTTGAGCGGTATTTTCAGATCGGCAATATAAAAGGACGATTTGCTCCGGATCTCCAATCTTGCATGCGTGTGTTGTGTTGCCGATTTCTCTTCCGTGCATGCCGGTTGGGCTGCACATACACTTGAGTCTAGCCATCATGCTGCTGCTTGTCTTGCATCCAATGTCCAACCAGCTGCAACACGAAGCCCAGCATGCGGGTGACAAAATAAATGGCCCATAATGAGGGTACTGAAGTTTAGCTACCTAGATTTAAACAACTCTCTATAGACACTAGAAAATATATATTTACTTCAAGTAATAGTCAAATTAAACTATAGTGACTAAATTATATGTCATGTCTTTTATAAAAATTTTCAATTTTTCTACTATTTTCTATCCTATATATCTTTCGCTGAGTATTGTATATGCCTTGGCGAAATTGGGCCAGCTTTTTTGTCACCCACTTGCCCAGCTATGATGTTGATGCTTTTCTTGTCTTGCATCTAGCGTCCTGCTGGTCCATCCAGCTGCACACAAGCCCAGCTTATGTATGATGTATGATGTTTGATGTTTGATGCTTGATATTCTTGCATCCCATCATCGTCCCTGCTGGTCCTGTCCATTTGCCGTCGGAAAAGCGAAAAAAAAGCATGAAGAATGGAAAAGGGTAATTCATCAGTGCCGAGTGGCTGGCTGACTTGGGCCACCCCCTTTCCCCCTCCTCCTCCTCCTCCTCCTCGATCAGGCAGCCTTGCACCTTATGGCGGTGATTGCCGCCATCTGGCAAACCCCCCCTACCTCTTTCCTGCCCAAGAATGTAGTAGGTACAAATCTGAAAAGTAAGCTAGCTGCCCATCGAATGCGAGGAGCCTAAAAAAGGCAACCGACGCCGAAGGGGGAAAAAAAAAAAAGAGTAAGAGGCACCGAATTATCCAGTGCCGAAAGAAGGGCTGGCTGAAGGCAACAGGTAGGGGGGCAAGGGCAAGGGGGCAAGGGCAAGGGCTTGCAGGGGACAAGGGGGCAACATCTTGGACATCTGTGTGCCCTATTTCTTGTTTCTTCCTCTGTGATCTTTGCTGCAAGCCACGAATGTTGAAGGATTGAGCAGCAAAGCAACCAGCTATAAGCTCCACAATCCATGCCCGCGCAGGAAAGATGCGGCGGGCTTTTACGTCGGTAGTTGCCTTGTTTGCTTCTACCAAGCTAAAAAGGCAGAGAGAAAGGTGGAGGGAAGGGGGGTTTCCCCAACCGGCTATTTGCATTTTCGTCTTCTTCTTCTTCTTCTTCTTCTTCTTCTTCTTCTTCTTCTTCTTTTCCCCCTTGTCCTTTTCTTTAGTAGCAACTTAAGGATGCAGGAACAGCTAGTTGTTGCAGCGTCAGGTTGCAGTCATGGGAAAGAATGTGGAAGAAGAAGAAGCAGGAGGAAGAAGAAAAAGCAAAATAGTTTCCGTAATCCGTACACGTGTGCTTGGGTCACAAACATGGCTTGTTACAGGCGTGCAAGTGCAAGTGCAGGGGGGGAGCTTAGCCCCAAAGCTTGCCTTTCTACCTGCACGAGATCGAAAAACAGGAACCAGAGCATTGGGTCTTGATGAAGAATGTGGAAAGGAAGTGTGTTCAAACTTCTTGGGAGGTCCGTTGCCGCAAGACATGGGCTTATTCTGCTTTGCTTTTTGCATTCTGCATAAGTTTATCGATTTTGCTCCGAGAATTTGCTTACATTACATTACATACATGCACAAATGTGAATGTCTGTTTCTTTTTTCAGCGAGCGGTGTGACGCCGCCTACGATTATTGGGGACTGTATATATATAGATTAAAAAGAAGTAAAACAAAAATAAACACATTAAATTAAAAACTACCAGCTCTGTGATTGGGGAAAGGAAGGGAAAAGGAAGGGGGGGGTGTGGGCCGAGAGTAGGTTGGTTTTGCGGAGGAATCGCGCGATCTGGACCCGAGTGAATGGCTAAAGATGCACCAGCAAAAATTTGCATTATTAATCTATAAAATAGGAAAGAGTGGCTTGCTCAGACATGTCGGGTCGCACAGCGTACAAGGCGTGACCGCCCTTCCCCCCTTTCCCTGAAAGGATGTGATGAGGAATGCCATGTGCAGGAAGGGGTATAAGATCTCAGTACTAACATTATTAGACAGAATGGACAGATATGAACCTGATGGGCCAGAATCAGAAAAGAGTCTTCGTTAGAAAGCGAATAGATCAATAGGAAAAGCACAAAGCCCCCGCCCTCCGCTATCGACGGCCCGCCAAGCCAAGGGGTCCTTGTTTCTCCGTATAACGCGATCGTCAAAGCCCCAAGACCTGTTGTGTGATGGCATCACCCCATTTCTACAGGTACATGTAGTGGCATGGGGAAGAAGTGGTTTTCCTTCTGCACCGACGCTGCAGCATGAAACGACGCACAGAAAGGAAGAGACAGACAGAGAGCTAGAGACACAGCGCAAAGCGTCGTTGGAAGCTGATCATGAAATTGATCGTCAGCATGGATAACCACTCAGCTCGCAATGTTCTGGACAAGGCTGCGGAGGCGCAAAAGTGCAATTCGTGGCCTTTCAACCTTTCTCTACCTTCAGGGTCTTGCAGGCTGCCAATATATGCACATGACCTTTGCAGAGACCAAACAAATCGGAATCTTCCACGATGACGCCGCCGCCTCCCCCCCCCCCCCCCCCCCACCCACCATCACTTGTCTCGCATATACAAGATAAATGAAGAAACCCTTGCTGCGGGCCTCACGCCGCATATCGATACGCGTCGTCTCCTCGATCAACATCGTGTATTGTGTGTCTCTTTTTTTATTACTCGTAAAGGCTTCCTTTTTTTCCCCATCAATTATTTTGGGTCTTGCATCCGTCAATAGTGGCGCCATCTTTTGATTCTTCAGTCTTGCTCCCCTCCCCCGGCGCCCACCGCTACAAGTTCAGCTGTACACGCATCTTCGACGGGAAATGAAGTTCCGAAATACCAATCCTGCGGGTTTCCGTCAAATGGACGCTAAAATTGGTTTTTTTTCTTAAAAAAAAAAAAGAAATTCTCTTTCTTATTTTCCTAGAGGAACTTCATCGTCCTCTGATTCGTCGCTTAGCTCTTTGGTTCTTTTATTCATTCGTTGGCTTCTACTACTTCTCCAACTCCAATCAGCTTGTTTCATGACTCTATATTCAGACACCCTTGTCCAAACAGACTAGAATGCCGGAGGGCGCACAATTTAGAAACTTGTGCCTCGTTGGGTTGTATCATTAATCTAGTATACTTTCCTTCATTATGCTTTCCGCCTGCGTTGATACTGCTGAAGCAAGTCATGCATGCATGCTTCAACTAGAATTCGAGTATCCGCTTCCGGACTGCGTTGCGTCGTTAATTTTTTTTTTTTTTGAGTAAAAAAAAAAAAAAGAAAAGAAATGTACATCAGACAATACATCAGATAATTACCCGGCTAAATGATGAGTTGTCTCTTTCACGCAAAATGTGTCACCACTTGCTTGACCAAAGACAAGATGAGAGAGGCAAAACTCCCCGGAGCTTTCCTCGAGTCCCCCCCTCCTCCCCGTTTTTTAAACTCCTGGCACACATCGGCTAGGGGACTGCCGTTTTGACACATGTGCCGGTCCCATCTTGTTGGATTATCTCATCTTTTAAATTCCTCGCTTAAGGAATATAATCATAATAATAAAGCACCGAATCATATAAGAGTTTGATGCTGCAGATGCGCTAGCAGCTGCCAAAACATGTTGGTGGGCAGGAGTACTTTGTCCCCGAAACAAGCACATTTGAGACACATGTTAAAGCAAGTATTGTTCAACTTTGTGATAGAAAGCTAGTAAGAAGAATAGCAACCAAATGATCATATCTAATAAAAACGCTCATCTGTAAATTCCCCAGTGTATATGCGCCCGCGGTAAAGTCTCTTTGCAGTCACTTCCTCTATTGTTTGTTTAGTCGTAGTCAAATCAGCCTCGTGGGTATCCTTGGCCCCCTGCCATTCTTGTTTTCGTGCAACTCTCTGCTCGTGGAGTCGTGGGCTCTTTGACCCATACCAGCCTGTTCGCTTATGCGAGCCAGTCCTGTAGGTCGCCCACCACCTGGTAGGTGGGATTTGCGCTCTGGCCGGCACCGCCTTTTTTGTTCCACGCCCAGCGTTCTGTATAATCCTCGTCGAGCGTGCCTTGCATCATGTCCGCAATGTAGTCGCCAATTACGGGCAGAAACTTCCAGCCATGGAAAGAACCTCCAGTCGCCACGTACAAGCCCTCGCAGTGAGGGTGTGAAGTGATGAGGAAGTCATGTGTGGGCGTCGAGGCATCCCTAGTATGCATGTAAGTGATTGCGGGAAAACAGAGTATTCAAGCAAACTTACCAGCAGATACGGTACGATTCAATCTCAATACCCTTCATTTCATCTCCGTAGATGCTGTCAAATGTCATCTGGGCTCGCTTCTTGAAAAAGTCGAGGAAATCGTTCCCATTCCAGGTGTTGTATTTCGGATCGCTGGGCGGCAGCGACATTCGCTCGCCAGTTGCGGCAAAGTCCTGGTAATTGGTAAAGCACATATCGCAGTTGAACTTGATGGTACCGTCGGCCAATATGGACATTCCTTCGCCCTTGAGACTCTTGAGGCAATTCTTGAGCACCGGAAGGTGGGCAAACTTGGCCTTCTTTTCACCGTGCAACTTGGCAAAGAAGCTAATAGCACCCGTAGCCAGAACGCGATCGCCAGCGTGCAGCTGTTTGTTTTCCGGGGCGCTCTGCGCGAGCAGAGGCTCAGTGCGGGCTCCAGTGGCCATCAAAACTTTGTCCGCCATAATTGTACCTCCATTTTTGAGATTTACTCCGATGCATTGGCCTTCGAGGCCGAAAGCAAGCGTGTCCATCTCTCCGACAACATATTCGACACCACGAGCGATGCCCGCCTGCACAACGGCGGCCAGCGCCTTGTCTGCCTCAGCGAAGCCGACATCGGGGTTGTAGAGAATCTCTTCGAGATCCTCAAAATTGGCGGTGGCAAAGACCCCGTTCCAGCGCTTGCGAACTTCGTCGACGGAGAGCATCTCGCATTTCCTGTCTATGCCAAGCTCTTTGTAGGCGGCGATGCTCGCCTCACCAAAGTTGCTCGGATCAGCGCGAAGCATGCCAGTTTGATGGTAGAAGGGCTTGTAGAGGTCATTGCTTCTCCACATGGGCATAGCCTTCTCCATCATACGCATGTAAAGCATATCTGGATAGTCATCGCGAACAATCTTGTTGATGTCATGTGAGGCAGCTCTGGGACTGGGGTAAGCAGCGGTATCAAGTAGGGTTACTTGGACGCCGCGCTGGGCCAAGGCCAAAGCGGTGCCGGCGCCAAAGTTACCAGCCCCGACGATGACGACGGTGTTGAAGTCTGGGGTTTCATTATCTGGGGCAGACATTGAGGATGATGAAGAGCGAGGAGTGGCGGGCATCGAAGGCGACGGAGGAGTTGAGGAAGGGGATGAAGAAGAAGCTGATGAATCCAGCGGATATGTGTTGGTGTTTTCGTGCATTGTTGCGGTCATAAGGTTTTTATAAGTAATTGCAAGTTGGTATTGGTGTAGCCAAGATGCCAATGGCAATTGTCGCGACTCAGACAGTTGTTGACGCCCGTGATACTGAGCAAGAAGGGTGTAGTAACACAACTTGAGGCAGTGATACTTCGTACTCTGTTGTTTGGAATTGAGTGTATTGGTAGTCAATAAGCATGAAGAGGGTTGGTGTCTGCAGATGGACAAAGAAACGGTTGACAAAGAGGTGGGCGGGTATGGATTTTTATAATGAAGGCCGCGATTCAGATTGCACTTTACAAGCCGCTCCGAGAAGAAAAGAAGTAGCAAAGGCAAGTTGAGTCTCTGGGGGGGGGGGTGTGGACATGGGCGAGGAGTGCATGGACGAATATCGAGGGGGTGGCTCAACACCTATTGGCTTCGCAGGCGCAAAAAAGCAAGAGGCTTCGCATGCTTCTTTTCTCAATGCCCACACGCCCATCTCGTCTCCTCTCTCGCGGGGGCGACTACTGGGAAAAGAAGAGCTAACCAGGCGTGTGGTGTTAGCCTGAAGGGGGGGGGGGGGGGGGTCCGTTGTGACCCCTCCCCTCTGAACTGCGTGTGGACGGCGCCGCTCCGCCCAGGAAGGGGAAACATGGACCAGCTGCCAGGCACCGCCGGCGAACACGGCGAGACAGCGGACTGCTAGGCTGGACGAGGCTGCCGGCATAACCACAAGTCAGCGAGGCAGCAACGAGGTAAAGGTGAGATTGTGAGCTCGATTACAGCGGCGGTGCGCTGTCCGTGGTGCTAATTAGTTGATACAGGCTGGCTGCTCGCAGAGTTGGCCTCAGCCCACCACTATTACTTTAGCGCAGTCGTCTCTCCCAGATTTTCGGAAAAGAGGCATAGTCTCTCTTGATCATGGACGAAGCGGGGGCTTGTGGGCAGCATCAAGCCCGATCTTGCCTGCATGCTTGTTTGTTTTGTAATCTAGTCTGAGGCGAGCAAGGTGCCAGCGAAAGAGGTTGGTTGGCGGAAATGCAGGCGCAGCAGCAGTTGTCGCATGCGCACAACTCTAGATACGGGGCTGCTGTTTGGAGGGGGTGGATGCTGCGACGATGGTCGGCTTTTTACCGCCAGCATTGCGAGACCATTGCAAGAGGAATTGGGACAAGAAAGCATCCAGCTGCAACCTGTCGTCTGATTAGCATTCACCATATGCATGTGTAAAGCCATAGTGCTCGATGGTCGACAGATCCGCCGACCAATGAGAGTAGCAGGGCCATTGTCCGAGTCGCTCGCCCACCGGCCAGCCATAGCCATGGTAACTACGGGCAAAGCAAACCCACACCGTCTATGTGCAGTCGTGTGTATTCTGAAAGGTGTGCCAAACACACGGGGACAGGTACAGGCATGAGCGCGGGCTTCTGTCGTCGGGGTGCGGCGGTGGCTTTACGATTCGGGTTCCTGTCATGCGATACTTGGGCAGCAAGAATGCCTGGGAGAGGCAGTCTGTTTCGTGTCAAGCCGTGATTGTTCAGCTGGCCTAGCTCCGTCTGCGTGCATTGACCGAGGTCATTCCGGGGGAAATTCTGGGTATCACAGCATCGACAGCGGCTAGTCACGAGATGGAAGCTTGGCTGCCAGAAAGAGACTGGTTGCGAAGAAGAGTCGCAGGTGAGAATGAAACAAACGGATGGAGAGGAGCTGTTTGATGATGGTGAAGCAAAATTGCGGGGGAGGGGAGAAAACATGGACGTTGCACTGTGAGCTTGAGCTTTGCCAGCTGGCAGACAGCGGCAGACAAAGAACAGACAGCAGAGCAAATGTTACACCAAAAGAAAAGAAGGCCCGTATTTACAAGACCTTACAATATCATCCATGATCTGCTTGACAGCAGAGCACAGTCGGAATTGATATGCCGGGCGGCTCTGGGCACCCACGAGATGCTGCAAGAGCCTGCACCTACACCCACTGTAGCAGGTCTTCAACGGTCCGTCACCGTGTCCAGGCACCGCTTATTAGTGGCCTGCCTGTCACAGATCCCTCCGACGATTTCCTCACCAACAGCCGTCTGCCGGTATGCAACCACGGCTCACATTTAATTAATGACCAAATCTATCTCACCTGCAGACTTTACCTAGTCATGGTTACTTTTTACTCGGAGTCATCGCATCACACCTGACGCTGTAAACAAGCACGTGGGCTCACTCAAAACGTCGACCGCCCGTCCCTGGGAAACAAAACACGACGCCAACGAAGAGGGCTGAGGCGTCTGGAACTAACCGCTTGCAGGGTTATTAGTTCTATTTGTTTCTGTCTTTGGTCTTTTCAACATTTATCCGTCCCCTTTCCCCTTTGCTACTTTGATGCCTTTGCCGGGCGGCGGGCATCTTGTCCTACACACTCAAAACTGTGGTCTGCTACCAAACTTAGTAGTTGACTCTTTCCCCCGCTGGAAGCGCCAGTTGCAGTGGCAAGAGCCCGACCCCCCTCCCTCCTCTATAATTACAGGGCACCAATACAGCTACGTGCTACGCTAATAATACAAGCGAGAAAAGGATGCCGCCACCGTCATGGTTGCGGGAGTGGGTAACAAACAGACAGGCAACTGCCTTTGCCTTGATTTAATTTGTTGCTCGAAATGAAAGTCTAAAAATACAACTACACCGTACTCTTCCGCACCTAAACTAACTTTTCCTGTATTATAATATTCACAGTGCTACCTGGTTGCCTCAGGTGCCCTTTCCCTTTCACCGTGGACCCGCAGAAGACACATTCCCGTTTTCCTTCTTCTCGCCTCACACGACTAGTTCAAGTTAGCCCTCTTTTTCCCCTCCTCATCAATGCCCGCCCGCGCCATCGTTCCCCATCGCCCAAACTAACATCAGACTCCGCGCTAGTTGAATACTGGTAAACATTCTCCCTGCTAATAGTTTGAGTTGATGTCTCCCAGATTGACCTAATTGGCCATCTCTAGTTCTTGTTTTCTCTTTTCTCGCCTGCAAACGCACGCCCGCACACACGCAAAACACCTTCCATGTCTCGCACACGCAAAACTACGGAGCCCGTTCGGCTTTTTTGCTCATCAGACATAGTTAAACTTCTACGACCCCTTCTTCCTGCCCCTCGGTTCGTGTCAGACATCACATTGTGGTCCGCACCGCAACGAGAGCACGTGTTTCTTTGCTCTTCTCGGACTGGCGGCATCAGCCATTGCATGCATTCTCTTTGAAGACCATGGCCGTCGGAAGCAGACAAGGTAAGCTGGCAAGGCCATGCAGCGGCAAGTTGTAGCATGCGCCTGCTTGGCAGTTTTGACAGCACCAGCGACCTGGCGCTAGAATGGGATCATCACCCCCCAGTCAAGCCTCTTTCTCTTCCTCACCCCGGGCTCTGCCCGGGAGCCCCTCCTTGCCGGTAAAAACGTCCCGACCGGTTCACCTCGCCGAGCTGTGTGTACCTCGCCAAGCAGAGAGTGGCGGACTGTCCACTCAGACCATGTCCTTGTTGCCGCCCAGATCCTACGTCATCCCGCCAGATCGGAGGCTGCAGCGGGCGGCGTGCACAGGATTTTGCCTGCCCGGTCCCTGTTGTAGTCGTTCATGAGACAGCGACCCGTCGGCTTGGGTCGACCGGGGGGAGGGGGGTTCGGGCCATAACTATCGACGCGAACCTGATCCACAGGAGTTTACCATTGCGCCGGTACCGCAAATACGCGAGGACAACATGAGCTTGTTTCCTGCCGTAGTCCAAGTCGTTCGAGCGCAAGGGAAAAAGAACAATATGCCAAGACTGGCATGCGTACATACAATGCCACAACCTGTCCAGAACGCGTCATTGAAGATCGACTCTTCTTTGACATATTATGGCCTCATGCCATCGATAACCGCATTGTTGTATAGTCGGTACATAATAGTATGCTTTCGCCGTCGTTCGGCACCGGATGCTCCAGCGGGGCATCGTGAGTTGGCCGCCAACTCCCAGGTAACACCGAACTTCTGGGCAGGTACATTAACACGACATATTTGCGTAATGTGAGCCGCATAGTTTCCCCGAGGCATCATATCTCTATGCTCTTTTCGCTTAGGCTCTTTCCACTACCGCTCTCCCCCTCCAAATAACCCACCCAAGCACGAATTCTTGCCCGAGCAAGAGGGGTTGGCATGCTGCACTCTGTATGTGTGTGTGTGAGAGTGTGTTCTTCATGCAGGGCCAACGCATACTCTCTTTTTTTTTGCCCCTTGCCTAGATGACAGGACCCTGACTTATCAAACCTTGAAGAGGCAAGATCCAGCCCAAAAGATGCATGCCATGCTTCTCTCTCTGACATTCGTGGCATCTCATGCACCTTTAAGCGGCCAACGCATTGCCCCTCTCCCTCATAAAGGACAATTAAGGAACTCGTTCCGGGACCATTCCAAGTGCCGCAAGACACGCCCCCCTGGTCATTTTGGCTATCCTACTTCAGGCTGAATCCCCAGCCTTGCCTCCATCGTTCGTAAAGCTGCAGGACTAACTTCTTGTCCCTTGTCCACTGTCGGCAACGCTACGCCGCACCGGTGCGGGGATCTATGAACTCGATCCCAATTACTTGGTTGGCATTCGACAGGCACCACTTTGCTATGGGAAAGAGACCACTTACGATGCGACAAGTGATCTGATTGGATGGATATGAAAATGTCATAACCTCTAAAGAAGGAAAGAAAAAGAGGTAAGAGGAGCACGTGTAAGCCCGGGGCTTTGTCAAGACGGCGCACGCCTCTTTACTCGCTCACCGCCGCCGCGACGTACAGAGTCTCCATACGTCAGAGGCGTCAGGAAGGAATAGTAGGAAAGGAATGCCCGTTCACTGCAGCGGCCGGATCCGCCTTTTACTGCGTCAGCGCCGACCTAATCTAACAGGCAAACTTGGCAATTCGCTTGCCTGCTGCACCTAAGGGGGGCGGCGCATCTTGATTTTTTATGTGGCTTTTCATGCAGCTTTTTCCGTCCGGATGACCTCTTGAGCAAAGCCCGAAGAAGAAGACGAAAAAAAAGTTTTCATCGGTACCCAAAGCAACAAGACGTATGCAGGACACGCCCGCTGTGCGATGAAATGGCCGGCTTTGGCCAAGAAGAGTGCGTGATGTCGTGAAATAGCCGCAAGGCAACCGACGGGCCGCCACATCTCAGCCTCGTCGTCGTGGTCTCAAAGCTAGGCAAGACAATCAAAGGCCACCAAGCTACGTGTTATTGTCGGCACTTGAGAACATGAGACACCGAGACGATTCAGACGAGACTCGTCTTCCACATACTACATCATGGCTCCGCGATCCGTCTCTTATTTCAAGCACGAGCGGTGACGCCAAGATGCACTGGTTTCATTACAAATACTCTTTCCAAATAGCCAGCCATTGCTGCGCCGGTCATGCACGAAGAAGTCATATGAGTCTCTGGACAAGATATTTTAGAGACAGCGCCCGTTTTCTCCGTGTGGTGTGGTTGGGCCGCGGAAAGAATGTTCCTGCGGAACATCTCTTCTTTTAAGCCGAGACTTTTCTGCCTGAGAAAATGTTTTTCCCTTTCTGCACACAGTTAGATGGGCAGAGAGAGCCCAATGAGGCGCACCCTCGCCCAAGGCTGCCACACCGTCTACATGAATTATTCCCATTCATCTAATCACTGGAAAAGTCTTACAAAAATAGGACAAAAATGGGAACAAAAATGGGAACAAAAAAGGGAACAAAAAAGGGAACAAGGATCGGCACTCGGTCAACCACGAAAGCCAAAACAATGACCCAACTACACTGTCGAGCTTGCGTGCATTTTTGAGTGATTTGCACCAGGCCGTACTAGCCTTTTCGATCTACTCTGGAGTACTGGATATGCCATGCCGTCATCTCACATCAACGGGCTTGGTGGCTCGTCGATTCATTCCCCTTTAAACTACTCCGTACGCCGAGCATGGTTACACAAGGAGTCTCGCCCCTCTCTCGTGTGATCATCCGCTTTCCCAGCCTTTATCTTTGAGCTCTTTCCCCTATAGAGTTCAAAGTAACCAAGACTCTCATTTGTGGATGATACCCATATAATAGTGATTTTGCTAAAAGTAAGTCGATTGCACTTGCTCTTACATGTACACCGACTTGCGCTACTCGGCCAAGTAGCGGGCGCCGCCTCCCTCCTGGAGAGCTGCAGCTGCATGACTGCCAACCTACGTCAGCGTACCTGCTGGCTCCATGGCATCACGGCTTGCCCAGTCAAGTCGTGACGACCTTGTGCGTCAATCCACGGATAAGTGCAGTAGAGCATCATGCACAGTGAAACAGTTGGCCTGTCAAATTTCATGCCAGATGTACTAACTGACGCCAATTTGAGACTCTGCATTCTTAGGCTCGTGCTTTACTGTTTGCTTGTGCCGTTCCAGACCGTCTCGCCGGGCGAACCGGCGCTTCTTAGGTGTATTTGGACAGTTTGCCAAGTCACAGACCCAAGGCTTGCGGTGTTTATTACAATGCTGGCTGTTCAGCTATTAGCACGGAGATTATCTTTCGTCGCCTATCCGTAGATCTTGCACACCATGGGAAAAAAACGGCAATCGGGGCACATACGCAAATGAGGAGTTGCGGTCAAAAACAATGACTTTGCCGTCTTTGTCGACGCCGCCTTTGTCGCACTTCGTCCCTTTGGGGCACGTGTGCGACCCCTTGCCTCTCTGTTTGAGTGATTCCATGTCAATAGCAGCAAAGAGCTCTTCGTCTCCAGAATCGGAGTCAGAGTCAGAGTCGTTGCCAAGATCCATTTGCTCAGCCATTCCACCAGCCAATGTGTTCAAATTTTCGTTGGCAGGGTGGCCGTGGCCCATAAATTGAGCTTCCTGGCTTGATGCAGCAGATAGCATGTTGGCAATTGGCAATTGCCCACCACGTGAACATTGACTAGATGAGGAATTGTCTAATATGCCGCCATCAGGGCGCCAGATGGCCTGGACATCTTGAGAGAACTGGGCTGTTAGATCCCGTATTTGCCTGTGTAACAGTGTTAGAAGCTCTCGCAGAGTGAGTGCGGCAAAGTTTTGGGAGGTGCATTTACCGTAAACGACCGAGTTCAACGTCAACGGCACTGATGGTAGATAGTTCGGTAAGATGGGTTACTTCAGCGGAGCGTCTATGGATATCATAAGCAACCTGATCGATGTGTGGCCCATTCAGCAAATGATGCGTCATTGTTGACCACATTTGGGCTGTACGAGTAAAGTAGTCTCCTAGCTCCCGAAGGATGGTTGCAGACTCTTGAGAGAGCAGCGGGCCGGCAGGCGGCGTTGAAGGGGAGTCAGCGCCCATACTGTTGTAATCTTGGACGATTTGGATGAGAGTGTCCCTAATTAGGTTGTCAAAGGCGGTATGGCGGGTATTGCGGGTGGTGCTGTGCAGGCTTGACTCAAAGACGCGAGCTTGCCTCGGCATCGCAGTAAAGGTACCGTCCATGTTATTATATCCTCGAGCACAGGTCTTACGGCGGTACGTAGCTAGGCTGGGTAGGCGAGGAGCTTTGGGCGCGGCTTTTGGTTTCGTGCCACTCGGCAAGCGCAGCAGCAGCGCAAGCACATACCAGCAGGGTACGGCGCAGGGCAACACTCTATTCTCGCGAGACGACAAGTGGCACGGCGAGATCCCTCCAGTAAACCGTGTGCTGCGGTGAAAGAACGGCTTTGTGACTTGGAGCGGCCTGACACCTGTGCTGTGTGCTTTGCAGGCGGCGAGCACAGGTGACGTTGGGTACGGAATGGGCGGGGCACCTCCACAAGTCTTTGAGAGCTTTCTAGGCTTGAAGGAGGGCTACCAGTAACAGTGACCGTAGCACCCTTGCTGCGCCAATGTCAAAACGCGTCAGTAAATAGCTTGTGGGCTACGGTTCCTTTCGTCCAGCTTGGTCGTTGAAACCCTTTCAGAGAGGAGGGGAGGGGGGTCCCAGTATTGGAGGTATTGGAGTGGAAGCGAGTCGGCGAACGAGAGGCGGTGCGGGGGTGGTTGCTTGGCCGGCAGCAAAAGGCCGTCTCGAACACTGATGAGGGATATTATCAGATGCTTGACAGGCGAACCAGAGACGGCGATACGAATCGATGTGAAGCGATCATGCACTCAGCCAAGCAAGGACAGGTGCTGACAGCAGCCAACGGGCGTGGGCAGAGACAATGCCTGGAGGCCCAGCAGAAGACCGCTCGGCCACTGTGAACGGCTTTGCGTCTTTTTGGCTTGCTGGCTACCTGGCTGACAGAAGAAAAAGGAAGGGAGGGAGGGGTGGCGGTTGCTGCCTTCAAATCAAAGACGCGAGATCGCCTAGGCGCTGCGGACGGATAGGTACCTATGAACCGATACGGTGGTTGAAGCGAGATTATACGATGCCAGATCAGCAAGTGAAGTAATAAGTGATGTTTCTGTGTGGTGGCCTGGTGGCCTGATGGTCTGATTGATGGTGATTTTTTTTCCTGGCCGTTTGATGAACAGTTGGAAGGTATGGGTTTGGGGACGGACACGGCCACAGATACTGACAAGCTAAGCAAACTGTGCCAGTGCTAGTATGGAGTACTCCGTGTCTACCTCCGTGCTAGGCAGCAACTGGCTGGGGAAATAGTCATAGTAGCACTATCAAATTCGTTCCTGTATGTGAACTTGAGTGCACAGGTGTACCATTTCATTTTTAGTGATCAAGCTATCAAAATCTCCTTTTAGCTCGTTTTGCGTAAAAGGCATGAAGGATTTCTTGTTCACGCAATGGCTCTCCAATTATTCACTAAGTATGCCTCGTTTCTTTTTTGCCGTAGACTATTTACGAGTAGCTCGGCGTTGCAGAATCAGTACGGATTACTTTTGATGGCATCAGATCCTGTTCAACTGATTTGGTTGGTGGCAAGCAACAAGATTATTCACTGTTGGGTTATAACTAGCAAAAGTGACGTATCTTTTTTCCGTTTTTCTTTTTCTTTTTCCTTTCTTTGTGGAGACCAATTGGCCCGAGCAACTGGGTGCAACTGGGGAAGGCAGAGCCCGACACGACGGATTGCCATCGTAAAAGTCCATGGTACTTGGATCTGGCAGGCTTGCAGCGCCAGGCACAGAGTCCTGCATACCGAACCAAGCATGCTCTGGACCAAAAGCTCATCAACCCCTGGTGCCCCAACAGACCAGGCCACTAAGCCCGATCAGGCCCAATCCCAGCGCCAGTCCTTGGGATCGGCCACGCTGATTGGCTACGATGCTTCTAGAGAGAAGAGACAACAACGCTAGACAGGCCCGGCAAGGCCGCGCGGGTGGATCCGCCACCGAGGGGCCGTTTTAATCCCTGCTAGGGGCAGTTCTGGGGATTGCTGGCGAATAGTAATGGAATGATCAATGAAGGAATTGATGTGTTGATGATACAAAACATAGGTACGCACCACGCCCAGTAAAGTAACTAACAACGAAACCAATAACAAAGCACTTGACAGTTCGTAAAGAAAGTGCTTTGCGGGTCGATGCAGTGGCAGTGGTGATTTTGATGTGTGCGAGAGTTTAGCATATGTTTTAGCTTGCAGTTTACGTCCCGCAGCGTTTACCCGTGACATTTAGAGAAGAGCTGCATCGCCCTGTGAATTTGCTTATCCATCAGAGAACTTCCATCAGAGAATTGAAAATATGAATTCAAGTTGCTTTTTTTCATGCGCCAGCCAACCAGACACACGGGACCAAACTAATGCAGATTAACAGACCTTAGGTTGGCTTCAACGTCGAAGGAGCGGCGCTCAGACAATGGGCCGCATCCCACTAGCAAAATAGCCATACCCCAAAAGGACCACACAGACGCATGCAAGTAAACATGATGCACTTGAACCCACATTGGAAAAGAAGCAAAAACATGTCGACATCTCTGAACCAAAACACAATGGATGGTGCTGGAAGCCTCTCGCTTCTCTGCTACGAAGAATGACTGTAGGCGAGCTGTGGCTGTACCTTGTTTATTCGCGGCGTTGTGGCTTGTAATGATGGCCTGGATCATGCAGCCCAGCGTCCGGATCAGAATTTCTTATTTATGGACAGTCGATCTGGACGAGCCCGCGCTCCTGCGCCTCTCGATCGCGGGAGATGTCTGAGGTTCTGGGGATCGCGCGGCCACACGGCGCTGGCTGATGAGTGTGGCTTGCAGGCACCCTGGCACAGCACTGCCTTGAGCGATTCCGGCCATGTTGTTGGCAATTTTTTCGATGGCACGTATTTCTAGGCCCTGCAAGCCAACCTCAGCCGACGTCTTGCAACGCGCAAGGCCGGAGAGAATCCCAGCTTTTCGGGATGACGCCTGCAGTAGCCTGTATCAGTAATTAGGACCAAAGGCGGGCAGTGGACAAGCACAAAACGTTAAGGAGCCCAATCAATCTGGCGCAGATCTGACCAGACCTGGAGCCAGCAGCCCGCTCACTGCAGCCACTTTTGCATCTGTCTAACCCTTTTACTTTGGTACGAAGTATTACTCCGTACTGGTACTACCTCACTGGAAGATTTGGTCCGCATTAAAGTCATCGAAATCAATCGGTTGGTCGTTTTGGTGATGCCCAAGCTCCTCATCCCCCAGTCGGCAGCTGGCCCATCCCCTGGTGCCTGACCCACCAAAGGACTTCGGCTATCCGTACAGAGTAGTTTTAACAGTAATTATCCGTAGGTATTCGTACTGGTAATAGATGCTCGTTGCCTGCCCTCGAATCGCCTACCGGCCGGATTGCCGTCTGTTTTTTTATTCTATAATTAATTACCGTGCCGCAGGGCCACCTGACTAATTGTCATTCGTCCCTTTTCAGGTCCCTTTGTGCATCTCGTGCGGCAGGCCCTGTCTTGCTCATCTCGGGGGACCGCCACGCCGAAAAGGAATGCGATGGGGATGGAAGCAAGCCTTGCTTCTCTCGTCTACTCTGTTTTTCTACCAGTATCCGTAGAGTACCGTACCAACGTACTGGTACACCGTCCTGGACAATCTGTGCTGACTGGGTTGTTTATTCTATTTATTATATTTACAGTCCGCGCTAAATTCGTCTCCATCCTCGCAATCCTCGCACACCTCGCTACCACTGTGTCGGCTTCGACAGACGGGCGCCTTTTTAGTTCCCGCTGTCCCTGACCTTCCTACCTCTAGCCTCTCTGCCCTCTCCACACTTTCTTTCTCTTTCCCCATTTCTCTTTGCATCTTGTCCCGTCGACCACGAGACGACGAACATATCTTCTTGCCAAAATACTACCTATACAGAACACTATAGTGTGTTTTGTGGTCTTGACTTGCGGCTCCCCCGCTTGCACGCTGTCACGCTTGCTTTGCCGCCGTTTCTGCTGCGTGTTTCCACTTCGGCCCCGCGTATCGCCGCCCAAAGACGCCGCCGGCCTCACTCGTCCTTGGTGGTGGTAAAGTTTATACTCACCAACCTGACCAACCTGTCCTGTCCTGTTCGCGCACGCAGAACGGAGAGTGCTTGCTCTCTGGGTACGCGCGACGACTCTATAATCATCTCGCAAGTCTCTCTATTCGACTTCAAAGTCTAGGACAAACCTCAGCACTCTGGCCAAGCGCAACGCTTCCTCTCCACAAACGTACCCCGGCCACCCCAGCAACCAGCGCAGGGCAAACGGTCACGCACGTCGACGCGACATTTTGGCCTCCGAAGTTTTCGTCGCGAGCCTCTAAATAGCGTCATTTGGAGAATCCGAGTGGTTGATCATCGTACCACGGCCCTTTGTCGCATTCGTTCGTCGTCCGACCAGTAGTCACCATTCAGCTGCGCAAGGGTGCGCTTGCCATCTAAGTGGTCAGTCAAGCTCGGTCGGCCCGTCCGCCTCTCCACTGGTCTAGCTGCCGACAGATCATATCAGGCTCATCAAACGCCCCCTCCCCACCCGAACGTGTACCAAACGTGCAACAGACTTGCAACAGACCAAACGGACCAAAGGGACATCTTGCTTAGCTGCATGCTCCACGAATATCAATACCTATCATCTGATACCATAATTACAGAGTCTGTTGTGCAATTCCCGGTATCGACATTTTACACCAACGGCGTCCCGTCTTCGTCCTCGACTTGGTGGATCTCCCTCATTTGCTAGCGCTTTACTGAATCCTGGTACTATCTTCTTCTCGTCGTCCCGCTAAAAACGCCAGTGCCAGATAAATAGTCTCACCTTGTCGTTGGCTATCCTTCGCGTCGCGCCGGCGCAAACGGCCTCGCTGCGAAAACGCTCTTCTCTCTTCGCGCTTCTCTCCATTGCGCGCCTCATCCAGCGCGGTACATCGGTTTCCACGATAATTATTGCGCGCCTCGATCCTCCTTTGGTACCTATCTCTTCTCGTCTCGTTCTTGTGGCGTCCAGTGCCTGCATCGCGCCGTGCCCTGACCGACTGTCCAGCCCAACCAAGCAAGCTTCCGTCTGAGAACCTGGGTTGCGGGTGCTTGACAAGCACGCCCCAACAGATTTCATGGTCACAGCCCGACCTGCCGCCCACGTCGATGATCCGTTTCAATAATTCACCTTTACGTGTCGACTACATGGGCGACTTTGGCGACGATGACCGCCGCCCGGCCAAGCGCATCAGGTTTGATGAAGCCGGCGCTGGCCAGGGTGCCCCGCCTCCTGATGTCCACGAAGACGAAATTTGGGGCATGTCGCAAACATCCAATCCAGAATGGCACTTTTCAAATTCAGTCCTGGCCCCGGATTCCTTTCCCATGTCCATGCCCGGGTCGTTAGACGGCATAGCGCCTGAACAGATTGTTACTATACCCATGAGCTCTCCTACTGCTTCCGGTTTCCCGATAGACACCATGGTACCACCATGGGGGACTCGCTTCAGTAAGTTACCTCGATAGGCCCATACTATCAATTGTACCCTCATCGCTTTGGATGGTTTGTGCATTGCTCTTGAATTCTGGTGCAACCAACCAGCCGGGCATAGTTGTCTAGCGCTGTTCTCACTTGCCTCTTATCCCCGCAATCGGCCTTTATATTGCTTTCTTCCTCGGCCACGAGCCCGAGTCTGCATGAATGATGCGCCCGCAAGTTTACACCGAGTTCAATTCGTACCATCTTCCCTCACTTATTCTCGCCGGCGTCGACGCATCGACACTAGCCTCTTCTCTCTTCCCCCAGACACCGGCTCCAGCGCACCGACACTAACCTCTTCTCTCGTCACATCAACACATGTCTTCTCGCCTCGTCGCTGTGCGCAACTATATCCGAGCTGACTATACTGACCTCTGCGTGCAGACATCGGTCCGAGTTCCAGTAACATTTCGGACACGTTTCCGCAACCGCCGCCGCGACATGTCCGACTCCCTATGGAAGAGTCACGGCCATTGCGGCCTTCACCGCAACAGCAACTTCCCTTACATTCACAGATTTCGCTGCAATCGCAACCTTTGCCGCCTGTGCAGCTTCTGCCGCGGTCGCAGCTACCTCCACAGCCACGGCCATCGCAGCCATCCCGCAGCCCCTTGCTGATACCCGAACTGATCCACCAAGGACCTCGCCGGCGAAAATTTCGGCCAAAGCATGTCATTACCAGTCCCTTCACGGACTGTATCGACTCTTTTGGGAACCACTTCTCACTCCAACAATTTCCTCGACCGAAGGACGGCACAGTCAACGGCTATGTCAAATTTTCCTGGCCCCGATCCACGAGGCAAGATAGGCAGCCATCGAGGATCGTCGACGTGACGGACCTTGACAATGATGACGATTCGCCTACACCAGTTACAGAGACTCATTCATCGAGGCATGGCCCCGAGCTTCTGCAATATAATCATTGTTCGGCATCACCTTCGGCGTCCACAGTCGTTCTGCCGCTAGACAGTGACTCGCCGTTTTCAACAGCTTCGACCCTCGTTACGTCCCAGAATCTCACATGTCTTCATTCGCCAACAGGGAGCGCTGCGCCCTATATTGGCATATATAGGGAAAACCCCCGTTATGTCCCGTCAAGTTTTGGGTTGGATGCTAAGATGGATAGCATGGACCGAAAGCTTTTCAAGTTCTGTAAGTCTAGTATTAGCCAGGTATCTCTGGGATCGCTTGCTAATTGTTGCGTGTCAGATGTACAAAACTGGTGTCCAGGAAGAAGCGTCTTGAAAAGAACTAACCTATGGTTGACCGATTTTGCACGGCTTCATAACCAGGAAGGTGTCCGGGCCGCTATACACTCCCTAGCCGGTGTCTATATTCACGACTATCTACCTAATGACAGTGTTCGGCGTCGTGTCAACGAAAGGTTCCGCATTGCCGAGGATCGATTAAGCCATCTGCTTCAAAATCCACATCATCTTAGTGACGATGAGTCAAGCGAGCTGGTCACTTTGGTGTCACTTCTCTCCATGCAGGATATCGTTCTGACGGAACGCAGGCTCAAGAAGCCTTATCATCCCCGCTGGTTGACGGGTTTCAAACAGGCGGAGAATATCCTGCAGCTCACAGATCCAGGTAATCGCTTTTACAAGAAGTCAAATGTGCAGGTCGACACTCTGCGTTTATCGCAGTCAGTCATTGTTGGTAGAGCTGTCATTTTGGCTCAGCCAATGATGCCACATCCGCCTATCGCGACTTTTGATCCTGCAGCTGAGACTGCCAGGTTTGGTTTTCTTTTGTACGGATCTGAACAGGAGATCTATGAGATACACGGTGGATGTGGCTTCTCTAAGCGGCTTCTGCACATATTTAGCCAGGTGACGTACTGTTCCGCACGCATGATTCAAGAACCTGAGACACCTATCGTGCCTATAACGGCCAAGATGCTTTACGAACAGCTCCTCACCCTCAAACAGTGGAGTGGCGAGTGGGACAGCTGGGAAGCTGCGCAAGAAAAAACTCAACAACCAATAGACTGGATTCGCCAAAAGGGCGAGACGTACGTCACGAATGAAGCCAGAGAGATGACCGAGGTGACTGCAGAGGCATGGAGATTGGCTGGAATGATCTATTTACAGTGCCGCCTCTTCAGGTAAGTCGTAACACCCGTTGCTTCATTGCGTCGAACCAAGCTCGCTGACCTTTGCCAAGACTCCCCCGAAACCATCCCGAAGTCGTTGCGAACCTAGCCGACTTGGCCAAGACTATCTCTATTATGCCAACATCGGGTCTGGTATTCACGGCTCAGGCACCACTTCTTCCGGTCTTTCTCCTTGGACTGCTCGCCACTGTTGAAGACCATGTCCAAGTTGCGCACGATTGGTTTCAACAGGTTATTCACACTCCTGTTCGCAGTGTAAGTTTATACGCTCAAATAACTTGGATTCTTCCCACGCTACTAGTTGCTAATGCTAACAAAACTCCTGCGGCAGAGTGTTCCGCCTCTTTACGATGCTTTGGTGCGCATCCAGAGCTGGAAGGACATCGAGATTCCAGTGCCCGCGCCATGTATGGAACTGCCCCGTACCATTGCCGAGAGGCAACCCTGGTGGGAGCATATGGTGTCCAAGGTTCAAGAAAAGGAGGTTGAAGTCCTTTGTCTTACATGAGGAGCTGTACGAGCCACGACGTCGTACAGCTTCAGTCTGAATATAGGGAAGAAGAAGCCTGGCATCTATCACCAGCCTATTTACGTTGAAGAGCAGACAACAAACGAAACAAGTTCAAGCACGCCTCGCACACGTTTCAGATGGGTCGTCCTTGGTGCCGTCAAATAATGCCGGCAATACCACTGTCCCCGTCCTCGAGATTATCGTGCTCACTCCTGGTGCGCACAAGATATTGGCCTGCCTCAACTCATTAGCCTCTTCATCTTGTTATATTTCAATGGTTCACGACGGTACAACGTACGGAATTCAGAGCCTGGTGCTGCCCAAGACTGAAGGACAGTCAAACCAGCCTTGGCACACATGAGGCGCACATCTTGCTCCCCGTACTTGTGAGAGTCAAACCAGTCGATTTCTTGCCCCCTGGAAATCACGTTGTCGCCTCCCGGTAGCCGGACATCTTTTCTGGCACGCATGAAGAATCGATGGCGCGTTGTTGGCTTTTCTTGCAACTCGGAATTAAAATCCCAATCTTGCTCTTTGAACAGCTTATGTCCAAGAAGCTTGTTTGCGTTCTTCAGACCATTGAGAAAGAATTCGCGGAACATGTCATCACAGGAATGGTAGGCAGCCCAGATCTTGTCCCGGTTGCCCGCAACAAGGTGACCGTCCATGCCAATCAGCAAATGATCTTCCGGCCGAAGCTCCGAAGCCCATCTTTTAAGGTGGCCTAGCGCGGCCGGCCAAGGATCGTTGCAGAGTACGGAACCCAGTGACAGAAACAGGCGAGGGCCTTTGATCTTGTTCATGTGGTCGAGTCCGTTCTCGAATGTCCCCCATAGGCCGGCGCAGTTGACGACTGAATCGGGGCCAGAGTGATTCGCAGTCAAGCTCGCTATGCTCTGGTCCAGTGAGGTCTTGGAAATGTCGAGGGCAAGGTACGTGGCTTGGACTTTCTTTCTCTCAAACTCGGCAAGAAAGTGGTCGACCTTGTTCGTATCGCTAGATTAAGGAGAGAAGATATATGGTAAGCAAATCTGGGTGTAGCAGACGAGACATGAGATTAATGCGTGAGATTAGTCAAGACTCACCCTGAACCCAAGTCAATCATTGTGATATGACGAGGGAGTTGACGGATAATCTCGGCACTGTTGAGGTCGAAGAGGGCCGTCTCATCATGGGTCTGGTAGAATTGAGGAATGGACATGATTTTGTTCCACATGAGCAAGCCAACGTCGTCATACAACAGCTCATCAGGCAGAGTTGGCGCGTCTTTGGATTCAGCAATGGCAGTAAGCGTGTCCTTGAGCTTGTCGATGTTAAGACACTTCAAGGCACTGCCACCAATGTCGAGAATCTGTCCATGTTCTGGAATGGCAGCGACAGACGACCTGTCAGCCGATGACAGTGCTTGGGCTTGGGTGACTGAAAGCATGATGTTGAGGGTTGCTTGAGTTGGATGGTACTGAAGAGATCAAGGATCAAGGCTGGTGAAGGTAAGCTGATTCGGAGAGGGAATTGGACAAATTTATATGTACAGAAGGCTCGAATTTGTAAGTGTGAATAAATGTCGTTGTGGTTTTTGTCCTTGTCGTATGGATCCAATGCGATAGCGATTGTGGGTGATATTGAACAACGAGTGACGGAACGGCAATATGGGCGGGCAGAGAAATGGTCGCCGAAGCAATCTCGGCTTCCTTCTTGACTCTGAAGAGAATATCTCTGCTGGGGCGTGAGTCGACAGAAAGCGAGTGAAATGCTGGCATCCCAACCAGCGTCGAGCGCGTGTGACAAGGGTGGCGGTGGTGGTTGCTGCAGCGGCGGACACAGCCAGCTGCGCAGAGACCGGCGTCCAAGGGGCAACCGGCCCGCAATGGCAAGACAGCGGTGGAAACTTGCAGTCGGCGAACGGGGTCTTTGGAGCAGCGTAATCGCAGGCTATCTCGGGGTCGTGCAAGCACAGAGATGAGATTAAAATGCCATAGACTGTTGTGAAACGCGAATGGAGGTGTATGATGGAGGTGTATGATGGGAGTGTATGATACAGAGAGATGTACTTTATCGAAGAGTGAATGTGTGATACAGTACGGAGCTTCCTCTTTCTCGAGAGAGAATGGGGATGATGCAAGTTGGTAGATGTGGTCTAGGACCATCTATACTTATAAAGACAGGCACCACACTATCTTAATCTGACGTTCAAATCAAGTAATAAAAATAATTGTTAGTTATGAGAATAAAATCATTTTTTTTTGGTCCCCTTCCCCATGCTTCTTCACAACTACGCTATCAGGCAAGACTGGGGGTGGATGAGATGAAGGGGGGGGGCGCGTATTTAGGATCGAAGAACGGACAAGGCTGCCTTCCGCGTTTGCCTTGCACGCACAAGATGCGGTAAAACTTGTCCGTCCCGGCGAGCTAAGAAATCCATTTGCAAAAGAAAATCAAATTAAAAAAAAATTCAGCCATTCAATGCGAGGCATGAGAGTCGTGGCCCCAGAAGGAGGAGGGGGGTGCGAAAGCATTAGTTAGGTAGGTAGGTAGTTCAAGTGCTAGACTCGGGGGTGTGGTGCCAAGGGCACTTGAGGGCAGACGAGCCCTGGCTGGCGCGAGCAGCAGCCAGCAGGGGGAGGGGACCCAAGTACGACGACCCTTTTTTTTTTGTCGCTTTTTTCTTGTGTAATATTTCAAGGGTGGCGTCCGCGAAGCGTCGAAAAGCGGTCCCCGATGGACGCCAAAGATGGATGTTATGGCAAGAAAATAATGAAAAGGTAACAGTTTCAAAAGAAAAAAAACCGGAGCGGCGTGAGAGAGTTAAAGATGGAGAGCTAAAGAATGAATCGACGTTTCAACTGATGGGGAATCTTTCAAGATGAGATTTTGGATTGTTACTTTACGAGTGGGCTTCTTTTTCTTTATTCCATTATTCTTCAAGTGTTCGATGAAGATTGAATCGTAGAAGGAGGGAGGGGGGGAGGGGGGAGGGGGCGACGATGCTGCAAGGCCAAAGCATAAAACCCGCGAGCATGAATCAAGCAAAAGCAAGCCCTGCGCTGTAAGTACGATCTAACGTTGCTTTTGCAAATTGCCCGACGTCAAGCCCAGCCAATTTCACTGGATGGATTCTTGTCCGATTTCCGATAACCCGATACATGACGACGAGGCCCTTTTTGTGCCAAGGGGCCTCTTTTTTTTTTCTTGACAGACCTTTTCCATGATTTGGGGTATTCGTCACCTCGTACCGCAAAGGCAGATGATCAATTATTTGCCTAATTATTTGCCTAAAAAACAAGGAGGTCATATCGAACAAACGCATAAACAAGGAAAATTAGCAAAAGCAGCCTTGGTCTTTGTTGTTGTTGTCTCCTTTGCGTATTCAGTGAGGAAACAAGACTGGTCGTACATGGCTTAGCCCACGCTGCGGGAGGGCAGAGAAGGGGGAAAAAAAAAGAACTGGTGTGGGATTGGATGTGAAAAGAGCTGCATGTAGCGTGCAGCACGCGCCCGCCGCGCTGCATGGCGGACGCTCGCCGTCTCTCTCTTTTTTTTTTTCCTGATTATTTTTTTTTTGTCACTTGTCTTCTTTGCTGAGACGCACTAAGGACTGCTCGAGTCTGCTGTGGCGTTAAAATTGAATTAAAAAAAGATACAAGTTGGAGGGAGATGGAGAGAAAAGGAAGAGAAAGACTCGGGTGTGGCTGGCGGGACGGGCCAAAAAACGGTGTTCTTGTGAGACTGGGTACAGAAAGGCCGTTCGCAGTTTTTTTCTTCTCCAACCAAAACTTTTCTGGGGGCAGGGGGGGCGGAAGGGTGGACGGTATCTTGCTGTTCTTGGGCTTTTGGTTGGTGACCGTTTTTTATTTTTGTCGCTGCCACCGTTACACAAAACCCGGGCTCGGCCGCTCTGTGGGACTTGGGGCTTGATTTTAACTCATCTTGGCCCGCTCGCCGGTTGTGGCGGGTAACCGATTATGTTTTTTCTTTTGTGCGACTCAAGAAGACGAAGAAGATGTAGCTGACAAGGCAAGTACATATGGATGGATACGCACACCACACTCGCCATATTCAACCCGCAAAGTACCCTTTTGGGGCGAGGGCCGAGCCGCTTGGCTTTTGGATAAACTTCTCCACTGGGTGATGGAGAAAGCTACGAATAGTTAGTTGGAGCCCCCCCCAACTTTATTTAAAAAGTGTTAGAAAAGAAAAGGTTAATAAAAGGGAGGAATCGCACTTGATTCAAAGGCTTTTTTTACTAGAGAAGAAGAGACGTTGGGTGTTGGCACTTTGTAAATTTCGTTCGTTCGCCGAATTGCAGACAGGCTCGCCTTGTCCGAGACTCGGCAAAGGATGGATGGGTCAATTTGTTAAGGACTGGATCGCGCCCTATCGCTTCTAATTCTTTGACAGTGGAGATCGAGTTTTTGATGTCACGAGATCCACCACATCTTGGTATTACCTCAAGATACAGCCCTGACTGACAAAGTGGCTTTCAACCGCGTCACTTACTGTCAGAAGCTATCAAAAGGATATGATTTAGATGGCGCCATGTGGCCTTTCCAGAGCTATGACGTACACATTTTTTTTTTTCCCTTCTTCTTCTCTTTTTGGTGGGTTGCATTTGAAGATAGACCTCGTGGTTGGCGGCCATCCATCGCACTCAGGGGACAAGGCGGGGCGCTTCTCCGTCATTGTCAATATAACGGAGAGAGAGATATATAGTTACCACCAAAAATTGCTCCATAACTTGATTTGACAGTGTGCGCCGCCGCCGCTGCTGCTGCTGCTGCTCAGGGACCAGAAAGCCTGCAGTCGTGATTCGGTGGCATGTCTCGGGGGCCGCTCCGGCTCGTGTGAATTGCTGCTGGGGAAGAAGAAGAAAAAGCAGAGAGAAAAAAAGAGGAAATCATTGCACTTTGCGTCTGCCGGACGTTATCCCCATCTCGATGCCTTGCTGCAACCAAGCGGCCCCAGCGTCCAATGCGGCGCAATCGCTGGCGACACCTAGCCAGGGGTTTCTTTCACGCGGACTGACGTAGCAGGATCTCGTTTTTTTTTGTTTTTATTTTCTTTTGTTTAGTCATTTCCTCCTTTTCTTTTCTTTTCTTTTCTAGAGCTTGATAATGAGGCTGATTTTTTTTTGTTCGCTACTTCATGAATGCTCTCGTCATCTTAAATTCATGGCGTACGTACCACTGTTTGTTGCAACTTCATCCGTCCCCTCCTTCTCCGCTATCGTCTCCGCTCTCTTTTCCGCTCTCTAGGGTCCTCCTCCACCTTGATTTTGGACTCGACCCCGGGCCGGACGGGTTTTTTACCCAACAAGCCGCGATCTACTTCATATGAAGAATTGGGCAGTGTAGGGGTATTTTTTTGCACACGGCTGAATAGATTTGAGCCATATTCACGTTGCGTGCGTTGCTACACTGGCCAATCGGTACAATCCACGATGGATTAAACGGGAAAAAACGAGCAGCCTTTCATGGCAATCTCCACCCCCCTGTCAGTTTCTATAGAGGAAGATCTGCCTGCCCGTAATTACTATATTACTTTCCATCTTTTATTAGTTGCTTTGCAATCAGCCATCAGGCGCAAGGCTGCCACCGAATGGGGGTGGAGAAGTAATATTGCGACTGGATCCCATTGTGTAATACGGAGCAGTTGGTGGGAAATTCGCTGGGGACTAGCTTGATTGCGAGAATCCCATCAATCGGTCGTTGCCTTTCGACTCGTCACCTTGCCAATTGGCCAAGCCAAGATAAAAGACCAGATGATGCTCTTTGCCAAGGAAGTCTCGGAAATGACAAGCATGGCCTCGTCCGTTCGAAACAATGGATCGATGAGTTGGCCGCCATGGCATGTTTCTGAGACATATGTCCAGTTTTTTGAGGCTATTTCTGCGTGTCGCTTTATATGCTGTCTCACAAGAATCCTGGGGAAAACATGGCAAAAGTGGGAAACAGAGATGAGTGGGATACTGATACGCAACGAAAGCCTCTGGATTGCCATTATGTGGTGGCGCATGAAATCTGAACAAAAGAAAAACAAGAAGACTGCGTTGCGACTGCTTCAAGGCGCTGTCGAGCCCCCCCACTCATTGAATTGCCTATACGGTTTCCACTCAAGCCACCCCAAAACGCTGGGGCGTGGCGCCGCCTCTGCATCATCGCCTGACCCATTCGATAAGCCCATCGAGGCCGATGGTCGAAAACTATTACACAATGAGCAATCTCGAACAGGAAAAAAAAGCAAAACAAAGAGGAACAATAAGCTAGGCAATTGGAGAAATGGCAACACTATGCCTTGCACGCCGCGCAAGGGGCGACGATCAATTGGGGAAGACAAACGACGGCTCCAACGGGCTTAATATGTTTCTTGTCGACGCGCCAGCCTCGCCTGGTCGAGCCATGTCACCCACGACGAGACAAAATGTCGAGACAC